CGGTAGGGCGTGAAGGACGGACCAGAACGCCCCCCTTCCCATGAGGTTTTAGTCGCCCCCACACTCCCGGCTCATACCTGCTGTCCACAAGGCTCCCATGTGGCCGCCATCTTTCTTTCCAGAGAGGAGAGGGCGAAGGGGGCAACACCCTTTCCCCTCCAGCAGACTTGATGGGCTGGATCAACGCATAGTCCGTTCACTTTTCTGCTGCAAGCTGCTGGGTTCTGCATTAAGTCCTTGTGCTTCTGGGGCCGTGGCCGTGCTGGAGAGCCGCTTGTGAGGGGTGACTGGTGACCTCGGTAGGGCGTGAAGGACGGACCGGAACGCCCCCCGACCCATGAGGTTTTAGTCGCCCCCACTCCCCCGGCTCATACCTGCTGTCCACAAGGCTACCATGTGGCCGCCATCTTTCTTTCCAGAGAGGAGAGGGCGAATGGGGCAACACCCTTTCCCCTCCGGCAGACTTGATGGCCTGGATTAACGCATAGTCCTTTCACTTTTCTGCTCCAAGCTGCTGGGTTCTGCATTACGTCACTTTCTTTTTTAAATAACTTTTGACACTATTTTACAGAACTGTTACAGAACTGTTATAGGTGGGTTTTATGCATCTCACTTTTCAGCAATCCTTCCTCCACCCCGCTGACCACTTCCCCCTACCATTTTTGTAGTGTTCTCCTCCCTGTCCTTAGCCCACCCCACTGTGGCACCTACCACGTCCACTTTAGATAGGAGGACATCGAAGTTCAAAGAAGTGAAGTCCTGGGACAAGGTCATGCAGTTGAGCAAGGCAGGGGCCAGACTGGATCCAGTATACCACGGTCAGCTGTGTCACAAATGTTCAGCTGTGTCCCTTAATGTTTCTCTTGGAGCAGGATCCAGGGACCTTCTTTCAAGAATTATTCAGGGACCTCTTACAGAAGTGGTTGCGTGGAAAAACATGAGTCTTTAAAGATCCATGGCCTCCCCACGTGGCTCACATGAGATCTCAGCCCCAGTCCAGTCACATGCTCTGCGGAACACCAGTGAGAGTTTTTAAGGAAGAACTGTGGGAGCTTTACAGGGCTAGGAACAGAAATAAGAGCAGCTAAATCAGCAGTTCTCGGTTGTCTGAGGGAAGAAGCAGAGACCAGAAAGTGAGGAGAAGGCACCAAGGGCAGCAGAGTCAGTCCCCAGTGATGAGGCCTGTGCAGGGCGGCGGGTGACCTGAGCTGTCGAGGATTTGGGCCTCACTTCCCTCTGTGGCCGTGGTTTCCTCTTTGCAGCCAGATGATGGATAGAGAAGAGCTCTGAGTATTAGCGCGAACGTGGATTTTTCTGTGCTGGTGCGTCCTGAGAGTTGTACATACAGAGCTCGGAAGGGTACAAGTTAGTTTTTGTACAGTTTATGTAGACAGGTCTGGGTTCCTCACCAAATGTCCATGTAGGCCTCTCCTATACCTGTGTAGAACGTCCCTGATCCTGACCCTGACATTGCCCTGTCTTGTGATCAACCTCCCTGTCTTGTCTGGTGCTGCCTACTCGCTTCCCATGGACAATGACCAGGTACCTGCGTGACTATCTATACTATTTCCACCATGGCCACATGTGTGTGGGCAAGATCTCTGTGCTCTGTACCTGTCGCTGGGCCTCCTAAATGTACTCCCAACAGTTCCTCTCATCCTGTCCCGGCTTTCCTAGTCTCTGATCACAGCCAACTGTGTGTGGGTGAGACTCCTGTGCTCAGCACCTCGTTACTCCCTGGGCGTCCAGGCCCTGCCTGAACCTGTGCTTCCCTGGGTATCTAGGCCCTGCCTGAACCTGGGCTTTCCTGGGCACCTGGGCCCTGCCTGTAGTCTGTCCTGTCTAGGCCTACATGGCCAGCCTGTGCTTAGCCATCTGTCTGGGCGCACAGCCCTACCTGATCCTGCGTCTGCTGCTGAGCAGGTCTGGAGAGACTGTCAGAAACAGAGTGTGTCTGGGGAGCTTCCTTTTATCTGCTGCCATATACCAGCCTGCCCCCTGCCATCCATTTGTCTATTCTCATTGGCTACCTGTTCCCTGGTTGAGATTTAAAGTGATTGACTATATTCCCCTGACCTCCATCTTTCCATTCCCGCTGTATGATGAGGTTCTTAGGTTCCTGCCCATGGGTCCAGGGAGCTGAGTGTGAGGTTGAGTCCAGGTCTGTGTCTTACCAGGCCCCGAGGATATGGCTGCGGACCCTCAGGTTTCTTTCACTCTCCAGGCTCTCTCTTTCTTTCCTTCTCACCCCCATAACCTTTTTCTTTATCCCATCACATTCTTTCTCTCTCTCTCCCTCTCTCTCTCTCTTTCCAGTACTACTTGAAGTGCTATTGCTTCCAGTAATTCTCAGGGGACCATGCAGTGCCAGGAATCAAGCTTCTGCATGCAAAGCATGTGCTCTGGGCCTGCCATCATCTCCCCGGTCCCTCTCTTTCACCATTGAGACATTGAGAGTTGCACTGTCACTGGCCCCTGTTGAAAAGATGTTGAAGTTTAACACGGAGTGCTGTGTAACAGTCAAGATGAAGTCATTGGAATGGGTCCTGATCAAATAGGACTGATGTCCTTAGAAAAAGAGGGACGGGCTAGTGCAGAGTGGCGACACCAACACAAATTCTCTGATGGCAGGGCAGAGACTCAGGAGCTGCAGCTGCAGACCTAGATGTGCCCGGGGCTCCCAGAAGATGGAGGGGACTAAGAAAGCTTCACCCCTAGAGGCTTCAGGAAAGTACTGTCCTACCAACCCCTGAAATCAGACTTCATTTATTTGGTTTTGGGATCACACTTGGCAGCTCAGAGCTTACTCCTGGCTCTGTGCTTAGGGATTGCTCCTGGTGATGTGCAGGGGACCATGTGTGGTGCCAGGGATGGAACAGGGTTAGCTATGTGCAAATTCTTACCCCTGTGCTATCCAACCCCAGACATTTATTAATTTTAACTTTTTTTTTCTTTAGGGTTGCATCTCAAGCAATGCTAAGAAAGACCAGGGGACTATCCCAGACTACTCCTTGTACTCAGTTAATCTGGTCCAACAATTCATTGTCAGTTCCTGGGGTGCTGGGGGGAGGTGGACACCAGTCCTTTGAGCTATCTCCTTGGTCCTATCTTACTTTTTTGTTTGTTTGTTCAAATTTTTTTGGTGGGGGCAGGGTGTACCTGGCTGTCCTCAGGGCTTATTCTGGTTCTATGCTCAGTGATAGTTCCTGGCAGTGCTCAGGGATGAAACACACGCACTCAGTTGGCTGTGTTCAAGGCAAGCACCCCACCCACTGTTCTATCACTCCAGCCCCTATTTCATTTTCAGGACTTACTTCTAGTGGCCCTCCATTCAGGACCTGCTGGTGAGGGCCTGCCCCCTCCTCAAGTCCCATCAGCCAATCAGCTTGCCAGAAAGTAGGGTGTCAGCCCCTTAAGCTCAGAAAAGCTTAAGCATGCAACTGGGTGCTGGCCCTTTCCCAGAAGGGGAAAGAGCCACACTCCTGCCTTGAGACTTATTCTCCCTCACGCCAGGCCTCGGGTGGAGTTGGTTCCTTCACCCCACTGAGCCTGTGCTTACTCAGCTGCCATGTGGGGAGCTGCCATGTGCCTACCTGACACAGGCTGAGTGGCTGAAAGAAAATACTCTATTTACAACCCTTGGTATATCTGGGCGTGGCAAGCATTTCTCACCCTGGTTTATTTCTATTATTATGTGTTTATTACTAATACATGACTGACTTTTTTTTAAAATGTAGGAGTATTGCTGTTTACTCAGCCATTGATTAAGCGGATTGAATGGGGCATGAACTCCACATTACTTTGTTTTTTAATTAAAAAAATTTTTAATTAAATATCTGTGAGAGAGATCATTACAAAGCTGTTTATAATTGGGTTTCAGTCATACAGTGATCTAGCACTCATTCCTCCACTAGTGTACATTTCCCACCACCAATGTCCCATTTCCCCATCTGCATCCCCCACTCTTGTCCCCCCACACCCCACTCCCAGATCCCCTCTGTGGAAGGCACTTTCCTTCTTGCTCTCTTTCTCCTTTTCCTTTTGTGCATTATGGTTTACAGTACAGGTGGTAAGAGGTCATGGTGTTTGTTCAGGGCATTTGGTATTTTTTTTTCTTTTTGGATCACACCTGACAATGCACAGGGGTCACTCCTGAGTAATTCACTCAGGAATTACTCCTGGTGGTGCTCAGGGGACCATATGGGATGCTCTGGAATCGAACCCGGGTCAGCCGCGTGCAGGGCAAACACCCTACCTGCTGTGCTATTGCTCCAGCCCCATATTTGGTTATTTTTATGGGGACAGTAAGGCTGGAGTAACTTTTCATTTGGGTGGCCGCTTTGGGGTGTGGATGTGACTGCTGAGGCTTCCAAAAGTTCAAGGAAGTGACATGATTGACTTTTGACAGCAACCACAGGCTTCTCTCTGGACAACCACAGGTGTGACTGCATTCTGTGGACTGCCAGAATCCATGCTTCCACAGAATTTTTTTTTTTTTTTTTTTTTTTTTGCTTTTTGGGTCACACCCGGCAATGCACAGGGGTTATTCCTGGCTCTGCACTCAAGAATCACTCCTGGTGGCACTCAGGGGACCATATGGGATGCTGAAAATTGAACTCAGGTCGGCCGCGTGCAAGGCAAACGCCCTACCTGCTGTGCTATTGCTCCAGCCCCATTCCACAGAATTTCTACTCATTCCAACCCTTTACTAAAAATGCTGTGGTTACAGGAAATTGCTTCACTGTCTCCTCCCCATGTGACATCATGGAGGGAAAGAGGAGCTGGCCGGAGGAGAGCGCGGGCTGGCATGCCTGTGGCTAGCTTGCCGGAAATGGGGGCACGGTGTGGGTTGGGGGGGCTGTCCTTCATGGGTGGAGGCTGTGTCTGATTGGATGGGCTCATGAGGAAGCTGAGGGTCAGGGTTTTTCCCTCAGGGAAGCAGGAAGGGATCCCTGAACCTCCTCAGTTTGGGGGTAGCTAAGGAAATTGGAAATGGGGGTCTTCTCAGACTCCCCCCTCAACCCTGGGGTGTGACTTGCCAGGACCTTGGAGGAGAGCCCTCCCATTACACCCCCGGGTGGGGTGGGGAGGCGGGACACTTCCTCCCTTGTGCTGAGCTGCCGTGCAGGAAACTTCACTTGTTTTCAGTGTCTCGTTGTCAGGCTGCCGGAGCACCCCAGAGCCGTGCACTGGGTTTTTCCTCCCTGCATCTCTCAGGAAGCTCCCACAGTCTGAGCGGTAGAAGGTAGGGGTAGAAGGTAGGGTGTCCTTCCAGAGCCCCCCCCAGGCCAAGGTCCCCAAGGACTCAGAGGTAGGTGGCAGTCCTAACCCCTAAACTCTGGTTTTCTGCTTTTTAATTTTTTTAGCTTGCTTCTGCCTCTGCACTCACGGATCACTCCTGGTGGGGGTTGGGGGACCATATGGGGTGCCAGGCATCAAATCTGGGTTAACTGCATGCAAGGCATATGCCTTACCCATTGTATTATTGCCCCGGGTCTGGTTTTCTGCTTTCTGACCCCGGTTGTCCCGGGGTTCCGGGAGAGGGAAGCCCTGTCCCAAGGACTTCCAACGTGGCGCCCCTCTGGCATACTTTCCAGTCAGGCTGCCTTCTCTCTCTCTCTCCTTGTGGTTTCACAGGGGCTGGCTGGAGTGTGTGCGCGGGTGGGTGGAGGTACCTGCCTGCACTTTGGAGAGGCATTTAATGGGTGCTGCCTGCCCTGGGTATGGCTTGCTCCAGGGGAGGGGTTTGCTGAAGATGGGGGCTCCTGACAGGGCATCTGCCCTGAAACAGCTGGAGGGGGAAGGAGTCATGGCTGTGAACTTGGTACCCACAGATGCCTCACGTGAGCCTGCACCCGTCCATCCCGCGGCCCAGAGCGCACCGGGCCTGGGTAGCAGCCGTGGTACTGCTGGCGGCCAGTCTGATGGTGCTCTGTTATAAAAACTGGAATAACCGGAGTTACTGCATCCACGCGCTGCAGGAGCTGCTGTGCCACCTGGCTTTCCAGACGCTCTTTCAAGGTTTCTGCTCTCTGGCTGAGGAGCTGTGCCACCTCCACTCCAGGTGAGTTCCTGCAGTCTCTTGTGCCCCAGGGTGTCTCCCAACGTGCCTGCCTTTTTGGTCTCCCTCTCTGTGCCTCGCTGGCTGAGCTATCCCCTGCAGATACCAGGACAGCTATTGGAATGCCGTGAAAGCCTGCCTGAGGTACCGCCTCCACTGGTATTTGGTCCTGGCACTGTTGTACTTCTTTTTGTGGATCTTTGAGTCCCCGAAGTCCCTCATGCAGACAATTGCCTTTCTGGGCCTCTCACAGGCTCTGCACATCATCCTAAGAATCCAGGTGCGACACGTGGAGGGGTGGGGAGGACAGCCAAGGGAGGGCTGTGGCTGGCGCGACCTGCTCTGAACTGGGCACTGGGAGCAGGGCTGGAAGGTTGGAACGGGGGTCAGCCCTAGCAGGGGAGCGGCTGGCTGGAGGGACCACAGGGTGGGGTGGGGGCTCTGGTTGTCCTTCTTGGAAGCCTCTCCCAAGCTCCTTGGCTGCTGTCCACAGGACTTGTCCCCTGCGGAGATCTCCAAGGTCAGTGAAGAAAGGAAGTTCAACGTGGCCCACGGGCTGGCCTGGTCCTATTACATCGGGTACCTGCGGCTGATCCTCCCAGGTGGTCCATACCCTGTGCCTGTTTCCAAACTGCAAGGCTAATGGTGGCAGATAGACGCCCCCCCCCCCCGCACCCCGCCCTGCCCCCTGCTCCCTGTTTCCAGAGCATGCTAGACTTTAAGGCATTTTCCTGTCTCAGAAATAATTCTCATAGTGGTTTTGTAGGTGCGAAGGATATTAATGCTCTGAATGCATAGTAAACAGAAGAAACTCGGAGCTTGGAGCTATTAAGTGACTTGCCCAAGGTCTGGCTTGAATCCCTTCAGTAGCTATTCACTGTCAGCAGAGTGCCCTTCAGGACGTTTTCATTGTGATTATTTGTGTTTTGGGGAGCCCATATCCTTTGGTGGCTGGAGGCTACTCTTGGCTCTGCGCTAACGGAGTCACCCTCAGTGCTGCTCCAGGGAGTTAGATGGTACCGGGGATCGAACGCCGGCCTCCTGCGCTCAGCCTACCGTACCATCACTCTGGCTGTGTTTTCTCTTTTAATTCTTAGCTCTGTGAGGAAGGGAAAAATCATCATCTCTGTTTTAGAGGTAAGAAAATTGTAGTTCCAAGAGAGAATGACTTGTCCAAAGTCTCTCAGCTGAACGAAGGGAGTATCCTGACCCAGATTTGCCCAGCACCCAGGCTCTTGGCCATCTTATCCTGAGCCCCAGTGTCGCCTGTTCTCTGACCTCCTCTTCTCTGCTTCTCTAGCTCGAAGTGGAGACTGGGAGCAGGGACTGTCACCTCTAGGTGCCTGAGCTGAGGGTGAAAGGAGTGGGGTATCCTGACTCCTAAACATAGCAGGGAGTGGGTAAGGGCTGGGAGGGTCTCAGAGGCCTGTTCCCTGCGGGTCTTCTGAATAGAGGGGGCCCTCTATTCCCTTTGACCCTCACATTGAAGGAACCATGGCTAGGAGCTCTGTCCCAGGCTGAGTGAGAGACAGGACAGTGGGAGAAGTCACTCCTTGATCTCTGCACCCCAGGACTTCGGGCCCGGATCCAAAAGTACAATCAGCTCCACAACAACCTCCTTCGGGGCCCAGCGAGCCATCAGCTCTACATCCTCTTCCCATTGAATTGTGGGATTCCTGACGACCTGAGTGTGGTGGACCCCAATATTCGTTTCCTTCATGAGTTGCCCAGTCAAACTGCTGACCGAGCTGGTATCAAACACCGCGTCTACACCAATAGCGTCTATGAGATTTTGGAGAATGGCGTGCGGGTGAGTGCAGGGGCGGGTTTCTCTGGGGAGTCCCAGAACCCCAGAACTTTGAGTCCTAGTTAAGTACTGTGGGAGTGAAGAGATAATACAGGGGGGAATGCACTGGAATGTGGCCTTGCCTGTGGTGTCCCTGGTTTGATCCATAGTACTAACCTAGGGTCCCCTGAGCACTACAGGAGTGACCTGAAGCACAGAACCTGGAGTAAGCCCTGAGCACCCCACCAGATGTAGCCCCTAAGCAGAAACAAACAAACAAAAAAAGAATTCACTCCTGGGCTTGGGCTGGGAGCAAAGGACTGGAGTGCGCGAGACCCTGAGTTTGATTCCCAGCAGCACATCAGCTGAGCGCTGGCACCATGGCCTGGTGTATCACTGGGCTGAACATGTTGGAGAATACATAGCCCTTGGGGACCCCCAGCACCACTGAAAGAATCCTCTTCTCTCTCTAAGTCTGTTTGACCAATTGACTCAGGGCTGGGCAAAATTTTGTGGTTTATTTATTTATTTATTTTTATACTGTTCTTTTTTTTTTTCTATTTTGGGTCACACTTGGCGATGCACAGGGGTTACTCCTGGCTCTGCACCTGATCAGGAATTACTCCTGGCGGTGCTCAGAGGACCATATGAAATGCTGGGAATCGAACCCAGGTCGGTTGCATGCAAGGCAAACGCCCTACCCACTGTGCTGTTGCTCCAGCCCCTCTTTACACGACAGAATCTGGCAAACTCCCCGTGTCGTACCCAACATGCCAAATACCAGTAACAATGATGGATCTCATTCTCCTAAAGAGCCTTGAATATAATCTCAGGGCTAGGATAAAGGAGACGTTACTGGGGCCTGCTCGAGGCAATCGACGATTAACAGGATGATTTGTGATTTGTGATTGTGATATACTGTTCTTTATTCAGCCACTGTTAAGCTGATTAAAGCAGGCATGAATTCCGCTGAGATTTCATTTGAGGGATGATGGTGATACTCTCCTCTCCTCCCTTCTCTCCTCTCTGAAAAGGAACAGTTAGGGGCTGGAGAGAAGGCACTTGCTTTGAATGTGACCACAAGGCCTTGAGACCTGGTTAAATCCCCAGAATTCTTTGTTTAGCCCTTACTCTGTGCTACACACTATTCTAATTTTTTTGTTTATTTTTGGGCCACATTCGGAGGTGCTCAGGGCTTGCTTCTGGCCCTGTGCTCCTGAGTCTGACAGGCTCAGGGGAGCATATAGGGTTCCTGAGATTGAACCCTGGCTGGCTGCATTCAAGGCAAGTGCTCTACTCATTGAGAGTATCACTCCAGCCCCAAGATGTCTCTGTTTTAGGGGACAATATTACCACTCCACACTCTCTACCTGTGTCAGTAGTCCCCACCACTGTTCACAGCAGACGTTATTCCAGGCTCTTCACTGACACCTGGTTGATTATGGGCCCAGGAGTACTAAGAACCCCACAATACAGAGGTGGAGACACAGTCAGTGAGAAAGTAGGCCCTGGATCATAAAGCTGCCCTAGGATGTCCCTGAGCCCAGGCCCAGACTTGATTTCCCACTGAGGACCACTAGGATGAGCATCTGGTTAGCTTAACCCTGAAACAAGGTAGTGAAGGTCAGCCACGTGGCACCATCTCGGGCCCATCTGTGCAGACTGGGGAAGGGGTACCCCTTAGCCAGGCTCAGAGACTGTGTGCCTGACCCCTGGTGGGGTCTGGTTTTCATCTCTCCCCAGGTAGCCACATGTGTCCTTGAGTACGCCACACCGCTGCAGACGCTGTTCTCCATGTCCCAGGATAGTCGAGCCGGCTTCAGCAGGGAGGACCGGCTGGAACAGGCCAAACTCTTCTGCCGCACACTTGGGGACATCCTGGATGATGCCCTCGAGTGTCAGGACAACTACAGCCTCATCATCTACCAGGGTAGAGGCTGGCGGACTGAGGGCAGGAGGCGTGGGAGCCCCTGGGATTTCCTGGGGTCAGAGCAGGCAGGTCATCTGTGCCCTGGACTTTCCAAGCCTTCAGGACACTTAGCCCGCCCCCTTTCTCCAAGTGCGGATGCTTCCTGAGCTCTGACAATGGGTGGAACGTGGAGAGGGGGAATCTGGGGGTTCTTGCTTCTTCCAAGAGATTCCAGAGAAAGCAGGAGAAGCTGGCTGTCGCTTGGGCTGATTGTGCCACCCCCTCGCTGTGTGACCTGCTGTCTGTCACAAGGGTGGGACTCTTGTCACCTCAAAAATCACTCTGGTTCTAGGGCACAGGAAACTCGCACTCCCAGTGACTGGGTGCAGGGCATGGGGCACAGGGGCTGGGGGGCAGGAGGGATGGGCAACCTGCCCAGGTAGATGCACCAGGGGAATGGGCAGGTCCTCATCCCTGCCCCCAACCCTTTCCAGATAATGCGGAAGAGAGCTTCTCCTTGTCCCAGAAGATTCTGCAGCACCTGCGGCAGGAGCAGGAGAAGGTCCCTGTGTGCAGTGAGGGGACTTCAGGGGTGACTGGGACCCCCACCTTATCCCAAGAGCCCCAACTGCTCATCAGTGACCTGGAAGACACTGACCAACCCCGTCCGCTGCGCTCCGACATCTGAGGCCCGGGTCCCCTTCCTGATTTCAGACTGGGGCTTCTTCAGTGACTGCAGGCCTGCATGGGGCCCTTCTGAAGAGACCACCTCTGGGAGATGGGTTTGTCACCCCTATCTCTACTTCCATCAGGAGGCTGTTATGAAGATTGTGACTGTGGGCACTTCCTGTACCTTCTACTGCCACATAAACTCCCTCCCTCCCCACTGGTGCTGCTGACTCCCTCAGTCTTTGACATGTGTCCTCTGACCTTGGGAGGACAGGTGGCGGGGGGGGGGGGGTGAGGAGGGGGTTGGGGGAGAAGAAATAGGAGGGGGGGAGGGGGAGGGTCGGGCATTTATTCCTGTTGCTCTCCTGTGGGTTCAAGGTCCCAGAGGGCTCTCTGCAGTCTTCCTCCCCTTGCCCTTTCCCACCTAGCAGAGTTGTGGGCTCCCCACTGAGGCCTATCTTGGGGTCCTCATGCTCACTGTGCTTTCCTTATCCCCCTGTCTAGTCTCCTCTTTATGTATTTCTTTTTTTGAGGGGGGCATACCCAGTGTTACTCAGAGGTTACTCCTGGCTCTGCACTCAGGAATTACTCCTGGTGGGCTCAGGGGACCATAAGGGGTGCCAGGGATCGAACCCAGGATGACTGTATGCAAGACAAAAATACCTTACCTGCTGCTCCAGCACCTTCTTTATGTATTTCTCATTGTTTTTGTGGTGCTGGAGATCAAACCCAGGGCCTCACACATGTGACATGTGCTCTACACTGAGCCACATCACTGGTCCCTTGTCCCCTAGACCCCTCTTTTTTTGTGGGGAGGGCAGTTGTGCCATACCCAGCAGTGCTCAGGGTTTACTCCTGACTCTGCACTCAGGGGTCACTCCTTGCAGGCTCAAGGGACCAGATCAGGTGCTGGGGATTGAACTCGGCCAGCTGTGTGCAATTCAAGTGCTATACGTGGTGCTATCTCTCCTTTTTTCTTCTCCCCCCCCCCCCTTTTTTTTTGCTTTTTATTGCTGGTTCTGCACTCAGGAATTACTCCTGGCGGTGTCCTGGGGGCAAGATGGGATGCGGGGATTGAACCCGGGTTAGCCACATGCAAGGCAAATGCCCTCCCTGTTGTTCTATCACTCCAACCACCTAGTCTCCTTTTTAAATGTGCCTCAGAGAACCCATCCGAGTACAAACTGGCTGGACTGGCTGACTCAAGAGACTGACGGCATTCTGGAGGGGTTCCGGGGATGGAACCCAGAACCTCAAATATGCGAAGCCTGCTCTCTACCACTGAGCTACACCCCTGGTCTCGATGACTGGTAGTTTTGGAGGTGACCTCTGAAGCAGTGATTAGGGTTTACTCCAGTGACACTCAGTCCAGCTGTGTGGCCTTGATGCTGGCAGTGCTGAGAGGACTGGCAGTGCCAGGGACTGAGCTTGAAACTCATAGAGCTCCTTTCCCTTTCCTGTTCTACCTCTGGAAGGTTCTGGTTCTGGGAAATGTCCTGGGGTAAAGGCTAGACTGGCTCCCACAAACCCAGACATACGGAAAATGACCTGTAATGTAACCCCCTAGGAGTCCTCTTCTATCCTGGGAAGGCAAGATACAGTTAGTGGCTGCTGTCACAGACAATTCGGAGACCCAAAAGGTGCTTAGGCTAGAGAGTGATTGTACAGCAGGTAAGGCATTTGCCTAGCACGTGGTCGACTTGGGTTCGATCCCCAGCATCATCTATATCCCCTAACCCTCCAGAAGTGATCCTTGAGCACAGAACCAGGAGTAAGCGCTGAGCACCACTGGGTGTCCCCAAAACAAAAACTAAAAAAGAAAAACAAAATAAAATTGCTCGGGGCTTTGCAAGGATCTTGAAAGTACTATGACCCCACAGGAAGGGGGAGATTCAGGGTGGGCACTGGACACAGGAACAGGTGAGAGGCTCGGGATCTGGGGGTCTGGAGGAGGAGGGAGCAGCAGGGCCAGGGGCGCCAGAAGGCAGAGGTCTGAGCGGGCCACAGCGTCTTTTATTTTTTTCCACCCTCAGCAGGGTTTTCCCGGCAAACTCTCAACCACAACCAAGTCCATGTGAACTCTGCTGAAGGGCCAAAGTCCAGGCCCAGTTTTGCCCCAATTCTCTGTCACATTTCTTGTTCTGAGTCAAGTCAGTTTCCTCCCTACAGATATGTGACCTCCTCAAGGCTGAGCCCAGGGCCCTGGGGCACATAGCAGGCGCCAAGGACTGGGGATCCCTGAGGGTCCTGGAGGTCCAGCACTCGCCAGTGGATGAGGTAGATGCCGTCCTCCGGCTTTGGGGCTGGAGGTTCCATGGACAGAGTGACCCGGCCGTGGTGCAGCCGCGGCCCATAGTGTACTGCCACCACAATGCAGACCGCCAGCAGGACAAAGACGGCGACAATAGCAGTGAGCACAGGCAGTCCATCCTCGCGAGGGCGGTCCAGGGTCCCTCCCAGCACTTCTGGCAGCTGCTTCTGAGATGCCTGTACCGAGGAGCCATTTGCAGGTGGGGAAATCCAGGAGGGCTGCTGAGAGGGGAGGGCAAGAGAGAAGGGTGGCATGGGTGTGGGCACACAGGATAAAGGCCAAGACTAGAGACAGACACCCAGAGGAAATGGAAAGAGCATGACAGTGACAGAGAGAGAAAGGGGCAGAGGCCAGCAGAGACAGAAATGGTGGGAAGAATCACAGAGACAGATACCCACAGTATCATCGAGAATAAAATGGGAAACTACAGAGTGAGAGAAGGACGGGGGGGGGGAGAGAGAGAGAGATAGAGATAGAGAGAGAGAGAGAGAGAGAGAGATATGAATCAAAAGAGCAGAAGGGGCAGAGCAATAGCACAGCGGGCAGAGTGCGTGCCTTGCATGCAACCAACCTGGGTTCAATCCCCGGCACCCATATAGTCCCCTGAGCTCGCCAGGACTAAGCTCTGAGTACCACCAGCTATGGCCCCAAGAAACATTTTTTTAAAAGAAATAGAGCAGAAGATGGGGAGAGGGTTCAAAGGGCTGGATCCCTAGAGTTCAACCCCTTTCCACTTCATGGTCCCCTGAACACCACCAGCAGTGACCTTGAGCATCCCCAGTATGTGCTGAAAAGAGGGAGGGAAAGAGGCAGAGATAGAGACAGAGAAACAGAGAGACTGAAAAGGGAAAAAAAGAAGAGATAAGGAAAGACAGCTAGGGACAGTCATTTAGAAAGGGACGAAAGACTGTCTGGCACGTAGAATTGGGTCCCAAGTCCCCTGCGACTGGCCTCTCTTTCTAGCTCTCCAGGAAAATGGCTAATTAGGCCCTGGGTCCTGTGTCAGGCCCTGGTCACTATGCCCAGACAGTGGTAGCAGCAGCTGCTGCTGAAATGCTGGGAAAAGTCATTATGTCCAGCAATGTCCATTCTCGAGGAAGGCAGGGGTGGCACTCTGGGAGGAGTGGAAGAGGAGGTGGGAACGTGAGCCCAGAGGAAGGAGGAAGAATTAACCTCAGATGGCAGCCCCACGGCCTTGGGAGGATGTGGGACCCTGCCCAGGACAGGAGGAGGGCACAAGTATGAGAACCTCCTCTTTTTTTCTGAGGGGAGGGGGGCTCGGATCAGCAGTGATCAGTGGCTATTCCTGGCTCTGTGCTCAGGAGTGCGCCCTGGCAGTGCTGGGTTGGGAGAGGGAACCCCATATGGTGCCAGGATTTGAACCGGGATCAGCAGAATGCAAGGCACATGCCTTAACTCCTATACTATCTCTCCCGCTCAACCTGTCACAACCTCTTTCTGGGCCCCAGGCTTTCTGGTTCACCCCAATGCTGGGGTTCCTGGTCTCTGTTTCAGTTCTACAAAATGTGGGGATGGATACAGGGCCAAAGAGATAGTACAGCCGGTAGGGTGTTGGCCTTGCATGCGGCTGACCAATCCCCAGCATCCCATGTGGTCCCCCCAGTACCTCCAGGAGCAATTCCTGAGTGCAGAGCCAGGAGTAATCCCTGAGTATAGGGTGTGATCCAAAAAGAAAAAAAAAAGCGTGGGGATGGGATGAAGGTAGGGGTCCCAGTGACAGTAGCAAACCCCAACAAACTCCCAAACTGAGAAGCTGGGGTCACCACAGTCACACACCTTTCTCCCTCCCATATCTTGCCCTATCAGGACCACAGGGAGCAATGACTCTCCCCCAAACCCTCCCTAACCCTGAGCTTTGCACCAGGCTCAGGGAAAGCTGTCAGGACAAACCTTCAGTCACACTGTCCACCGCACATGTGGGCACTTGGACTAACCACCTAGCCAGACTGTCCTCTCATTTGTTGTTGTTGTTTTTTTTTTGGGGGGGGGGTGGCGTGGGGCAACCAGTTATGCCCAGGCCTGGCTCTGTGCTCAGTGATCACTCCTGGCAGGACTCAGGCTCCACTCCACACCATATGGGGGTGCGGGGCATGGAACCCCAGCTGGCTGCGGGCAAGGCAAGCACCCAACCTGCTGTCCTATCTCTCATCCTCATCAGCCTAGCTAGAGTTTGGGGCCCCAGGTTACAGAACTTCCGGGCCAGAGTGGGGGTGGGGAAGCGGCTCCGGATGTACCTGGTGAAGAGCGCGGGGAGGGGGATGGGTCCCTGCCGGGTCCCTGCTGGGTTCAGGCCAACCCTGCGGGAAGGGGTGAACCTACCTGGTGCATTGTCTGCCCCGCGAGGCTCTGTCCGCTCTGTGGGCGCTGGCGATGGAGCCGGGCGCCCCGGCGGGCCCTTACCCGGAGCTGCCACGTCTGGGCCCGGGCACACACCCTCAGCACACACTCGCCGCCTCTGCCCTGCGCTTTCACTTCCTCCAGCGGGACTCCCCTGCGCCCAACCCCTGACTCCGGGGTGGGGGTTGTGGGGGCCTGCTCACAGGCCTCCAGCCCGGCTCATCCCACCCCACCTGTCCCCAGTATCACTGCCACTCCCTGCCCAACCCCAAACCATTCCCCAAAGGTACAGCCTTTGGGGAACTTACTTTTGCTTTTTCTTTCTTCTTATCTTCCTTCTCTTCTCTTCTCTTCTCTTCTCTTCTCTTCTCTTCTCTTCTCTTCTCTTCTCTTCTCTTCTCTTCTCTTCTCTCTCTCTCTCTCTTCTTCCTTCCTTCTTTCTTCCTTCCTTCCTTTTTCTTTTTCTTCTTTCTGTTTCTCTCCCTCTTTTTCTTCCTTCATTTCTTTTTCTCTTTCTCTTTTCTCCTTTTCTTTCGCTCCCTCTTTCTCTCTTCCTTTCTTTTTCTCCTTTCTTCTTTCTTTTTTCTCTTTTCTCTTTCTCTCCTTCCTTCCTTTCTTCCTTCCTTCCTTCCTTCCTCCTTTCCTTCCTTCCTCCCTCCCTCCCTCCCTTCCTTCCTTCCTTCTTTCCTTCCTTCCTTCCTTCCTTCCTTCCTTCCTTCCTTCCTTCCTTCCTTCCTTCCTTCCTTCTTTCCTTCCTTCCTGGAAAGGCAAGCATGTGCTATGTTCAATTGGGACACTCCACTCTCTGACTTAACCTCATTCATCTCTTAATAATTGGCCAAATTTCTTTTGAAAAATTTGGAGAACTCAAATATTCGGTGTAACATATAGCCCTGCCCCCTGACCACTACCCTCCTCTTTGCCCCCTCTTATCTGAACCTGCATCATCCTTTATGGCTTATGTGCAGGTGTCACTTCCTCTGTTTCTATTTTGCCAGTTTCCTGTTCCGTAAACCCAGTCTAGTGTTCTGACCTTGCTGACATTTGTCACCCTCATCTAAAATATCACAGGTGTGTATGTGGCAGGGCGAGGGGGGTATTCATTTTGCTGCTTAACCTGTGACCCCATGAGAGCATTCCTGTCAGTATCCTGGAACACACGGCCAGGAATGACGCAGAAGGTGCTAGGCAAAGGTTGGATGACTAACACACGGACCCGGAAAAACCCCAGCACTGACCACGCACCCCTGACTTGGTCCTCAAAGCTCTTGTTGAGTCTCTTCACCTCCCCTGCACCAAGGGTGCCCCAGACCACTGAGTGTTTCCTGACTCTCCCTCTGTCCCTTCCGAACTTTTGTCATCCTGGAGCCTTTTGGCTGGAGTCTGGAGCTAGAATGACCAGGATGTGCTCTTACCTCACAAAAATAAAGCCCCAGCTTTAGAGATTTGAGAGCTAAAACCAAAGATGAAAAGATTTGGTGTCCTACACTCCATTACCTCTCTAGGCTGGCGGGCCCGTGGCTCAGGTCTGGCTGGGGGTTGAGAGGGCACATCCCTTGTCCAGGGAGGAAGATGGGGATGGTAGCTGCGCTTTTTACTCTGCAGCCAGAGGGTGCCCATAGTGGGGTCAGAGTGCCGAAGAACAGCCGCCTACAAGGAGGCTGCAAGGCATTAGTGCTGAGGGTCAAGTGATTTTAGGAACAACTTTTGGGGTACTTTTTGTTTTGTTTTTGAGCTTACCTGGTGGAACTCAAGCACTACTCCAGGATTTGTGCTCAGGAGTTGCTCCTGGCTATGCTCGGGGGAACCAAGTGGTACTGGGGATCTAACCTGAGTGTTCAGAGTGCAAAACAAGTGCTCAATCCATTGAGATCTCTGTAGCCCAATAGAATACTTTTTTTTTTTTTGCTTTTTGGGTCACACCCAGCGATGCTCAGGGGTTATTTCTGGCTCTGCACTCAGGAATTACTCCTGGCAGTGCTTGGGGGACCATATGGGATGCCGGGGATTGAACCCAGGTTCGCTGCGTGCAAAGCAAACGCCTTACCCGCTGTGCTATCGCTCCAGCCCCCAATAGAATACTTTAAAAAAAATTTTATAAGGAACGCTTCACTAATTTGCATGTCATCCTTGTGCAGGGGCCATGATTATCTTCTCTGTGTCATTCCAATTTTAATATACGTGCTAACAAAGCAAGAACCAGAATAAATTTTTTATTTTTGGGTTTTAGGGCCACACTGTACAATGCTCAGGGGTTCTTCCTGGCTCTTCATCCAGGAATCACTTCTGGTGGTGCTTGGGGGGACCATATGGGTTGTCAGGGATTGAGCCCTGGTTGATCCACGTACAAGGCAAGTTCCTTACTAATGTACTATCTCTCCAGTAACAGAATAACAGAATAAATTCTGAGGGGACACATTTAGCCTACAGCAGTGTGTAAAGCTCTATCTCAGTAAAACTCTTTTAAAAACATACAATGAGGGGCTAGAGCAATAGCACAGCGGGTAGGGCGTTTGCCTCGCCCGTGGCCAACCCGGGTTCCATTCCCAGCATCCCATATGGTCCCCTGAGCACCGCTGGGGTAATTCCTGAGCGCAGAGCCAGGAGTAACCCCTGTGCATTGCCAGGTGTGACACAAAAAGCAAAAAAACATATATATATAATGAGGGCAAAGGAAGAAAAGACGACCAGACAAATAGCTCAAAGGCTGAGCATCTACTTAGCATGCAAGACATACTGCATACTTTCGAATATATCCAGACATAATTCCCGGACATACTTTTCATGCTGGATGGGCCGCTGAGCGCAAAGCCAGGAGGTCACTTGATCACTTGACTTCCCGTTACTCATTGATTTGCTCGAGCAAGCGCTAGTAACGTCTCCATTTGTCCCTGTCGCGTGCTAAGTCAGGAGTAGTCCCAAAGTAATGCCGGGTGTGGATTAAAAAATAAAAATAAGGGTTGGGGAGATAGTACAGTAGGTAGGGTGCTTGCCTTGCATGCAGCTGACCCAAGTTGGATCTCTGCCATCTTACATGGTTACCTGTGTACCACCAGGAGTGATTCTTGAGCGCAGAAACAGGAGTAAATCCTGAGCTCTGCTAAGTGTGGCAAAAACAAAAAAAACAAATGAGCAAAAAATCCTAGGCTTCTTGGAGAAATATCTGATTCCAGACCTGCAGCAGGAGAGGAGGTCCCAGATGAACCTGAAACATTTTGAATGTCAGAAAGCAACAAAGGATTCAAACAATGCAAGGCATGAGGCCAAACATCACACAAGTCAGCTAGACCAGGGTCCTAAAATGGGGACAGTCTGAGAACCGAATTAATAAGTGGTGTAATGTGTATTTTATAGCATTTTAAAGGACAAAGTCCCCCCACTATTTGAAATAGAACATTCCTACAAAATCTCTTCTAAGCGGAAGTGGCACAGAGTGAAGAAGCAATTACCATGAATTTATATGGAAAAAAATTAAGTATTCCCAATCCCCCCAAAAAATAACCTAGGAAAAAATGACATGAAACCCAAGACAACCCAGCTAGAGAGACAGTTCAACTGGCTGAGTGCATGGTTCGCATGCTGGAAGCTCAGATTCAATCCCAGGTACCACCTTTCCAGAACACAACAGGAGTAGCCTCTGAGCACCGCCAGTGTGGTGGAAAACAAATAAGCAAACAAAATAGCAATAATAACCAAACATACACTCAAAGCAGGAGGAGAGGTATCTCACACAGCAACACTAGCACATGCCGCAGGAGTGTAGCAGCGCCCCACTGCTGACCTGGGTGTGAACTGCCTCTGGATTGCTAGCTGCCACACAAATGCTAAAGTCACATTTTGCTTTTCCTCTTTTGTCATAAAAGTGAAAATCTTCAGATTTTTTTTTCACTTCTGGGTACCGACCCAGGATCTCACTCAGGAAATACAAGGACTTTATTGCTAAGCTATATCCGGCCCAGATTTTTTGGGGGTGAGTAAATACAGGTCTGTGATAAAATTAAAGTGGCATGTTCTTGTCTTTCAAAAAGTACGGGGCAGGAGCCGGAGTAATAGTATAGCGGGTAGGGCATTTGCCTTATACACGACCAGCCTGGGTTTGATCCTTGGCATTCCATCTGTCCCCTGAGCACCGCCAGGAGTATTTTCTGAGTGCAGAGCCAGGAGTAACCCTTGAGCAGTAACCCTTGAACATTGCTGAGTATGAACCAAAAAGCAAAAAAAAAAAGTAGGGGACACCTCTATTGCCCCACAAAATCTTTGTTTTCTCCAAAACAAAGGGTAAAACAGTAACTTTAAGGTGGAGAAAGCTGATAACGTTACATTTATAGAGAAAGATAAAGCTGATAAAGTTATATCAGAATAGATAAGAATAGATAAAGAATAGATAAAGCTGTTAAAGTTATATCTATTAACTTTATACAGTTATAACTTTATAAAATTATAAAGTTAATAGATATATCTTTTAGACATATCTATTTTTTTTCTTTTTTTTGGGCGGAGTGTCACACTCTGAGATGCTCACAGGTTATCCTGGCTCTGCACTCAGGAATTACTCCTTGCAGTGCTCAGGGGATCGTGTGGGATGCCAGGGATTGAACCCGGGTCAGCCATGTGTAAAGCAAGCACCCAACCTGCTGTACTATTGCTCTGATGTCTAAAAGATATGTCTTCAACAACAGCAGATGAGTGCCAGGAGTGTGACTAACATGTAATGTTTAAATTTAAATTTTAATTTTACTTTTAATTTAATCACTTCACTTAATCACTTAACTTCCTGTTAGTCGTCGATTTGCTCGAGCGGGCGCCAGTAACGTCTCCATTTGTCCCTGTCGCGTGCTAGTGTAGCCCAATGGCATCTGTTCGCTCTGGGAACATGAAGAGCGTCAAACCGATCGTTCATGATCTTGACGAAGAAGTCTCACCATCTGGTAGGTGGGCGGCCACGCGGTCTTTTGACATCCCGTGGAATCCAGTCAGTAACAGCTCTAGTCCAGCGGTCGTCTTTAAATCTCATTACGTGACCAGGCCATCTGATTTTTGACACCTTGGCAAACGAGACAGCGTCCCTGATTCTTGATCGTCGACGAATGTCAGAACTCCGGATTCTTTCTCTCATTTGAGTGAAACGTGATATTCCAAGCATAGCTCTTTCTATTCTTCTTTGGGAGACCTGAATAGCGTTCTCATCTTGTTTGCGTAGGGCCCAGGTCTCTGAGGCATATGTTAATGCAGGAAGAACAGTGGAATCAAAGAGATGTGCCTGGAGCACATCTTAATTTAATTTATCTTAATTTAAGATAAATTTTTTTTTTGCTTTTTGGGTCACACCCAGCGGATGCTCAGGGGTTACTCCTGGCTCGTGCACTCAGGAATTACTCCTGGCGGTGCTCAGGGGACCATATGGGGTGCTGGGAACCGAACCTGTGTTGGCCATGTTGGCTGCATGCAAGGCAAACTCCCTACCCGCTGTGCTATCGCTCCAGCCCCTAAGATTAAATTTTTAACTTTACAATAGGTAAGACACTTACCCCCCCCATCCCCTCCCTCCTTCCTCCCACCACACAAAAGAAAGAAAAATGAAAATAACAAGTAGGTAGCCTCCTCCAGGCTTCTACCCAGTACCAATAGGTATAGTCAAAACGTTTATATATAATAATAAATTTAGAACAAAAATAAATGAATAAAAACATACTAGGGATAAGCCATAGACATACCTCCAGACCCTGCACCAGACTATCTCATTTGGGACAACCCAGAGGGGGGCGGGTGAGGTCCCCTCCCCACCCCGCCCCAAAGGAGCCAGCCACAGCAGCCAAAAACTGCCAGAACTCAACTTCCGCCATGCTCATGGCCACTCTCCACAAGCTTGGATGAACCTCACCCATGAGTGAATCTATTCCTAGACCATGTGGCCATATTTGCAGACATGTGACATCTCATATTTTACACCACTGATATACCAAGAGTAGCACACCACATTTGGTGGGGTTTAAAACAGAAGGCAACCAATCTTAGAGGGAAATATATTTATACATATATATATAAACGTACACACACACACACACACACACACACACATATATATGCACACAAGTCTCAACCTTTAATGACATGTTACTAATCTCTTATAGAAGGGCTTAGAGTCTCCTGGATGAAATACAACAATCTTCACATATTTTTCTCTAAGTAACCTTTCACTGATTATTTTTAGCAGATTATTCATAACAAGAAATACAAAATAAATTATTTTGGTTCTGCTTTGGGAGCAGGGTTTGAGATGAAAACATTTGAAATATGGTGGTGAGAAGGTGTCGGGGCTGGAGTGATAGCACAGCGGATAGGGTGTTTGCCTTGCAGGCAGCAGACCCAGGTTTGATTCCCAGCATCCCATGTCCCCTGAGCACTGCCAGGGGTGATTCCTGAGTGCAGAGCCAAGAGTAACCCCTGAGCATCGCCGGGTGTGACCCAAAAATTAAAAAAAAAAGGTGTAATGGTGGTGGGATTGGTGTTTGAATATTAAATATAATCAAATATTGTGAACAACTTTATAAAAATAAAATTTAAAAAACTAAAAATAAATAAATAAAACATGCTAGGATAAAGGGGAAAGAAACACACTAAACTAGTCTGAAAAAAAAAGGCAGAACAAAACTTTGTGTTTATATGTTTTTCTTCAGAACTTGTGACAATCCTTAATTGCAAGAAGATTTTTTTTTGCAGATATAACTAAGTTAAGGGTCTTTGGATAAAGACAGCATTCTGGTTACCCAAATGTGTGCTAAGTCCCAAGACAAGTGTACTAAAAGACACAGTGGAGAAGGCAATGATGAGGCCACAAGCCAAGGAGTGCCCAGCAGCCACTAGGAGCTGGAAGAGTGAAGGAAGAAATTCTCTTCTAGAGCCTGCAGGGGGCGAGTAGCCATGGCAGGTCCTTAATTTTGACTTCTCTGGGAGTATGAAAGAATATATTTCTGGTGGTTATTTTATTTCCCACATCTGGCTGTTCTCAGGGTTTACTCCTGGCTCTGCATTCAGGAGTTGCTCCTGGTGCAGCTAGGGGGGCCGTATGGGGTGCCACTGTACTATGTCTCCAGCCCCAATTTCTGTTGTTTTAAGTAATAGTTTATGGCAATTATTTACCACAGCATTTCTCAGCCAGATCCCTGTGGGGTCATTGCATGAGACTAGTGGGGCAACCAGTAAGACAAGAGAGTCACAGGAAGGAAACAAGGTCAGTTTGGTTAGAAAAAGGTTGAAAAACCCTGATTTAACCATCAGAGGAAACTAATACACTAACAGACACCACCTTAATAAACAAGGGAGCATCCTCAGTAAACGGACACGTCAAAAATCACACATCAGTTAAAGGATGCAAAGAGAGACAAAGCTGTGACCTTCCTACTGAGGATGCATGACCTAAATTTAATCATAAGAAAATAAAAGACAGTTGACTTGAAGACATAGAACAGGGGTTGAATTTCTTGCCCTGCATACAGCTGACCCTGGTTTGATCCCCTGAGCACTGCTAGGGGTGATTCCTGAGCACAGAACCAGGAGTAAGTCCTGAGCACTACCAGGTATGGCCCCAAAACAAGAAGGAAAGATAGAGTGAGAGATAGAGAAAGAAAAAAATGTAGACAAATCTAATTCAACAACATTGTCAAAATAACCTCCAAAAGTGTCAAGGTCAATAAAGTAAAAAAAGAAACTGAGAAACTATTCCAGATCGGAGACTAAAGTGACATGCTAAGAATATATATTAGGAATATATAAGTATATAATTTTTATTTATTTTTACACACACATTGCAGTGCTCAGGGCTTACTCCTGGCTCTGCACTCAGGGATCACTCCTAGAGGGCTTAGGGGACCATATAGGATGCTGGGTCAAACCTAGGTCAGCCACGTTCAAGGCAAGAACCTCACTATCTCTTCGGGGCCATAAGAGTAATTTTTAAAATTTCATTTTTGGGAGGCCACACCCTGCAATGCTCAGGGCTTACCCCTGGCTCTGTGTTTAGGGATCACTCTGGTGGTGCTCAGGAAACCAAATATCAGGATTTGAACTGGGGTCAGCTGTGTGGAAGGCAAACACCTTAACCCCTGTACTCTGTCTAGGCCCAGGATTAATTTTACATGAACCCTTTTGCTGTAAAGAACATTACGGAGTCAACTGTCAAAACTTAAATAACATCTGCATATTAAAAAGCCTTTAATGTCAGTTTCAGCTTCCTCGTTTGGATGACTATGTGATGATTATGTAAGAGACTATCCTTGTTTTTAGGACATACAATAAAATAATTGGGGATAATGGGAATTTTTGTTTCTTGTTTTATTTCTGGGTCAACCTGGCGGTGCTCAGGGCTTACTCCTAACTCTAAGCTTAGTGCTCACTTGTAGAGCGGAGCGGGGTACCATCTAGGGTGCCGGGGATCAAACCCAAGTTGACTGCATGCAAGGCAAACACCATATCTGCTTTACTATTGCCCTGGCCCCCGAATGAAGTGTTTTGCTGGCTTTTTCTCTGATAGATGGGGGAAGGTATACCTCCAAGTAACATTCAGAGGGCTCAGGGGTCTCGCTGGTCTGGTGACTCTGGGTCCTTGGGCTTGAGGGTGAGGTGCTGCTCGGGCTCTGTAGTGTTGGCATCACTGGGACCTTCCAGGGTCATACCCAGCAGAGCTGGGGGAGGGGGATAAAATGTGGTCAGGGATCAAACCAGGTTTAGCCATGTGCAAGGCCTTAAACTCTGTTCTATCTTTTTGGCCCTTTGTTGGGGTTTTTTTTTTTTTTTTTAGTGGTGGGGAGGCTCACTTTGTGGTGCTCAGGGCTTACTGCTGGCTCTGTGTTCAGGAATCACTCCTGACAGGGTTCAGGAGACCAAATATGGTGCTGAAGATTGAACCTACGTTGGTTGTGTACAAAGTGTACAAAAGTAAGTGCCCTACCCTCTGTGCTATCTCTTCTGCCTCTACCTCAAACCCCCAGCACTGCCAGGGCTTACTCCTGAGCACTGTTGGGTGTGCCCCGACCCTTCTCCTCCCCAAATAAAGTTAAGTCTTAAACTGGGAACCCTGGGACTTATGTTAGGAGGACGTTAACGTCAGAGCATACGGAACACCTGGGAGAGAAGGGCCAGAGAGGGGGGCGCTAGGAATGTGGCTCTCTGGTTTCCTGTGAATCAGAGCAATGTCTGTGAGGCCTCGCTGGGTGCTGTCCCATCCATCCTCATTGAGAGCCCAGAGGGGAGGGACTGTGAATTCTGTGCACACAGTGGGGCGGGACTGCGGGACTGCGGGGCTCAGTCATCGGAGAGGCAGAGGAGGGCTCAGTCTGTGCGGGTGGGGTGGGGAGGGCGGGTGTTGGGAGTCAAGGATGGCTGTTTAGCCAGGAACCCTCTGGGTGGTGTGTGCTGGGACCCTCTGGCCCTGGGGACAGGGGGCGCAGGGCCAGGTGGGCCAGCGGTTTTGCGCACGCAGAGCCCTGGGTGCAGTGCTTGAGCCTCACATCCTCACGGGCCTGCCGTCAGAGCAGGGCCCCTGGAGCTAGTCCCAATCTGTTTCCTTCTATTCTTTGGCAGGAAGCTCCCGGAGCGCCGCCCCCGCCCCCCGCCCCAGCACTCCCTCTCTCTTCTGCACTATGGACAGAGCCCAGCAGCTGCCTACCCGCCTCCCACCCGGCTGACATGGGCACCGTTGGGGCCACGCGGCTGTGCGGGGTGATCCTGGGCTTCCTTCTCCTCCGAGGTAAGAGGCACTGGCCACTCGCCCGCCGACGCGCTGGGTATCTGTCCCGGCCCTGGACTCAGACCCCTTGAGCTGGCCATCCGGGCTGTGCCTAGGGAAATTCCAGGATCTTTCAGTGAAGGGAACCAGTGGGATTGGGAGGTGGCCATTACCAGTCAGGGGCCAAGCCAAAGATAGTTCAAGCCTGCTGGGGGCTCTGGGGTCCCTTCAGAGACTGGGCTTGGGACATGTGTGGAGTGATGGTCTCCGGGAGAGACTGGGTGGAGGCACTCCTGCCCCGGGGTGCTGGGGTGTCCCAGCTCACACTCCAGCCTGGGTGCTGGGTAGATGGCCGATCACTCTGTCTGCTGTTTTAGTATGAAATTGTCGACCCCTTGTTCTTCGTGGGTTGGTCTGTATGGGGGCAATCCTTGGGGGTGGCCACACCCAGCAGTGATCAGGGCCTACTCCTGGCTCTGTGCTCAGAGGTCCTTCCTGGTGGGGCTCAGGAGACCATCACAGTGCCAGGGATTGAACCAGCCGTCCTTTCACCCCTGTGCTATCCGGCCTCCACTATTATTTTCTTCACTTCTCTGAGGAGCAACAGAGCACTGCCAGAAATTCCTTACATTGACTGATGTTCAGTTCAGCTCACAGAAGAAAGGACTCAGGTTAGATACAAAGAACTAAATGCTAAACAGGAGGGTCACAGCACCCTCAGCCAACGGTCTGGGGAAGTTGCCCTGCAGAAACAGCCGCCCTCAGCTGGGGCTCTTCTCAGATGATGCCCATGAAGCCGCTCCTGGGGGGCTTCTCATTAAGGAGCAGTTGCTGGGAATCATGAGAAATCCAGGAGATTCTGAGTCACAGGCCAGCAACTTCCCCTTGGGTTTCTAATTCCCACCCCCACCTCACCCACATGAGTCCCCTATGAAAGATTTGGGAACTGTGCTCAGAGCAGCAGACAGGAGTACAAGAGTGCTCGAATGGGGCGGCTGGAAGGTCTGTGGGACTAGGGGGAAGGCGAAAAGCAGGACATCTGCCTGAGGAGAACCAGTCGTCCTCAGGAGTCACACTGTTCCAAAGACTACGGGCTGAACCCACACATCTGACATTCTTTCTGGGGCTGGGATCCCGGCTATAGGCTGAAGTGGGTGGGCGGCGCTAACAGGTGAGATCCCTTTCTCAGGCTCTGCTTCTTCCAGCCCCCCACCTGCTGGCCTGTCCCAGGCAGGTGCAGGGCTGGGAGTGTCCTTGGAAACCACCCTAACCCCTTTTACCCTGACTTTCTCTACCTCCCCTGGAAAGAGTTCAGAGCACTTGCTGTCTTCCCTCATCTGGTAACTGAGGAATCCTTTCGAGGATTCTCAGGCCCGTGGCATGAGTTGATTGAGGCTACAGAAAGAAGACAAACCCCGGACCAGGAGGATGGGAGAGAATTGGAGAATTGGGCTCAAATAAAAATGTCTAGTCTTTCTTTCTTTCTTTCTTTCTTTCTTTCTTTCTTTCTTTCTTTCTTTTTGGGTCACACCTGGCGATGCACAGGGGTTACTCCTGGCTCTCCACTCAGGAATTACCCCTGGGGTGCTCAGGGGACCATACGGGATGCTGGGAATCAAACCCAGGTTGGCCACATGCAAGGCAAACGCCCTACCCGCTGTGCTATCACTCCAGCCCAAAACATCTAGTCTTTAAAGCACATACTTGTGGTCAGACAATATATTAAGTCCTTTACATATAGTTTCTTTTGGGGGTGGTGGTGGTAGGGTTTGGGGCCACGTTTGCTGGTACTCAGAGCTTACAACTGGCTCTGTGCTCAGGGATCACACCTAGCAGTGTTCAAGGGCCATTCCTGGCTCTGTACATGGGAGTGCCCCCTGGCACTGCTCAAGGGACCATATGCAGTGCTGGGGATCAAACTAGGGTCAGTCATATACTGGGCAAGCGCCTCTGTACTATTTTGCTAGCCTCTAAATGTAGTGTCCTTATTTTTTTCGGGGGGAGGGAGGGGTGGACCACACCCAGTGGTGCTCAGGGGTTACTCATGACTGCGCTCAGGAATAATTCCTGGTGGGCTCAGGAGACCATACCCAATGTACTGTCTAGTTTCTTAGCCTCATAACCAGTTACTAGAGGTATAGAAAATACACTTAATTTATTTAATAATTGCACTTAATTTAACTTAGTCTTGACATTTTTGCTTTATTTTTATGAGGCTCACACCCGATGTTAGGGATTAAGCCTGGACCACTAACTCATTAGTCATGTGTTCTACCCCTTGAGCCCCAGATCCAGCCCCCAACTGCTTTTTATTTTGTTTTTTGGTTTGGGGGGCCACATCTGATAGTGCTCAGAAGTTTAAATCTTAGTCAACTCTGTGTAAGGCAAGCGCCCTACCTGCTGTATCATGGACCTTTTATTTATTTAATTTTGGGATTTGGTACACACTTGTAATTGCTTAGGGCTGCTCTTGGCTCTGTGCTTGGAGGTCACTTCTAAAAGTTCTGGTAGGACCATGGGATGCTGGGAATCAAACCCAGGTTTCCTGCATGCAAAACATGAGCTCAGCCCTTTAAACTGTGTCTCTCCAGTCCCCCATTGCACTTTATTTGTTTAGTTTCTGTTGGGGTGCCATACCTGGCAGTGCTTAAGGACTGCTCCTGGCTTTGTGCCCAGGGAGTCATGAGTGCTTGGGATTTAACCTTGGTCTCCCATGTGACAAAGTATACACACAGTCCACTGAATTATCACCCCGAAATCCTCGATTGCATTTATTTTGGGGCCAGATTTGGTGGTGTTCAGGGATTCTTCTTGGCTCTGAGTTCAAAGATCTCTCCTTGGAAGGGCTTAGGGGACCATATGGGGTGTCAGGGACCAGACTTGGGTGTGCCATGTGCAAGGCAAGTGTATCCATTGTACTACCTATCGCTCAGGCTCCCTAGTTTTCATTTATTCCCCGATCAATGTTCAGGCATTTTTCTTAGTGGTGTTAAAAAGATCACGTGATGCCAAGGAACATTCTTGTCTTTCTGTATGTGAAGCATACGCTCTAGTTTATGTAACTATCTCTCTATACCATCCCCACACAAGAGCATTTATTTATTTAATAAGTTTTAGTTTGGGGGCCATACCTGGAGGTGCTCGGGGCTTACTTCTGGCTCTGTGCTCAGGGATCACTCCTGGTGGTGGTATTCAGGGATCAAACCTGAGTAGGCTGCATGAAAGGGAAGCACCTTACTATCTCTCTGCCCCCACAATTGCAATTCTTTTTTTTTTTATTTTTGGTTCATACTTGGCGATTGCACAGTGGATAGGGCATTTGCCTTGCACACGGCCGACCCGGGTTCGATTCCTTCGTCCCTCTCAGAGAGCCTGGCAAGCTACCAAGAGTATCCCACCCACATGGCAGAGCCTGGCAAGCTCCCCATGGTGCATTCAATTGCCAAAAACATTAACAACAAGCCTCACAAGGGAGACGTTACTGGTGCCCGCTCAAGCAAATCGATGAACAAGGGGACGACAGTACTACAGTGCTACATTGCTAATCAGCGTTTCTCAGGAATTACTCCTGGCTCTGCTCTCAAGAATCACTTGTGGCAGTACTCAGGGAACCGTACGGGATGCTGTGAATCAAACCCAGGTTGGCCGCATGCAAGGCAAGTACCTTACTTGCTGTACTATTTCTCTGGCCTCCGACAATTATATTTTAAAGAAAAGAAACAGATGCCTGGATTAGAGAGTGACAGGTTCAGGACTTGATCTTAAGCTTGAGATCTTTAACTCCAGAATCTATGATCCTGACTTCTAAATAATACAGCCTAAGGGAGTTGGGAAGAGCAGGAGGAGAGATTGGAAGCATGAAGCAGGTAGAGATGGAGAGAGGGAGACTTGGCAGATGGAAAATTCCCATCACATGGGCGGGAGTGAGAGTACAGCAGGTATGGCTTTTTGCCTTGCACCTGGCTGACCCCTGCTTTGATCCCCAGCATTCCATGTGGTCTCTCAAGCACTGCCAGGAGTAATTCCTGAGTGCAGGACCCAGGAGTAACCCTTGAGCATCACTGTATCTGCCCCCAAAACCAGAAAGAAAGAATGAAAACTCCCATCACCAAAATTTTTTCAGTTGTCTGTGTGCCCAGGACTCAGAAGCTCCCTGGCCTAGAGATGCTAAGTTCCTCCCCTAATCGTTTCCACAGGGGAGGGTGTCCGGAGTCAAACTCCTTCCAGGATGTTTGCTCGGTATATAGATGGACATAAGAGGGCAGTGAGGTGAAGTGCCTGCTAATGACCAATGCTATTTATTTATTTATGTATTTATGTTTCTGGGTAACACCTGGAGGTGCTCAGGGCTGACTCCTGGCTCTGTGCTCAGGAATCACTCGTGGCATGGTTGGAGCATCATATGGGGTTCCAGGGATAGAATCCAGATCAGCTGTGTGTGAGGCAAGTATCTTACACACTGTGCTACATCTTTAGTCCGTAAATATGGAAGTTATACTCTAGTCCCCAAAGTATGCTAGATCAGTAACTGATCACATTTTCTCCCTCCCTCCCTTTTTCCCTCCCTCCCTCCCTCCCTCCCTCCCTCCCTCCCTCCTTCCTTCCTTCCTTCCTTCCTTCCTTCCTTCCTTCCTTCCTTCCTTCCTTATTTTGGAGCCATAACCAATCAGACTAAGAGGTTACTCCCGGCTTTGCATTCAAGAATTACTAGCAGTGCTCTAGGAACCATATGGGATAGCAGAGATAGAGTTCAGATCGACCGTGTGCAAGGGAAGTGCAAGACCTGCTGTACTATCTCTCTGGCCTCCCTGATCACATTTTCTGAGGGTGTGCTTTAGATGGAAAGGATTCCTCAGGAGCTGCAGAGTTATTACTGTGGGGAAAGAGCTTGCCTTGCATGCATCTGACCTTGGTTCACTCCCCAGAACCACCTGTGGTTCTCTGAGCCTCACCAGGAGTGATCTTTGAGCACAGAGCCAGGAGTAGGCCTTGAGTATCACTGAGGTGGGTCTCCAAAATAAAACAAGATGTTTTTCAGCATCTTTCCAGCTTGTAAAATTTCTCAAGCCAGGAGCACCTGCAAGTATTAGCCCACCTCTGGATCCCATACACCCCACTAATGAGGGACTGAGACTGTCAGAGATGCCCACCTAGAAAAACCCGGCCGTGAACTGGATATGATTCAGCAGTAGGACACTTGTCTTGTATGCATGAGGCCTTAGGTTTGACTCCGCAGAACAATGGAGAAAAGGAAAAAGAAGAATCCTACCAGGTCCTGTACAAGTTTGGCTTGAAAACAATTAATTCCATACTACCCAAGTGGAGGAATGTCTGAGCTAAGGAAAATAAATGGACAGCAGGCTGCCCTGGTCTGGGCAGCACCAGGCCCCACGCCCCCTGCGCTTCCCTGATGATGAGGCCCCGGCTGCCGCTCCAACCCAGCTCGGGGACGGGAACCCAGCTGGGCGGTTCCACTTCCCTGCCTTGTTTTCCTTTCACATTGTTCACAGGTTTCAAGAATGATTTCATTCTGGAAAATGAGCAAACACAACCTGACCTTTCAGGTCTCACACAGGCAGCGGGAAATGCAGACACAGGGACACAAACATACATGCACAACGAGTGGGCGGGGGCTCTGGCTCTGCTCCCTGATGCTTCTCTGGGTTGGGCCAATAGCCACCACTTCTGAAGTAGTCTGTGCCTCTGCGAATACACCGGTTATTCTAGAGCTTCCCTCTGCCTTTATTTGGATGTGCCTTCCGGGCCAGTGAGCTCAAGTGGAAGGCAGAAACACATGCTTGCACGTGAGAGCCCAGGCTTCCATCCCCTGCACCACATGGTTTCAAGAATGTGGAGGCTTAGATGAAACCCCTGCTCCCTAATGCTCTCTGATTGCCACATTGTCCTGTGCCTTCCTGTGAGGCCCAGCCTGGATGAAAGTATTCACGGTGGGAAGCAGATGACCCAGGCCAGAGAGAAGGCTCAAGTGACTGAGTGCAGGCTTTGGACCTGGGGGGGTCCGGGATAAATCCCCAGCACTGCATGGCCCCCCGGAGTCACCTAAGTGTGGCACTGATAGTAGTCCCCATTTCTGCTGGATGTGCTCCATCCAAAACAGAAATGAAAATGCATGACCCAGCGGTCGTATAGGAAATTCATTTACCTAAGCACCTCGATTCCTGGGCGCTGGTCTAGATGTGGCAGATCACTACCCCCTTACCCTCAGATGGATCACTAATGTAGAACAACCTTCCCCTGCCCTGTAGCACTGCACTGCCTACTGCCCTCCTGTTGTTCATCGATTTGCTCGAGTGGGCCCAGTAACGTCTCCATCATGAGACTTGTTACCATGTTTGTCATATTGAATACATCACAGGTAGCTTGCCAGGCTTTGCCGTGCGGGCGAGATACTCTCGGTAGTTTGCTGGGCTCTCTGAGAGGGGCAGAGGAATCGAACCCAGGTCAACCAGGCCGGCCGCATGCAAGGCCTTACTGCTGTGCTATCGCTCTAGCCCAGTGTCAAGTATAAAACCACGTGGGGCACCCGAGAGATAGAACAGGGAATAAGGCACTTGCTTGCATGACTGAGCCCAGTTTAATCCCTGGCACCAGCTATGAATCCGCCAAGCACCCCCAGAGTGATCCCTGAGCACAGAGCCAGGAGTAAGCCCTGAGCACCACCAGCTGTGACCCCCAAACCAAAACATAACAGACAACCCTTGTGGGATTTAAAACAGAAAATGACATTGTGGAGTATGAGGTATTGGCGATGGTGCTACGGATTTGCCTTCTGCTCACTGCCAAGGATGTGCACCTTCTAGCACGGGCCTGGGAAAGCCCGAAGGCCCAGGCTCTTCTACAAGCTCTGCACCCAGCAGGAGACACCATGTGGTTTGCTCTGTCTTGCAGGCCTCAGCTCCCAGCCCACCACAGTGCAGCCATCCAGCTCTCAGGGTAAGATCAAGCTCAAGGGTAAAATCCGCATCTCAGCCTGGGATTTCATTTCGGAAGGGTGAGAGAGGGTCTGGGTCTGTACCAATCTGACTTCCATGACAGGTAGGCCAGAACTCTGAGGAAGTTAATCTTCTGGGCATTTTGTCCAGGTTGGCTCAGTCTAACTGAAAGAATAGAGAATAGAATGATTGGAGTGGAGAGCAGGGCTGAGGGAAACACACCCACTGTAAGGGGGGGGGGGGTGGAGAAGTGCTGGGGCTGAGAGTGCAGCGGGTGAGGCTTGCATGTGGCCAGCCCAGTTCTATTCCAGCACCACATCTGCTCTCCCATGCTCCACCTGGAGTGATCCCCGAGTACGGAGCCAGGAGTAAGCCCTGAGGGAATTCATTTACCTAAGAACCTAAATTCACGGGTGCTGATCTCGATGTGGCAGGTCACTGGCACCCTACCCTTGGGTGGGTCACTAGTATAAAACTGTTTTCCCCTTCCCTGTGTCGGGTATAAAACCATGTGGGTGTAGTTCCCAAGGGTGAGGGGGTGCGTGGAGTGAATGAAGAAAGACAGCAGGTCCTTAGCCTGCGTGGGTCTGTTTCAGGAAGCCTTGGCAATTCCAGTTTGACCATAGAGTCAACTTCCACCGACATAGGTGAGTATGGCTATACTCGCAGGGACAAGTCCCACGGACTGCCCATCCCTTCAGACCTGCTTGGAGCCCAAGGGGACTCTGATGGGGGAGGGAACCTGGTGTCACCTCCCTTGCCCTAGCTCCAGCACGGCCCTGTCTCTGCCTTGCAGGAGTCAGCTCTTCCTCAGGGCTTGCCAGCCCAAGGCCCCTGCCCAGCACTGCGACCCCAGGTACTCCGGTGCTCAGAGGACACCTGCCTCCAGGGACGTCCCCAGCGGAGCGGGGCAAGACACTGTTTTTGTTTTGAGGGAGGTTCTGGATGGGGGAGGGTGCATTCAGGTAGACACAGCCTCATTTGGGCAAGCACAGAGCAGGGTGGGATGTCAGGACTGGGCAGAAGCAGGAGCAGCTTGGGGGGTGCGAGCGTGGGCACATGTCAGACTGGGCCCAGGGCAGCAGCCCCAAGTGAGTATCCTCTGAAGCCGACCTCAGGAACTGAGATGCAGCTAAGACCCAGGTCAGGGGGAGATAGGAGGGTTCCTGGACAGCAGTAGGGGAAGGGGAAATGAGAGCCAGGACTGGCTGAGCCCTCCCCGCCTGTTCCTTCATCCACAGCCACCTCTGGGAGGAACCCGCAGCTGCTTACTGTATCCAGCAAAGCCGAGGTTCCCTGGTCAAGCACCGTGGACGGTCCCACCTTGTCCTTGCTGACTCTCACTCAGACCCAGCCACAGAGGCATACTCCAGGACTTGGTGAGTCTCCAGGTCTGGGGGCAAAACACTGGGTCTTGTCTGAGGGAGGTGCCTTTTTCCTCTCTTGGAGACTCACACTTTGCCCAGCCAGGAGAGGTGTCAGGGTTGGAATGCGGGTCAGCAGCGCCTTCTGTGGGAGGAAACAGGAGAGGTCTTCAGCACCAGTGGCCCCTGAGCGGGCTGCGTCTGGTTCTAGTGGCCCCGGAATACAGGCCCGAGCAGTAAACTCAGGTCCACATCTCCTGGCCGGGGGTTGCCCAGGGCAGCTTCTGTGCCTCCGAGCACTGCTGGGGGGTTCCTATTAAAAAGGAGGGAGAGGGGCTGGAGCAATAGTATAGCGGTAGGGTGTTTGACTTGCACGTGACCAACCGGCATCCCGTATGGTCCCCTGAGCATGCCAGGAGTAGTCCTTGAGTGCAGACAGGACTAACCCCTGAGCATTGCCAGGTGTGACCCCAAAAGCCAAATATATAAATATGTTATATTAAAATAAAATAAATAAAATAAAAATGAAAAGAAGGGATATTGACTCAGTCAGGCAGAGGGAGCGATGCCTTTTAAAGTGATGCCTCCTGAGGGACTCCAGAGACCCTCGGAGCTCCATGACTTGGTACAACTCAAGGCTTTGCGATCAAACCCTGGGGTGCCTATAGTCCTTGAAGTCCCACTGTCTCTGACCCTCAGTAGGAGAAATTTTCCAATGAAATGAAATTGGGGCCAGGGAGACACTGGTCAACCCAGGTTCCATCCCATCACTGCTTATGGTCTGAGCACGGATCCAGGAGTGAATCTTGAGCACAAAACAAACAAGAAATTGAATTAAAATAATGGAGGTTTCTGGAGAGAGGGGAGGGGTAAGGCAATTCTCTTGCATGTAGCTCACCTGGGTTTGATCCAGGTCAGCACGGCATATAGTTCTCCCAGCCCTGCCAGGAGAGATCCCAGAGCATAGAACCAGGAATTAAGCCCTGAGTTACACCAGTGTAGCCCAAAATTTTAAAAAAAATTGGGGGGGGGGCATGTACTTTATTTATTTTTAATTGAATCACAGTGAGATACACAGTTACAAAGCTGTTCATGATCAGGTTTCAGTCATATAATGTCCCAATACACGTCCCTTCACCAGTGTACATTTCCCACCAAAAGTGTCCCCAGTTTTCCTCCTGCACCACCGTCCCCCAGCCTCTATGGCAGATACTTCTCTCCTCTCTGTGTGTCTCTCTTTTTCCCTTTGGGTTTTATGGTTTGCAATATAGATGCTGAAATGTTATCGGGTATATCCCTTTACCTACTTTCAACACTCAGTTTCTGTCCAAAATGTTTTATTTAAAAAACAAAAACAAACAAACAAAAAAAACACCACTTGCCTCACATGTGCCCAACCCATCCCTAGTACTGTATATGATTTCCTGACCACTGCTAGAAGTGATTCCTGACCATTACCAGAAGTGGCCAAAGAGAAAGGAAGGAAGGGAGGAAAGGAGAAAGGGAAGGAAGGAGGAAGGAAGGAAAGAAGGAAGGAAGGAAGGAAGGAAGGAAGGAAGGAAGGAAGGAAGGAGGGAAGGAGGGAAGGAAGGAAGGAAATTCATGGGGCCAGAGTCTTGAAATTCTGGCACTGGCTATGGTCCCGCAAGCACCTCCAGGCATGGCCCCTGGGTATCACCAATTGTGGCTCCAAAACCAAAAAGTAAAATAAAAAAAGTAGGTACAAATAGCATAGGAATTTAGGAACAGGCTTGCTTGCAGCCAACCTGATGTGACTCCCAGTGCCACACGGTCCCTGAAGACCCCTGGGTGCAGCAAGAGCCCTAGTCCTGCCAGAACTGGGCGGCACCTGATCTCTGGCCCTGCATTGACTCACTGGCCTGGTTGGCTGAGCATCACGGGGAGGGGCTCCGACTCCTGAGCATTACATGGGAGCTCCCCCGCCCCCACACAAAAAGGAACCTGAACTGAGGCCAAACAAACACAGGGAAGAGACTCATAGGCAAACTCAAAGTGATGGTGGGGGGCACGAGGTCAGAGAGGTTGGGAAAGGGCACAAGCATCTCCTGCAATGCAGCCTGGCCCCCCACATCTGAGAGAGGAGCAGGAGGGTGTTTGCTGGTGCCATGGGCTCACGGATCCCCATGAACCGACACTGCCCAAATCTCTGCCCTTCTCTCCAACCCTTGGCTCTGGACAATCCAAGATTTGGGACCATGGCACTTTTATTTGTTTATTTATTTATTTGGCTTTTGGGGTCACACCCAACAATGCTCAGGGGTTACTCCTGGCTCTGCACTCAGAAATTACTTCTGGTGGTGCATGGGGGAGACCATCTGGGGTCCTGGTGATCAAACTCAGGTCGGCCATGGTGCAAGGCAAACGTCCTACCTGCTGTACAATTGCTCCAGCCCCAACCGTGGAACTTATAAAGAGTTTCCCTGCATCATCAGGCAGCCTGTTAGATCCACGCTCGGGAACAAAGAACTGCTGCACTTTCCTTGTGCTGCAGCCCCAGCAAAGCACAGATAGACTCTGCCTTGCCCGCTGCCACTGCCCTCCCACCCCCCACCCCAGTCCCCTAGGGCTGCCAGACAGAGCAGAATGGGGGAAGCATCCTGATCCCCATAAACATAGTTCTGACTTTCTGGGGGCTGGGATAGGAATTCAGTCACTGTCAGGGTTTCTGTGGCCCTTTTCCTGGCTGGGGAGCTAGGCAGGTTTAGCACCTCCCAAGAAGGTCGTCAGTCCTTCCCTGTGTCCATCCATTTCATTTCAGACACTTCTCAAGGGGTCACTCCCAGATCAGTCACCACCAGCCTACAGACAAGTGAAGACATGGCTGTCCTGCCCAGCCCGACCTCAGAAACGGTGCTCACTGTGGCTGCATTTGGTGAGAGTGTGAGAGGACATACCAGATTCAGGTGACATGGTCTCAGAACACAAATTCAAATTCCAGCTGTTGGTTCCAGGCTGATGAAAGTGATTCCAGGGGCTGAGGTAGTAGTCCAGTGGGTAAGGCTCTTGCTAGCACCATCAGGAGTGATTCCTCAGAGCAGAGCCAGAAAGAACCCCTGAGCATTGCTGGGTGTGGACCCCTCCCACATTGTAAAGACCCGACACTGCCCCCCCTTAATCCCCTCCATCTTTCAGCTCTTCTTGGCCCTCTGGGTTCTATTAGATTCTGGGAGAATGGACCCAGGCTGAGGTGAGGACTCTAGCCAGGAGCAACGGGCTCACTGGGCCACTCAAGAGGGGATCACTTTGTTCTGAGAGCCTGTCCATCACTCTTAGTTAGGATGAGGTTTGGCTGCGGTTGCCCCCTCCCCGACCTGTCCCCTCTTCTGCCCCCCTCACCCCTCTTGCTCCTGCTCCAGGTGTCATCAGCTTCATTGCCATTCTGGTAGTGGTGGTGATCGTCTTGGTCAGTGTGGTCAGCCTGAGGTTCAAGTGTCGCAAGAATAAGGAGTCTGAAGGTACATCTTCACCACTCTGGGATCCTCCTCACTGCCTCCCATTTTCTGGAGGACCCAGAGTTAGATTCAAACCAAGGGTGAGGGAAGAGGAGGCACATAAGCACCACTGGGTGAAGTGGGAGGGGCCACTGGGTGAGTTTCTGGGTTCAGGCTGAGACTTTCAACTCCACCTTTGGATTTTACAGATGCCCGAAAACCAGGAAGCTCAGGGCTGTCTGAAAGGTAAGACTGTCAGAGGTGTAGGGGACTAATCTCTCTCTCTCTCTCTCTCTCTCTCTTACAGACACACACACACACACACACACACACACGAAAAATCCTCACAGCTCCCACTGAGGCCAGTGCTAGGGGTGGGCAAGGTCACCTATTCAGGTGACCAGAAATGGAGTAGAATCTTCGTCCCCCTTCCATCCTTTCCATCCTCCCTTCAGGAAAAGTAGAGGAATTCCAATTCTAATATACCTTTTAAAAAGAAGACATTCCCTCTAAGTTCACTGAATATTTATCTGTGCCAAGCCCTCTCATTACCCTCCTCGCTATTTCTCTTCCTAATGGTCTGCCCTTCCCTCCTTACCCCAGTTGCTCCACAGCCAATGCAGAGAAAGACAGCATCACCCTCCTCTCCATGAAGAATATCAACATGAACAACAGTGCAGGAGGACTCTCTGCGGAGAAGGTGAAGTTCCCCGGTTGCTTCCTTCCCTGTATCTCCCTTGCTGCCCTCTGCCCCTACTTTCTTAGCCAGAAAGGAGGATCTTCCAAGGACCCAGACTCTTCCTCGTCTCTTCCCTACCTCTCCACACCAAAGAAGTTCTCTTCCTTACCCTGGATTGATTTCACAGGTTCTTTAAAAGCCACCTGGGGTGCTTTGAACACACGGCTGCTGTCCCGTGACTCTGAGAAGGAATGCAGTGGAATTGGCAAACACTGGACCACATCTAAATTATTTTGTTGTTCCTACACGCACTCCCAGTTCTGAAGGATTCTGAAGTTCCTCCCCATCCAGGAGCAAGCTATCGACATGAGAGACTCGTTCCAGTGTGGACCGTCGTTCTTGAAATACAGCCTGCTCCCCTCCCTTCTCGAAGACATGGGAAAGCAAGAGCAAAGCCAAGCAAGAGCAAGGAAAATGACAATGTGGATTTGTCCTTTCTCCTTCGCATTAAAATGAATTTCTAGAATGCTGTCTAATTTGTTAATGGTTTCTGTGCTCATGTGCATTTCCTACAAGAGTATTGTAATAGTTTTGAGATTTCTTTCTTTTTTTAGGGCCGGAGCGATAGCACAGCAGGTAGGGCGTTTGCTTTGCACGCGGCCAACCTGGGTTCAATCCCCGGCATCCCATACGGTCCACCAAGCACCGCCAGGAGTGATTCCTAAGTGCAGAGCCAGGAATGACCCCTGAGCATTGCTGGGTGTGACCCAAAAAGCAAAAAAAAAAAAAAAAAAAAAAAAAAAAAAAAAAGAAAGAAAAAAGAAAAACACGTATACTAGTTTCTGCCCCTGTGGGTTTCTCTCTCTGAGAAACCTGGGAGGTGGAGAAAACTAATTGTTAATTCTAACAGTGCTTGAGAGAACATGTGGTGTTTGGGGTTGAACCCAGGCCTTCCGCATGCAAAACATGTGCTCTAGCCCATTGAGCCATCTCTAGCACAGTTCCTTGTTTTCATAATAGGTATCTTTCCCACAACACTAGATTGGAAATGAATCTAGGCTGGAGAAAATCAATGGAGAAATCATCTGAGTATATCGTATGAAGTGTTTGACTTAATTTTATTAATTTATTTTTTGAGGCAGGGCATTCCCAGTGGTTCTCAGAAACCATGTTACTGTCACTGTCCTCCCATTGTTCATTGATTTGCTCGAGCGGGCACCAGTAACATCTCCATTGTGAGACTTGTTACAGTTTTTGGCATATCAAATACATCACGGGTAGCCTGCCAGGTTTTTGCTGTGCGGGCGGAATGCTCTGGGTAGCTTGCTGGGCTCTCTGAGAGGGGCAGAGGAATCAAACCTGGGTCGCCCGCATGCAAGGGAAATGCCCTACCCGCTATGCTATCACTCTGGCCCAAAATCATGAGGTACCAGAAATCAAACTCAGGGCTCTCACATACAAAGCGTGCATTCACATTCTTTAAGTACCTCTAGATTGCTGCATTTCAGTGCATAATCATTACAGATTTTATTCCAATTTTTTTCCAAAATAAAAGTGGGGTATAATCATTATTTGATTTTTTTTAAAACTATGGGGGCTGGGGCGGGTAGGAAGTTTGCCTTGCATGCGGCAGACCCGGGTTTGATTCCCAGCATCCCATATGGTCCCCCAAGGACCGCCAGGAGTAATTCCTGAGTGCAGAGCCAGGAGTAACCCCTGTGCATCGCTGGGTGTGACCCAAAAAGCAAAAAGGAAAAAAAAACTGTGCTGGCATTTAAAATTATGTATTACTAAACTGTCTTTGGTGCAAGATTCACATGCATTGAATACTTATGACTAGAACTTAAAACTGAATAGTCTAAGTCAACACTTTCAGCTCGAAGGCCACAGAATAGTTTTTATATTAACCCATAATCACAAAGAAAATCTTTGCCCATTAATGAATCACTGGCTGGTGAACTGTATGGTTCAGCTGGCTTGGGAGGATGATGGTCTTGTGATATCACATGACTGATCAAGGCAGCTTTACCTCGCCACCAACTCCCTTGGCACCTACAGCACTTTACTAGGTTGAGTGCCAATAGCATTAGCACCGCAGCACTGCAAACCAACCACACTAGGAAGTTTTCAGATACGTACTGACGATGTGCATGTGCTGAGAATTCTAATCTTTTTTTTTTTGGGGGGGGGTCACATCCAGCAATGCTCCAGGCTTTGCACTCAGGAATTACTCTGAGCACAGAGTACCATATGGGATGCTGGGAATTGAACCCAGGTCGGTCACGCGCAAGGCAAACACCCTATCCGCTATACTATCACTCCAGCCCTAAGTGTGCTGAGAATTTTAGGTTCATGGCTCCAAATGCATGAGAAGACAAATGCTCATCCATATGCCCCTAGTGCATACATTGCTGTTCCGTCTACCCATTAAGAGGCATGACAAATAGAATTAGATCATGCAACAATTATGCAATGAAAGATTATCAATTTTTGGTTGGGGTGGTTGGGGGGAACAGGATGTGTAGGATAACACTGTTTTTGTCCTTCCTGCCTCAGGTAGTTTCAGTTTATTGGGTTTTGCTCCCATCACAGTGTTCCCATTCCTCTGTGTTTATTTGTAACTTCTTTCTTTGTGCTCTGTTGACTTGTAAATATTGTTTTTCTCTTCTCCCTAAGTTCTTTGCATAGTTTATTCAGAGCAATGTCCTTTTTGTATGAACACAAGAAGACAGTATGCTTTTGTTATGTGACTCTCAGTGATATTTTCCTCCTGGGCATCTGTTCTCTCACCTAAGCCTCAGCTGCCCTTACTTCCTAGTGCCCCCAAAAGCAGGGTCCCGAACAGGGACTGGATGGAATCAGGGCAAGCGGTAAGCTATGTGCTACCCTGGCATCGAGATGGGCCTGGCCAAAGTGCCATAATGCTTAACTATAAGTTAAGAGCTTGGTCATGGACAAATACTGTCATGATCCAAAAAGTAGTAACTAGATTTGGACCCTGCCAGGGTTAGGAATGATTAACTGGCCTGAGCACTGTAGTCTGAGTCTGTGGCAAGATGTTCCCAGGAGAGCTGCCCTACAAGCCTCAATGTTATCTCTTACTATGTCCATACAAAAATAACTAGTATTGAGATGTTGATAGAGTTACTGGACTGTGAAAAGGAGAAAAACACCTTGGGAGGTATTTTGCCCTTGGGCAGTCAGGAAGAGCCTTTGGAATGCCTTTTAGGTGGTGTTCCCATTGAACTTGGTGGGCCCCCAGGAAGGACTTTCTTATGTCGATTTGGCTACTGGACTGGGTGCAGTGTCAGCCCAGAGTGCGGGGAGTTGGAGAGAGAGAAAGCAGGGCAGCATGATGGACCTCGGAGAGGCTAGCAAGGGGGACAGAGAGAGAAGAATGTAAAAGAATACAGGACCAAGCACATGAAGAGAGAGAGAGAGAGAGAGAGAGAGAGAGAGAGAGAGAGAGAGAGAGAGAGAGAGAGAGAGAGAGAGCCCAGGCTGCGAGATGGAGCAGTGAGATGAGTGGGAGAGACAGAAGGAGAAAGGAATGAGAGGCAGTGTGAGACCAGAACGGGAGGCTCAGAGAGACTGGGGCAGGCACGTGGCGAGAATGGAGTAAATGGCAACTGATCAATCAACCTGATCAATCAACCGGATTGGCCCTCATTTCATCCACAGTCTGCCCCATGGCCCTGGCTGCCCCCCGCTGGGTGAGCGGCCCGAGGCAACCTGAATGCAGGTAGTTGGGGCCTCCCAAAATTGCCCTCAAAGATTTTTTACAAGGATGCAACAATTATGTGGTGAAATCAAGGTATCTGTTGACTGGTAGTTTAGAACACAGGTTACTTGAGAGATAAAATAGAATAAAAATGTGAAGGAAAATAATAATATTAGACAATGTGGGGTACTGGGGCCCTTATCCCACTCAGACTCAAGGCATTTGTTCCCTCAGATGTTGACTGCTAAGGGCTGAGAGGTGGTTAATGGGGATGGGAAGAGGATGAAGACCTGGACCTTCTACGTCCATTTTTACTTCCTAACCGTACTTCCCTTACTCCTCACAGTTACTGCTTCCAGGAGCCCTCAGCAAGAATATTCTGCATGCAAATCTTGGAGCCTGTTTTCTGGAGCACCCAAACCATAACAACAATTAGTATTCTCAAAGTAATTCAGACTGCATGACATGACTGAAATCCAATCATGAACAGCTTTGTAAGGGTATATCTCACAGTGATTCAATTTAAAAAAGTTTTTAAAAAAGTAATCCAGATAAAGGGAGGGCTACAGCTCAGTGGTAAAGTACGTGCTTGTGTCTAAGAGGTCCTGGGTTTGATTCCAGGCACCCATAGTGGAAAAAAATGATAATTTACATAGATGTAATTTTTAAATTTTCTTCTTTTCCGGTGGTGCCAGGAATTGAACCCAGGGCCTCACACACTCAAAGCAAGACTCTCCTGCTAAACCACATCCCTGGCCCCTAGATCAATTTAGTTTAAACCTGTGGTCCTCAAACACCACTTCATGGACCAGAGTGGATCTGTAGGTATGAAAAGGTTGAAAGTCCCTGGTTTGCCCCTTAGGTTCTAACTGCCAGCCCCCTAGTTGATATGCAGGATAAGTACCCTCTGCAGAAATAAAATAATTGAAGAATGTTGATTTAAACCACATTGCAAAACACACAGGGCTTAGAGTCAATTAGTAACAAAATGGTAGTAGAACTCTCCAGGTGACCTAACAATATCTAGCAGTACTGGATTCTGTTTCAATTGTTATTGTTCTTTCTGCTGCCTTGAGCACCTAGTTCCGCTTCTTATCACATTGGACTAATCAGGTCAAGGACATAGGTTTCATTTTAAGTAACTCCATTGACATTTCCATTATAAAGCCACAAACTTCTCTCTGAGTCTGGACAATGTCCTGCAAATATGAGCTGTTAGCCATAAGGTATTTATATGTGTGGAGGGGGGAACTGGTATTTACATGGCATTACAATGCATTAACCAGGTTGATTTTTCTGTTGTTAAATATCTTTTGTTGGGAAGGGGTATAGAAAAAATTTACTCAATGCTGACTTCTCGTTTGATAATCTATATTAGATGGGGGCTCTGCTGGAGGCTCCTTCTATTTATCCAAATACAAGACCCTACGGCTGGCAGGAAATCTGACTGCAGACTTCTGCAATCCCTGCCACTTCCCCAAGACCATATCTCTTCCTTGATGTCTAGACAACAGGATGGTGACCATTTACAGGACAACTTCCTCCCCACTCTGACTCTGGACTTTCTGGCCCCAAAGCAGGAACAGGTGGCAGGATTTCGGAAGCTGCTGTAGTGTGTCCTCTCCCCTCTCCACACCTACACCTCCATCCAACAATTCAGCACAGGTTCTGCTAGATGGGGGATGGACTCATTTACTCACAATCTCTTCCAGGGCTGGTTGGGTGGCATCTCCATAATACAGGGCATACAGAAAAAGCATTCTAGCACCAGCAAAAATTCACTCCAGGGCAATTTTGAGATGTAAAGAATGCTAATAGAAATCTGAGACTGGAAGCCAGAATTATAGTACAGCAAATAGGGCACTTGCCTTGCACGCAGACTACCTGGATTTGATCCTGGCACTCTGTATGGTCCCCCGAGCACCCAGAGCATGCCAGGGATGATCCCTGAGCACAGACCCAGGAGTAAGCCCTGAGTATCCCTGGGTGTGATCCAGAAATTAACAAAAAAACAAAAAAAAAACCAAAAAAAACTGAGACTGTCTCTAGGTAATATATTTCAACAGCTGAAGTATCACTGTAGGCCCTTTGACCTAGTTCTTGCACAGTTTCCCCAAAACAGATGAGTACCACTCAATTCTATTTGAATCTGCTAAAAATACTGTAGGCTCTGCTCACCAGTCTCACTATTGAGTTTATGGATGTCCTCTCTTATCTCTTCCTGCTGGTTGTTCCCCTTGGCACCTCTATCTTGAACCCTTTCATCCCACAGCTTCCTCTTTAACAAAACAGAGAGATTGAATTTAATAGTGGGAATAGTTTCAGGGGAGGGAGGGATACCCGGATCAAAACTAAAGCCTAAGTATGTATGTACACGAGAAGTATGTACTTTGACACTGAGCTATACCCCCAGCGCTTACAGTGAGAATTGTTTTTGTTGAGTGGCTGGAGCACTTAAGAAAAATCTAGCACAGAATTGTTCTGAATGTTGAGGATGGGAGTTTAATGTTAGTCCTAGTAATGCAGTTACATAAAAATTCATCCAGAGGTGTTAACTGAGGTATACATAATGCTGAAGGGTAGGTTTGCCTGGCAATATCTGAGAAGGTTACAAAGGTGAGCCATTTTAAAATTTTGTTTGGGGGGCCACACATGGCAGTACTCAGAACCTCCTTCTGGCTCTGTGCTCAGGGGTCACTTCTGGTGGGACTCAGGAAACCCTATGTGGTGCAAGGGTTTGAATCTGGATCATCTGCATGCAAGGAAAGCATGTAACCTTTCCTCTGCACTAGCTGTCCAGCGCCACCATTTTTCTTTTTTTCTTACTTGTAGTAAATGAGTTGTTTAGAAGAGGTATGTGAGGTTTTAGAGGATGACATAAAGGCTATGATCTCTGGGGCCAGAGTGATAGCACAGCGGGTAGGGCATTTGCCTTGCAGGCGGCCGACCCGGGTTCGATCCCCGGCATCCCATATGGTCCCCCAAGCACTGCCAGGAGTAATTCCTGAATGCAAAGCCAGGACTAACCCCTGAGCATTGCTGGGTGTGACCCCCCCCAAAAATAGGCTATGATCTGGCAGCCCATCTCCAAAAGGCCCCGGCTTTACTTAGCTTTATGGAACCTGGATTCTGCTACTACATCACTGTATCACTGTCATCCCATTGTTCATCGATTTACTCGAGTGGTGCCAGTAACGTCTCCATTCATCCCAGCTCTGTGTTTTTTTTTTCTTAATGTAGGAGTACTGCTATTTATTCAGCCACTGATTAGCTGATTGAATTGGGCATGAACTCCACCTTACTTTTTTTTATAATTTTATTTATTTTTTTCTTCTTATATTTATTTATTGAATCACTATGGGAAAAGTTACAAAGCTTTCAGGTTTAAGTCTCGGTCATACAATGATCAAACACCTTTCCCTTCACCAGTACTCATTTTTCACCACCAAGAACCCCAATATAGCCCCCCTCCCACCCCTCCCAATGCCTGTGAGGCAGATGATTTCTACTTAACTCTTCTCTACATTGATTACATTCATTATTTCGACAAAAGATGCACCATTATTGTTTAAAATTTCCCCCCAACAATCAGAATTGCTGAAAAGGCATCGTGAAATACTTTGTCTTCTATAGCTGGTATGAGAATCATATAATGTCATATAATGATTTTGGATTTCTGCAAAGAGCCAGATCATTATGAGATTGATTTCTGTGAGTCTGGTGTTATGGCTGTGCCAGAGAGCCACTCGTGGGGGGCAACTCGTGACCTCGGTAGGGCATGAAGGATGAGCCGGTACCTCCCCCCCTTCCCATGAGATTGCAGTTGCCCCGTCACTGCCGGCTCATACTTGGCTTTCCTATAAGCTCTGAGGTGGCATGGCGCCATAGTTGAATGCTTGGTCCATTCACTTTCCTGCTGCAAGCTGTCGGGCTCTGGACTAAGTCCTTTTGCCTCTGGAGCCATGGCTGTGCCAGAGAGCCGCTCATGGGGGGCAACTCGTGACCTTGGTAGGGCATGAAGGATGAGCCAGTATCGTCCCCCTTCCCATGAGACTGCAGTTGCCCCGTCACTGCCGGCTCATACCTGGCTTTCCAATAAGCACTGAGGCGGTGGCCACATTGTAAGCGGTCCAGATGCATTTCTGCCAAAAGCCACTGGGTTTCAAGATTTGTTTCTGAGTCTCTGGGATCATGGCTGTTAATCTGCTTGATCAGGAGCCAGAGAGGCCGTTTGTAGGCGGCAACTCGGGGTCTTATTGGGATGGGGAGGAAAGGGCTCGTTCCACCCCCATCTGGTGAGGCCCCGCGTGTCTCGTCACTGCAGGTCCAAACCTGACTGTCCTGTGGCCTCTGGAGGATGGCGGTCACCAGGCCATCAGGGGGAACAGGCTAAGGTCCAAAACCTATTCCCACCTGGATTGGCCCAGCGCCAGTAACTTACTGCAGGAATAGGACGCATTTCTGCCAAAAGCCTTTGGGTTCTGAGATTTGTTTCTGAGTCTCTGGGATCATGGCTGTTAAGCAGTTCGATCAGGAACCAGAGAGGCCTTGCCTTCAATTATATAGCTGAGCCGGAGGTGGTTTGTGGGTGTGTCTCCCACATACCTAATTTTTGACTGTTTACTTTCTTGGTAAACTTTGCCCCAAATTTTTGGGGTCTGGCCAAAGGCACAGCAGCAATTTTGGGGTATCTGAATGTCTGACAGTGCCATCAGGCTGCTGATGCACTCGCCTCACAGGTACAGACTGACCTGCTGGCGGCACCATACCCCCAGCCCTGAGATTTTAGCAGCCTCTCCTTACTCATCTTTCCCAATGCTGCCATATTGGAGGTTCTTTCAGGATCAGGGGAATGAGACCTGGTATTGTTACTGTTTTTGGCATATTAAATACGCCACAGGTAGTGTATTGGTGCTACTACATAGCTCAATGTACTGCCTGCTACTACACAGCTCAATAATTTCTGTTATCTCCCTCTCAACCCAATTACCCCTCCCTGGCTCTGGCATTCCCCACTGTCAACTAGATACCCTTAATTTCATGGCACTGAAGATACCTTTAGACCTTAGCTTCCGAACTCCAAATTGTCCCCCACCTTCTCCTATCCGTCTTCTAGTCTATTTAAGCCTTCAAAACCCATATTTCCTTCTTATATTTGATCATCAGGCAGCAATACTAGAGCACAAGTGACTTCTACACCGAGTTTCTGAGTGCCCTGATGCTCATAGAGACCAGGGTCATGACAGCAGTACCGGCTGGCACCACACCCACTGAGGCTGTGCCTCTCCCATCCAGCCCCAACTCTCAGTAGCCCCAACAATTGACCTAAAGTTGAAGAAGTCTTTTTGGGACTATGTTCCCAGGGTTGGGTTCAGCAGTCCCTAACCCCATCTCTCAATCACCAGGATCTAGTATACAACAGAGCACAGAACAGATATTAGCATATTTTTAAAATGACATCCCAGGAGAGAAAAATAGCCCACAGATTGCGAAGTATTTTTCACGTTGGTTTTCTTTTTCTTTTTTGGTTTCTGGGCCACTTCTGACTCTGCGTTCGGGTCCTGACGGTGCTGGTTGGGGTGGGGGAGCGATATGGGGCCCCAGGAATGGAACCTGCTGCGTGCCAGGCAAATGCCTTACCTGCGGTATTATCTCTCTAGCCCTCCAGGTTGGTTTTCACTGGCCCTCCTTGAATACTCCTAGTGCTAGCTGCAGCTGAAGCCACTACTCCCACTCCAAAGATCAGTGGTGGGGAAAACGCACAATCGCGGTTGCTAACGCTTCCAGTACCAACATATTCCGCGGGCCTATGCCAGGGTCGCCTGCGTTCCTTTCACCACCGCATCTCTGACAGCCCCTCGCGCTGAGGCTGCCGGAAGTTGTAGTCCAGTGCCTAGCGGCGTCTTCGGGTTGGACTACAATGACCAGCATGCCCCACAATTCTTGCCCCCTTCCCTTTCAGCCTCCGGCGCGGGGGAGGCTCCGCAGACCTGCTGACCGGGAACCGCTATGGCAGCGACTCTGGGCAGCGGGGAGCGCTGGACAGAAGGTACCAGGACCTGATCGGAGGGTGGGACAGGCCGGGCACCGGGGACGCCAGGGAACGGTGCTCCTGGGGACTTCTAAGAGCTGAGATCCGGGGCCTGAGGTGGGATGAAGGCCTACGAGAGGATGCTGCGCCCAAGTCGGGGTCCGGATTCGGGGGTTCGCCCAGGGGAGGCGCCGGGATCTGGAAGCCAGGAGCACAGGCAGCGGGGACCCGACGGCGGGCGGTGACACCGGGAGAACTTGTTGCCTCGCAGCCCCCAGCCCCGCCCCTCCCGTGCCCCGCCCCGGGCCGAAGGGGTCAGGTCCAGCCCGCGCCCTAGGGGCGGCGCGGGGGGGGGGGACCCGAGGGATGGCGGTGCCTTACCCAGTCCACGGCTGGACCCGGCCGCCTGACCTGCGATCTCGGCGTGGTCCGCATCAGGACCACTCGGGCGGCGTTTTCCTCCCGACTCCCAGACGCTCACCACAGCCTTGATCTAATGCCGCTTTTCCACCCCAGTTTTAGGCTAGTCTTCCAGCGGAGATTTGACAGGCTTGCCCCCCTGAGCTCACTGAACCTCAGTCTACTGAGGGGGGTGGGGGTGGGAGTGGGGTTGACGGCTAAACAGCCAATCACAAAGCAGAACCAGTAAGTCCTGGCCTGCACAGCAAGGTCGGATGTTTGACTTCCAGAGGCTTCATGGAGAAAGTGTGACATAGGACATAAAGGATGCCTGGAAGTTACTCAGGGGCATGCAGAGGAAGAATACTGCAGGTATGGGGAGAAGCCTGTGCAAAGGCCCTGAGAAAAGGAGCGAATGGTGAGAGAGGACTCAAAAAAGGCCATAATAAGAAATACGGACAGGTGACAATGGGTCATCACTAATGAATGTTAAGAAAAATGCTTTTAAAGCCTTTCTCAGATTCTCCAGATAGGACATGAGCATTTGGCCTTCTTCAACAGAAGCTGGTATTACAGATTAACTGAATTCACTCCCTTCAGTTAATTAATTCCTTCCTGTGGTCAGGAGTAGGTCTTAACCCTACTTGAGCCAAGTGTTTTATGCATATTCTATAAATGTTTAAGCGATGAAGTCATCTCTATTTTATTTCATTGTTTTTGGGGGCCATAACCAGTGACGCTCTGGGGTTACTCCTGGTTCTGCACTAAGGAATAACTTCCAGCAGCCCTCAGGAGACCGTATGGGATGCTGGGGATTGAATCTGACTCAGCTGCATGCAAGGCAAGTGTCCTATCCACCGTGCTATCTCTCCAGCCCCTACCTCCTTATTATCCGTATTGCATTCTCAAGAGAAAGGTTTGTTCAGCAGTGAGGATGCTTAATAGAGTGGCATGGCCTGGCCATCACACTCATGCCTGCAAGCACCTCTCAGATAGTGAGGGCAGCTTGCAAAGTTGTACTGCAGGTCAGACTGAGACCTAATAAACAGTCCATTATTTTGCAGCGTACATTGATGCAATTAGAAGAAATAAATACTCAGAAGACAGATCTTCTGAAAATCATGACCCCTGTGGCTGCTGTAACTGCATGAAGGCACCAAAGGAAAAGAAATCTGAGAATGAGTGGAGTCAAACCCGGCAGGGGGAGGGTACAGCCACTTACACAGAGGAGCAGCTGCTTGGCGTACAAAGGTGAGCCCTTGAAGAATTAAATGAATGATTTACCACCTTCTGTCTAGAGTGTCTCCTGCAGACCTTGTGTTATTTAAGTATTAACTACTAGTTTTCTTATTGTTATTATTACTGAAGCAAAATAGCTTCGTGGCCTCAAGGTCAAAGCTAGGTGGAAATAGAATAGTAGAAAGTAGTCTTTCTACTAAAGGAAAGGTAGGAAAATTCAACTAGAACCTCACAGATATCTATACAGAATTCTCCTGACAATAGTGACTCTACGTTTTCTCAAGCATACATGTAATAATACAGGATTGGCCATGAAACATACCTCAAGAAATTTAAGAAAAATTCCCATTTTAAGCCTTGGATTTCTCCTTTAATTCCACTCCTGGGCCAAAGTTCGCCTCCAGTTTCCTTCTCATTTTAATTAATTCAGTAAACAAATACTGAGCAGTTTGCTGTGTACTGAGCATTCGGTTATGAAGATCAGGACGAATTCAGTACTGTCTGAGTCACTGTGACAGATTGCTGGTTGTCCCCCAATAACAATAATTTTCTTCTTTGGGTTAGCAATAAAATTCCCACTTTCATCTAGGCATATCTATATCTAAATAGAAACACAGTACTTTGTCTGCTTTTTTGTTGTTTCATTTGGGGGCGCCACACTTAGCTATGCACAGGGCTTACTCTTGGCCGTCTGCTTAAGAATCACTCCTGGTGGGACTCGGGGGACCATATGGGGTGCCAGGGATTGAACCTGGGTTTGCCTCATGCAAGGCAAACACCCTACCCACTGTACTATTGCTCCAGCCCAAGTACTTTGTCTTCTTTGCTGCTAAAGCAGCCAGAGACTTAAGTTCTCATCAATGGGTTATGTGAGTAGAAAATACTACCATTCATATTTTGTTTGTTTCTTTTTTTTTATTAGTGAAACACTATGAGGTACAGTTGTAGACTTAGAGACTTTCATTCTTGGGTTTCAGTTATACAATGATCAAGTACCCATCCTTCTACCAGTGCCCGTTCTTCACTACCAATGAACCCAGTAGTCCTTCTACCCCTACCCCCATATTTTGTTTCAAAAGAGAAAACCTTGAGGCTGGAGAGAAGGGCTCTTGCCTTGTAAACAATAGAGCTGGTTGCATCTCTGGTACCATATCCGGTCCCCCAAATCCCAACAAGAGTGATTCCTGAGTGCAGAGCCAGGAGTATGCCCTGAGCACCTCCACGTTTGGATAAAAATCAAATAAATAGACAAATAAGAAAGAAAGAAAAATAAAAGCCTCTCTTCCTTTTCATCAATTGGCAATGTCAGTCTGCAATAGAGAAATTGTTGTATAAGACAAGTTCTTAATTAAGGACAAAGGCATCATGGAGTCCTGAATAAACTCAGGGAACAGAGTTACCTGTCCACCCTGGACCCACCTTCCTGTCTCTCGATTGTTCCTTGTGAGAGCACTGCTTTTTGGGTCTCTGTTATAGGAGCTCAGACTATTCCCCAAGTAATGATTCCTTCTAGTGTCTTTTTGGGAGGAGGAGGGCCACACCCAGCGATACTCAGGTGTTACTCCTGGCTCTGCACTCAGGAATCACTCCTGCTTACTCCGGGAATGGAGTGATGGGGACCAAACCTGGGTCAGTGATGTGCAAAGCAAACACCCTATCAGCTGTACTGTTGCTCCAGCCTCTACCCCCTAGAGTCTTATGACTCATTCAGATGTTGTCCGGAATGTTATTCTTTAAACAAGGATCAGTGGGATTTTCTATAGAAGGCTAGATAATGAACATTTTAGACTTTGATAGTCTAAAACAAAAAGAAACTTAGAATTGGGCTGGAGTGATAGCACAGCAGGTAGGGTGTTTACCTTGCATGTGGCTGACCCAGGTTCAATTCCCAGCATCCCATATGGCCCCCTGAGTACTACCAGGAGTAATTCCTGAGTGCATGAGCCAGGAATAACATCTGTGCATTGCCGGGTGTGACCCAAAAAGCAAAAAAAAAAAAAAAAAGAAAGAAATTTAGGATTAAAATCATACAGCATATATATTTGAAATAATAGGAAATTGGGAATTTAAAACTGTGAAAATTAAGCAACATATTCATAAGTAACAGGTTCACAGAAGAAATAACAGAGGGGTCAGAGTGGTAATATGGCAGGGAGGGCACTTGTCTTGCATGCAGCTGACATTGGATTTGCTCTCTGGCAACACATATGGTCCCCTGAGCCTACCAGGAGTGATCCCTGGGAACCACCAGGCGTGGCCCAAAAGAGAAAGAAGAAAGGAAAATCAGAAAATAATCTGAAAATGAATATGCCAAATATTCTGTATATACCAAATATACCAGATCAACATGTCAAAACATGCGGGATATAGCTAAAGCAATACTTTGAAGGAATCTTAAACCTGTAGATTTTTGTTTTCATATTTTTATTTATTTTTTTGGTTTTTGGGACACACCTGGCTATGCCAGGTCTTACTCCTGGCTCTGTCCTTAGGGATCACTTCTGGCAGGGGACTCCAGGGACCAAATGATGTGCCAGGGATTGAACCTGAATCAGCTACATGTAAGGCAAGCCCCCACCTGCTTCACTATTGCTCTGGCACCAATGTAGATGTTTATATAAAAAAAGACATCACAGGGGCAGTCGAGGGTGGAGGGGCCATTGGCCCCGTGGCAGGGCACCTGATGTAGAGGCATGAGCTGTGAGCTCTGTCCCTAGCATCTCCAAGCTTCAGAGTACAGTCCTGTCATGACCCCCAGTCCAGCTCACCACCTCATTCAGCACCCCAGCCATATATGAGCACCACAAACAAGTGTGTGCAGCCGTTTGAGCCCAAAAACGACAGCAGAAAAAGGGAAGGGGATGGGGAAATTTTCTTTTGGGGGTTGTGGCCCAAAAGCAAAACAAAAGAGTGAAAAAGAGAGGGGAGACAGAGAGAGAAAGAGAGAGAGAGAGAGAGAGAGAGAGACAGAGAGAGAGACAGAGACAGAGACAGAGAAACAGAGAGGTTATATAAATACATGGGACCCAGAATAGCCCAAACAGTTTTAACCCATTTGATCCTTGGCTCCACCCACTTGTTGTCGTCCCCCACACACCACCAGGAGTGATCCCTGAGCATAGAGTCAGGAGTAGGCCCTGAGCACAGCTCTGGCCCAAAAAACAAACAAAAAAACAAAAGTGAAAAACAGCCCACAGGATGGGAGAAAATATTTTCAAAGATCATCTCTGATAAGGGATTTGTAGCTGGAACTTAGAAAATACTTCTGCATCTCAGCAATAAAAAGACAGCCCGATGAAATAAATGAACAAAGGATCTGAATAGGCATTCCTCCAAGCAGGCATGCAAATGACCAATCAGCACATGACTAAACACCATTAGTCATTTGGGAAATACAAATGAAAAGCACAATAAAATACTATACTACCTCATAGTCACTAGAATGGCTATAATTAAAAAGATGGAAAATAACAAGTGTTGCTGAGAGCACGGAGAAACCAGGTTATTATGTAATGCATATTGCTTTTAGGAATGTAACACAGTGCAACCAGTTTGGAAAACCGTATGACAGTTCCTCAGAAGGTTAAACATAGTTTATGACCTAGCAATTAATTTTTTTCGGCGGGGGAGGGGCAATGGGAAGGGGGTTACCCACCCAACATTGCTGAGAGCTTACCCCTGACACTGTGCTCAGGGTTCACTCCTGATATTTCTTTGGGGAATATACGTGATGCTGGGGATCAAATTGGGGACAGCGGTATGCAAAACCTGCATGTTAACCCCTGTACTATCTCTCTAGTCCAATTGATTCTTAAGTACATTCCAAGAAAGTTTCAAAATACTTTCATATAAAGAGGCCATAGAGATAGTACAGTGGCAAGGACACTTACCTTGCATGCAATTAACCCAAGTTCAATCTCCAGTACCACATATGGTTCCCCAAATTCTGCCACAAGTGATCTTCCTTTTTATTTATGCTTTTGGCTTTTTGGATCCCACCTGGCGATGCTCATGAGTTACTCCTGACTCTGCACTCAGGAATTACTTCTGGCTATGCTCACGAGACCATATGGAATGCTGGGGATTGAACCCAGGTCGGCCATGTGTAAGGCAAATGTCTTACCTGCTGTACTATTGCTCTGACCCCCAGAAGTGATTTTTAGCAGAGCCTGAAATAAGTCCTGAACATTACCACGTATAGCCTCAAAACCAAACATTTTTACATAAAAATCTGTATATGTAGTTCATATTTCATTACTAATAATAATCTTCAAGAAAAAAAAATCCAGTGTCCACTAACTGATGAAAAATTAAGAAATTGCTATAAAAATCTATTGATACACTTTGATATATTAAAGGAATAAAGTACTGATGAATACAACATTAATGAACTTTGAAAACATTGTGTGAATGAAAGAAACCAGGCATAAAAAGCCATGTGTTGGGCTGGAAAGATAACACAGCAGGAAGGGTGCTTGCCTTGCACACAGCCATCCCCAACATCCCATTTGGTCCCCCAAGCACTACAAAGCAATAACCCCTGAGCATCACCAGAAGTGGCCCCAAACAAAACAAAACAAAAAGCCATGTACTCTACAATTACAATTTCTTTTTTTGAGCTTTGTAAAATAGGTGATTTTATAACTACAGAAAGATTAGTTGTTGCTAGGAGTTGGGGAGTAGGAAAATGAGAAGTGACTGCTGGTATGGTGTCTCTTTTGGGAATGATAAAAATGTTCTGGAAAAATATGGCCACTGTAGATGTATAAATGTGAATAACTAGAAAATCACTGAATTGCACAACTTAAACAAGGTAACTTTATGAGGCTATAGAATTAGTACAGCTTTTAATGTGCTTTCCATGCATGTGACTGACCTGGATTTGATCTATGGCATCCAACATGGTCTCCTGAACTTGCCAGGAGTGATCCCCAAGCTCAGAGCCAGGAGTAAGACCTGAGCATCACCAGATGTAGTCCAAAAACAAAACAAAATCAAGCAAACAAAAAGAGCTAGCTTTCTGGTATGTGAATTATACATCAATAAAGCTATTATTAATCAAACAATAAATGTATAAGAGAAAGAAGTAGGGCAGTATCTGCCATGAAAGCAGAGATTGAAAACTGGACTTGGGGATCTAAAGGTTCCCCGTGGGCAGTTCTTGGAAGGGTCCTGACTGCCATTCCTTTTCTTTTTGAGTTTTTGAGCCACATTTGGCAATGCTCAAGGGTATCTCTTGTATTTGAACTTAGGAATTACTCCTGGTGGTGCTCAGAGGACCATATGGGATTCTGGAGATCAAATCTGGGTTGGACATGTGCAAGGCAAATGCTCTACCTGCTGCACTATCTCTCTAGCCCCTATGAAGCTTTTTTAAAAGAATATGGTAGATATATATGATAAAAGCTGATATTTATGTCATGTCAGATGCTATCAACTTTTTTAATGAACACTACATTTAATTATAACAAGAGCCTTGTGCAATATAAGTATAATTATTAGTTTACTAGAAGATTATTATCTTCTGAAGAGAATACCAGCAAAGCACGGAGGTTAAGTACACAACAAATCAGATCCTGGTCAAGACATTGTTTGTTTAGTTTTGTTTTGGGGCCACACTCAATGGGGCTCAGGGGTCACCCCTGGGGCCTGGGGGACCATATGGGGAGCCAGGGATTGGATTGAACCTTGATTAGTCAAGTACAAAGAAAGTGCCCCCACTGCTGTACTATCTCTCAGGCCCAGTCCATTAATTCTCAAGTATGGTCTGAGACCCCCACCCCCACCCCTATCCCAGACTCTGAATTTCAGAGGGAATCTGCAAACTTACAATTATTTTCATAATTTCAAATTCCATCTTTTTTACTGTCATTCCTTCATGATATTACACAGTGAAGTTTGGATACTATAGAACATGTAATTATATCATCCTTCTGTGTTTAACATTTTTTAAAAATTTCTAGTATGGTAAATATTGAGAGAGATTTACATAAACAAATTCTCCTTTTTCCCCCACTTTTTATGTCACATCTGGTGATGCACAGGGGTTACTCCTGGCTCATGCACTCAGGAATTACCCCTGGCGGTGCTCAGGGGACCATATGAGATGCTGGGAATCGAACCTGGGTTGGCCGCATGCAAGGCAAATGCCCTACCCACTGTGCTATCGCTCCAACCCCAACAAAATCTTCTTGACAAGAGATATAGCTCAGTGGTAGAGCACATACCTCGCATATGAGGCCCTGGGTTTGCTCCCCAAGCAGACAACAACAATTTTCAAAATAACTTTTTTGGGGTACACTGTCCTCCCATTGTTCATCCATTTGCTCGAGCAGGCACCAGTAACATCTCCACTGTGAAACTTGTTGTTACTGTTTTTGGCATATCAAATACATCACGGAGAGCTTGCCAGGCTTTGCCATGCGGGCAGGATATTCTCAATAGCTTGCCGGGCTTTCTAAGAGGGGCGGAGGAATCAAACCTGCATCGGTGGCGTGCAAGGCAAATGCCCTACCTGCTATGTATGCAGGTTTATTTGTATATTTCTGTGTGTCTGATTCTATGTGTATAATCTGTTGTGTGTGCATTTGTATGTTTGTATGTCTATGGGCATATATGTGCATTTCTGTGTGTTTCTGTGTATGTCTATGTAATGTGGGTATACGTCTGTGTATGACTGTGTAAGCTTGTATGTGTCTTGATCTATGTGACTATCGGTCTGTGTGTGGGCATGTGTAATATGTGTGTGTGTCCATTGGTGGGCATCTATTTGTGTGTCTGTGTATCTGTGTATGCATATGCCTGTCAATTTACATATCTGTATGTCTCTGTGTACATGTGTGTGTCTGTGTATTCATCTGTGTGTCTGAGTATGTGTTTGCATGTATTTCTTTGTGTGTACGTGCTTATTTCTATATCTATCTGCATATGCATGTGTCCATGTGTCTGTATATATCTGTGTGTATTGTTGTGTGTGCCCCTCTGTGAGTGTATACCTGTGTTTCTGAGCATATGTCTATTGTATGCACACACAGACACACAGAAATATATGCACATAGAGATATATGCAGCTATATACACAGACACACGTACACAAACACATGAACACAGGCATATACACACAGAGACTCACACAGACATGTACACAGACAAACACCCACATGCACAAACACAATTACAACACATATTTAAACAGATATGCCCACAACACACATATACACAGACACAGACATATCAAAAAGGACACAAACACACAGGCATACACAAACACATATGCACACACACAGAGATAAAGATACATACCACACATTGAAATGTTGATAGACACACACAGATACACAGACTTACATAAACACAACACATGCTCACACATAGCCAAAAACAGACAAATTACAGAAACACAATGAACACACATGCACATGGATGCATATAAACACAGACACAAAAACCTATAGACACAGACATAAACTCACAAGCCACATAGAAATATATACACAGAAAGACACGCACACAGAGGTACACACACAGGCATACACAGATACAAATATATGCATACAGACACACAGATTCACACAGACGTATACCCACTGTATACACACAGACACAATACACATATACATAGACTTACATAAATGTGCATATAGGCACAGAAAAATACAGAGATGCACAGACACACAGATATAGACACACATAGACACACAGATATAGACACACATAGACACATAACTATCACACAGACACAGAGAAACAAAAATATATACATAGTTTTTGGGGTGCTTGAAATAATTTTTAGGAGTATAAAATACTTTATAGTTTTGAAATTTCAAAACATATGAGGCCAGAAATAATACTACAGCAGGTAGGGTATTTACCTTGAATGTGGCTGACCCTTGTTCAATCCCTGGCATCCCATATGGTCCCCCAAGCACTTCCATGAGTAATTCCTGAGTGCAGAGCCAGGAATAACCCCCAAGAATTATTGGGTGTGGCCAAAAAAACCCCAAATTAGTTAATGAATTAAATGAAATTCCAAAATGTCCACTCTAGACTAAACTGTTTTCCTTTACTTCTTATCTCTGTATGTTATGGCTCAATCTCCAAGATACATCATTATTTTCCTTTTCACAAAATGCACAGTTTAGAAAAGTGATAGAATATGTATCCCTTTAAGTAAGGAAAAATGGGGAATTCTCTATACATATCCTCTCTGTACATAGGTTCAAAAGAAGCTCCTCCGAATGATTTCCCTTAGGGTCGGAGAATTCGGGGCAGGGATCAAGGAAGCTGGAAGATATTTCTGTGTATGGCTTAGTATTACTTGATGTTTTTCTTCTGCCATGTGTACATGTTAACTTTTTAAAACAAGTCTGCAACTGTACCTCATGGTGTCTCATTATTAAAAATTTTTTAATAAAATAACAACAACAACAACAAAGTTGTCGTTGTTTTAATTTTTATTAGTGAAACACAATGAGGTACAGTTGTGGACATTACAAGTTTTTGTGCTTGGGTTTCAGTTATACAATGATCAAGTACCCATCCTTCTACCAGTGCCCATTCTCCACCCCCAATGATCCCAGTATCCCTCCCACCCCCAACCCCCCCTAAAACAAAGTTTTAAAAGATAACAACCATAAGGGAAAAGAGATGAAAACAAGTAAGTCGGGTGGTGTTTAAGTGTTTCTTCTGGTTTTGCTCTCCTGTGTTCAACTCTCAGGACCTTAGGTGTGCATTGATATGAGAAACATCATACTTGGGGACAGGAGAGAAAGTAAAGTGGGTAGAGGTGCTGACCCTGCATATGGCTGACCTGGGTTTGATCCCCATAACCCCATATGATCCCCCGAGCTCTCTAGGAGTGATCCCTGAGTGCAGAACCCACGAGTAAACCCTTTGCACCTCTAGCTGTGAACCTCAAAAACAAACGAAAAATGACTTTGAAAGAATGATCATATTTGTTATATCTACTTGATGGTGAAAGGGGTAATGAAAGAATAAAATATGCAATGTTAAAAATACACTGAGGGCTCGAGAGATGGTTCAACAAACTGGAGCATCTACTTACTTTCATGCTAGAGGCTGGTGTTTGAGGCCCAGCACCGCCTGGTCCTCTGCAAGCACCACCAGGAGTGGTCCCCGATAATGGCCCCTGCACCCCCTAGCACTCCTTGGGAGGCCCTCCAAGTTGTCAAAGGCACTAAGTGATTGGTGAGAAGAGGACCTTGTTGGGGCTGAAGCGATAGTACAGCGGGTAGGGCGTTTGCCTTGCACACGGCCAACCTGGGTTTGATCCCCAGTATCCCATATGATCCCCCAAGCACTGCCAGGAGTAATTCCTGAGTGCAGAGCCAAGAGTAACCTCTGAGCATCGCTGGGTGTGACCCAAAACACACACACACACACAAAAAAAAAAAAGAGAAGAAGAAGAAGAGGACCTTGTTGAGGCCGGAGTGATAGTACAGCAGGGAGGACGTTTGCCTTGCACTTGGTCCACCTAAATTCAATCCCCAGCATCCCATATGGTCCCCCAAGCACCGCTGGGAGTAATTCCTGAGTGCAGAGCCAAGAGTAACCCCTGAGCATTGCTGGGTGTAACCCAAAAAGCAAACAAAAAAAATAGAAAAGGACCTCGTTAAAATTTTAAGTTGTTTTGTTAATTTGTTCATGAATTTCTATTTAGGGTTTTGTGGGAGATTAAAAACTAGAAAGAGAATTGTAATACTATTTTGCAGTGAACAGCACAAAAGGGGCTTTTGTAGACATACGTGTTTCTGATGTGTGTTTTTAGGATCAAGAAATGCAGAAATTACTACGAAATTCTGGGAGTGACACGGAATGCCAGTGATGAAGAGCTTAAGAAAGCTTACCGCAAACTCGCCCTGAAGTTCCACCCCGACAAGAACTGTGCTCCTGGAGCAACAGATGCTTTCAAAGGTCCAACTTTAAACTATTTCATGCTGACGTCTGCCTTGCCTATGATGTTTGATCACAACAGGCTGCTTTCAGCCTCCCCTGTCACCATTTTATAAGGTCACAGAGTGATTTCCCTTGTTACATTTCTGTTAATAGTGATTATCGCCCTCATTTCTTTGTCTAAATTATTTTTGGTATTGTGCTGGAGAGATGGTACAGGGGTGAAGGCTCTTGTCCTGCATGTGGCTGACCTGGTTCAACTCCCAGTACCACTTCTGATTCCTTGAGCACTACCGAGAGTGACTGGAGTGTAGAGCAGGAGTGATCTCTGAGCACTGCCCAGGGCCCATGGGTACCTCTTGGGACCATGTATTCACTGGTTCAGCAAATATTTATTGAAAGCCTGTATGCCAGGTGGCATGGAGAATGGAGCAAATATGATTCCTTTTTTGTGGGATTTATAGGCAGATGGCAGAGGCCACAGACAGAATTCCCAGACTTCTTTGACCACTGACCTCCTTGTTCATGACACCCGTTTATTAATGCGCTTAGATGAAAAAGCTATAAGAATGTTGAAGACCAAATCTTTTTACCCCAACAATTTCCATGATACTTTCAGAAATATATTTTCTGTATTTCCAGTGGTATTTGGGGCTATGTGAGGCTGGAGATCAAACTCAAAGCCTTGTACATGCTAGGCCTATGCTGTTCCACTTGAGTAATCTCCCTGCCACCCCTTTCAAATATATTCTTAGTTGTTTTGTTTTTGTTTTCAGAATACTGCAGTGCTCAATAACTGCTCCTTGCTACTGAGCAAGGTGCTAAAGATTGAACCCAAGGTTCTCACATACAAAGTTTGTGCTCCAATTCCCAGGATTAAAAAAATATTTGGGGAGTTAGCTCAATAGACTGAAGTGTATGCTTTGTGAGGTGCCAAACTGCTGGTTGCTCTAAAAAATGTTTGTCAGGCTGTAAATGTGACTTAAGTGGGATATCTCTTACCTTTCAGGGTGTGTGTGGTGGGGATAGGGTGGGCACTGAGTTGGATCCCTGTCACCACATGTCTTCCAAGCTCCACAATATATAGCAGGCTGCAACATAGATGAATATTGCAAGCACTGAGTGAATGAAAGCAATTAGATACAAAAGGCTGTGGATTCTATCATTCCTTTCATAAAATGTCTAGAATAGATCTTTGTGTGTGTGTGATACAGAAAGACTAGTTGTAGCTATGGTTTGGGGAATAGAGAAATGACTGCTAATGAGTAGGAGGTCTTTTGGGGAGGTGATAAAAATATCCTGGGATTAGAGAGTGGTGTTGGCTTTGGATCTCTATAAAAACACTAAATATGTGTATATATATATTTCATATATATATGTAACCCACTGTGTACATATATTGAGTGTACTTGGGGTTGGAGATATGTGCCCAGCCCTGGTTCAATTCCCTAGCTTCACATAAGGTTCCCAAAGCGTCATGGAGTGTAGCCTTGGAGGCCCCTGGGTACTCCAGGGTTGGCCCTGGTGGTCCCCAGCACTACAGGGCCTGAGCAGCGCTGTACCCTTTGGCCCCAGCATTGTTTGATCGGTTAAGAATGTTCCCTGGGTCCCCTGAACACTGCTAGGGCCAGAGAGACAGTACAGCAGTAAAGAGCTTCCCTTCATGCAACCCACCTGGGTTCAATTTCTGGCACCACAAAGGTTCTCTGAGAACTTCCAGGAGTGATGCCTTAATGCAGCCAGGACTAAGCCCTGGGCAATGTCAGCGTGGCCCTAAAATGAAACAAAATTAAAATTTTTTCAAGATTTATTTGTTGGTATTGATTGCATGGTTAAAGTGAAATTGAATAGTTTGCACATTTACGCATAGGTCAGAGGTGATGGTAAGCTTGTTATTATTCAGTCTTTAATTTCACATTGAGATATTAAAATTACAAGTAAAGTACAAAGGCCATTTTCGGAAGTAAGCTGAAATAAACTTGATGAATAAAAACTTTACTTTTAGCCATACAAGGTTATTTTTACTGATTATTTTTTTCAAGCAATTGCTTCAGACCAAGTTAGAATAGCATTTTCAATTGAGGGCAATATAGTGAAAATTGTATAAATGGAGGGCCACAGCATGGACAAAGGGACCAATTGGTAGAACAGAAGGGCCATGGTTAGAAAAAGGTTGAGAAACAGAGTTTAGACACTTCTTTTTATGGGTGAAACTCAGGTGAAACAGATACTTTGGGGGAGTACCTACAGATGATCCCCAGGATGAATGCACATATGAAGCAAGTGCTTTGCCTCACAAACATTTTTGGTGGCATAGGGGATCAAACCCAGGGCTTTACATATGTGTGGCATGCACTCCACCACAGAGCTGCATCTGTGACACAACCACGTATCAAAGAGTGAGAGAGCTGGCGCGCGGCAGGTATCCCCTTGTCTGCTGGGGTATGGTGACTGGCTTCTGGAGGGGTGACTTAATTTCTGGGGCAGCAGGGATGACTGTTAATTAGCAGTTAACTCCCACTTCAACAGTAAATCTTAGTTCATCAGGATCCTGGTGCTGTTTCTGGCTTTTCAAACTGCATCTGGAAAATTTCAAGTACAAGTGCCCTAGTGGTTTCTAGACCTGAGCCTGCGCTCTTATCCTTGAACCTCTGTAAGTTATCTAGCACCAATCAATTTTTTGTTTAATTTTTCACTTTGGGGCCACAACCTACAATGCTCAAAGGTGAATCCTGGCCTGTGCTCAGGAATCACTCTTGGTGGTGCTCGATGGGATGCTGGGGATCAAACTCAGGTTGGCCCTGTGCAAGGGAAGCTCCCTCTCCTCTTGCTCTATGGATCCAGCCCCTGCCCCAAACAATTCAAAGCTCTTCATTGCTGCTTCTATGTTCCCTCTAACGACAGTGAAAACTATTGGTTAGTCACTGTCTGTTTTGGTTGCAGCAATAGGAAATGCCTTTGCTGTCCTGAGCAATCCTGACAAGAGAATGCGCTATGATGAGTATGGCGACGAGCAGGTGACTTTCACTGCCCCCCGAGCGAGACCACAGAATTATTACAGGGACTTCGAGGCAGACATCACCCCAGAAGAGCTGTTCAACGTCTTTTTCGGAGGACATTTTCCTACAGGTTAGTATCCCCCACTATCATTTAAAAAAAATCATAGAGAGAAACACACACACACACACACACACACACATACACACACACACACACGCATTAGTTTTTAGAAGCTCCTGTTTAAAGATCTAGATACTGAGATGATGGAAGAGTGGAAACAGTAAAAATTTGGAATTAGCTGTACGTGATTTTGACTAAACTACTTGGTCTCTCTAATCCTGTTTCCTTACCTGGAAAATGGGGCTGGTAATCACCTACCTCACAGGCTGCCATGAGCATTGGATGCTATTTTGGGGATCAAAAACCAGAGCTTCATACATGCAATACTCTATATTCACTGAGCTTCAGTTCCCTGCAGAGGACCATATACTTTTTTTTAATAGTTTAATGTATTTTAATAGCAAACTAACAGGAACAGCACAGAAGACAGACATTAAAAACATGTACTTGCATGTAGGACAACAGAAAAGTATAGTGAATAGATGGAATCTACTGTATGATAAAAATGTTACAAACATCATTTAGTTGCCATCAATAAGAAATTTACTTGTTTTAAAAAAATCCAAATGCTGGCATTAGGACCAGATACTTTTAAATGCTTTATAACTTATATACTTCCAGAGGGGTGTTTTGGGCCACACCCGGTGATGCTGAGGGCTCTTCCTGGATCAGGAGTGACTCCTGGCTGAGCTTAGGGGACCATAAGTGGGTTTGAAGAATAACATCAGCATCAGCAGCATTGAAAGGCACGCTCCTTAACCTTAACCTCTGTACCATCTTTCTGGTCCCCTTAAGTGCTTTATTAATGTACTGTAGCACTGACCTCCTGTTGTTCATCGATTTGCTCTAGCAGCCACCAGTAACGCCTTCATTGTGGACTTGTTGTTGCTGTTCTTGGCATATTGAATATGCCATGGGAATCTTGCCAGGCTCTTCCATGCAGGTGGGATACTCTTGGTAGCTTGCCGGGCTCTTTGAGAGGGATGGAGGAATCGAACCCAGGACAGCCGCATGCACAGCAAATGGCCTACCCGCTGTGCTATCACTCCAGCCCAGCTTACGGATACTTTCTGAAATAGAGTAACTGTTACCTGACTGAAGGAAGGAGACAGAAATTGGTAATTTCATTCTGAACTAAAAAACTCTACCTCCTGCCCATCCAAGCAGAGTCTTAGTTTAATGAGACAAAGAATCATGAAAAAATAAAGGTAAAAAATCCTCAGAATCAAATTAAAATCCTGGGACTAGAGATCCAGAATTCTCATAAAATTGTTTTAAATTATAAATGTAGATTTTTATGACTGAGGCTCAAGGTCTCTAAAACCTAGAGAATTTCAAAAGCTGAATTTTGAGACTCTGAAGAGCTGGTGATATCCCTGAACTCAGAAACCATGCATGTCATCAATGCTTTCTAAAGCCATCTCATATTTCTCTTGGCTCATTTTAGGCTTGGAACAAAATTTTTTGAGCTTAAGAATTCTCAGAACTTGCTTTAAACGATGTTTGTTTATAAACATATGACTCAATCTAGTTCTAGAGTGGATAGTCCTCAGCTGTGGTTGGTCAAACTCTTGATGTCCAGCCAACAATCATGTACCCGCCCCCACACCCAGACATCATGCAGTTTAAGTGCTGCATTTGTTGTAAGTCAGGGCAGATTGGGGATGTAAAGAAGTCCCGGTTTTTGGGGGTTTTTTTTGGCTTTTTGGGTCACACCGGCAATGCACAGGGGTTACTCCTGGCTCATGCACTCAGGAATTACCCCTGGCGGTGCTCGGGGGACCATATGGGATGCTGGGAATCGAACCTGGGTCAACCGCATGCAAGGCAAATGCCCTAGCTGCTGTGCTATCACTCCAGCCCCAGAAGTCTCAGTTTTGTGTCTGAATCATGGTACACATGGCATGGTAACCAACCCACAGCTCTTAAGGATACAAATCAATGAAGTTCTCAAGTTTTCTTCTGCAAAAAAGAAAACAAACAGAAGAGTCCAACAGTCTATCAACTGAGCTGGCTGAGGGCTTACCAGAAATCAAATAATTTCACAAACCTGTTTCTAAGGTTCTCAGATAAGGATTATCTGAACAGCAGCACATCATCTTCAGAGAAGCTGACTTCCTTAGGACCTTATAAAGCCTGAAGTAAACAGTCTCAACTATGATCTTTTGGTCTCAGTTTACATAAATATTCATTTTCATTAACAGGTTAGTTAAGTCACAACTGCTAATTCTACTTGGTCTCAGTTTGGTCTCAGCATCCTCTTCCTGGGATAGTTGAGATGTAATCTTAGTATTTTAGGGGGAGTATCTTTAAAAGTGGCAGAATTGACAAAATTCTAAAAAGAAAAAAGATTCTCAAGTTACATGGACAGTTAAACTGAAGTAAACACCCTTGATTAGACAGTGATCTTTAATTTGAAAAATAGAGTAAATAACCTGTTAGAATACACATTGGAAGGAAGTTTTAAACTTGGTGTATTGCTAGACTGATGATCCATGGGGAGGAAATGAAGCATTACTAGATTCTTTATACAAGCATTTCTTTTGAACATAGGCCTCAGAGTCTGTCCCATACTGAAGTGATGCCGGTGTCTGAGAAGTGGACATGAGTGTAGAGTACTTTCTCAGCCAGTCTGCGCTGAGACCGTCTCTTCTGGACAGTAGCCCAAGACGTGCTGATGCTTAAATCAGATAATAGCTTATTCATAAAGGGCAAAAGCATTTGGATGGAATTTTCTCAGTATTGATATTTCTTTTTTTTTTAATTTTTAATTTAATTTTGGTTTTTGGGCCACATCCGGCCATGCTCAGGGGTTACTCCTGGCTCTGCACTCAGGAATCACCCCTGGCAATGCTCAGGGAGGAATATGGGATTTAGGGATTGAACCTGAGCTGGCCATATGCAAGGCAAGCATCCTACCTGCTGTACTATAGCAACTTTTGGCCCAGTATTACTATTTAATTAAAATTTATTATACTTTAAAATTTACCTGCTCTGTACATCATAAATACAAAACTATTTTTAATTTTAATATGAAATATTTTGTAATAAACTACTAATACTGGCCTTTTGGTAATTCTGAGAACAGTTTCTAAAGGGATAATGGTATTTAGAAATACTTCATAGTACAGCTTCATCCAATAATGGAGAAGTTAAAATTTTTTATTGAGTTATTTGTTCTAGGGGCTGGAGCAATAGCACAGAGGGTAGGGCGTTTGCCTCACACGAGGTCAACCCAGGTTCGATTCCCAGCATCCCATATGGTCCCCTGAGCACAGCCAGGGGTAATTCCTGAGCGCAGAGCCAGGAGTAACCCCTGTGCATCGCTGGGTGTGACCTAAAAAGAAAAAAAAAGAGTTATTTGTTCTTTTAAAAATATTATTAAGTTAATTTGTCTGAGACTGTCACGTGTAATATTAAGACTTAAAAGGAGCTACTTTTTTGTACGGATAAGAATTTAGGGTTTTCTTCTGGAAGATTTGTTTTGCTATAAAAGCCCAATATTCCAAGTAGAATTAGCAGTTGTGACTTAACTAACTGTTAATGAAATGTGTATATTTAGGTAAAAGGTAAAGGTAAAGGCCCTCCCGTTGATCATCGATTTGCTCGAGCGGGCCCAGTAACGTCTGCATTGGAGACTTTGTTGTTACTGTGTCTGGCATATCGAATACTCTCGGTAGCTTGCCGGGCTCTCCGAGAGGGGCAGAGGAATCGAACTCGGGTCGGCCATGTTGGCCGCTTGTAAGGCGAACGCCCTACCGCTGTGCTATATTTAGGTAAGCTTTATTAATAAGTAACAAAATCCCAATTATTATCACAAGGTAGGGGCAAGGACTAGAGAGATAGTACAGTGGATAAGGTACTTGCCTTACATATCACTGACCAGGGTTTGATCCCCAGCATCCCATATGGTCCCCAGAGCACACAAGGAGTGATTTCTGAGTGCAGAGCCAGGAGTAAACCTTGAGCATCGCCAGGTGTGGCCTAAAATACAAATAAACAAAAAAGAAAGTAGGGGCCAGGGAGATGGCTCAAAAGGCTGGTAGGTGTGCATGAAGGAAGCCATGTTTGATCATGAGCACTCTGCAAGGAGCAACCACACCCTGAAGTCCACCTTCTTCTCCCTGCCCCCACCCTTGCCCAGCATTGCCAGTGTGGCCAAAAAGAATAGTTAGAAAATTACCCCAGAGAGGTGGGGAGATAGTACAGTGGGTAAGAAAATTTGCCTGGTATGCAACTGACCCAGGTTTTATCCCCAGCCTCTTACGAGGTCTCTTGAGCACCACCAAGAGTAATTTCTGAGTGTATAGCAGGGATTAACCCCTGAGCATTGCTTAGGTGTGGCCCAAAAATTAAAAAGGGATGGGGGTGGGGGGAGGAGAGAGAGAGAGAGAGAGAGAGAGGAGAAAAGAAAGAGAGAGAGAGAGAGAGAAAGGAAGGATGGAAGAAAGGAAGAAAAGTACCTTAGGGAGTTGGAAGTTGGTATAATTAAATGCTCAGAAAATAAATTTAATTTTATGGGTTGCTGCTAAAGATACTGATGACATAATATGATTTCGGACAAAGCAGCAGCATGTCAGATAGGACTGATGGGCTAAATGTTTCTTTCTTACTAGGCTTTTGGGATTCATTAACAGTTACAAAGAGCTATTTAAATAAGGACAGAACTGGGATGTGGCTCAGCGGTGATTTATATACTTGGCATGTGTGAGACCGTGGGTTCAGTCCCCAGCACTTCAGTAGATAAATGCACATATACATATACATGTATATGCATGCACACATATGTGACCTTAGCATACTCCCTCTCCACCTGTCTTTCAAGCTGCCTCATTTTTTTTACTGGCTAAACTGGAGCAATACCATCAGAGGACCTATTTGGGACTAAGACGAAATTCTTGCTGTATCCCACACTGCATATTTGTTTTTCTTCTTTTCTAGGAAATATTCATATGTTTTCAAATGTGACAGATGACACCCACTATTACCACCGGCGGCACCGACATGATAAGATGCCGACTCGGAAGGAAGAGGAAGAAGATAAACCTCAGGTGTCTGGCAAGGAAAGAACCACACTTAGAAACACTTGACCTTAGCTGCTCTTTGCAATGATTAGGTTTGAGAAGTTCAACTTGAATTGTGTTGCTAAAATGTGCTTTAGGAAAAATGGTCAGAAAGTGGTAAGATCTTGGATAATTGACCCACATAGAGCAAAATGAGACCCTCTTTCCACCCATTCTCCCAGGATCTGAATTTCTCTGTAGAGCTGTGTTGGTCTTGGCCTTTGTGACTGCTGATAAAGGCAGTCAAAGTTTTGAGAACAGTCCAGGGTTTAAAGTACGGAATTGAGAGTCTCACGAAGCTGCATGGCAGGAAGCAAACCTGGGTGTCTTGACAGGTGGTAGCCAGAGGCAGGTACTGTCCACACCCACGCAGCTCCAGGGCCAGGTTGTTTCCTGTTTTTCTGCCTCTCAACATCAGCTCTGTTTTCCACCCCACCTTGCAAATGGTCCAGTCCATGTACATTCCCAAGAGGTTTTTTGATTTTGTTTGTTTTGGGGCCACATTTGGTGGTGCTCAGGGTTTACTCCTGGCTCTGCACTCAGGAATTACTCCTGGTGGTGCTTGGGCGGTGGGGGTGGGGGACCATATGGGATGCTGGGGATCGATCCTAGGTCTGTGGCATGCAAGGCAAGAGACCTACCTGCTTTACTATCTCTCTGCTCCCAGTTCCTAAGAGTTTTATCCTGCTTCCAGTGTCCTTTCATAGGGACTGCTTAGCTAGAGACCATGTGAGATTCTCAGTCCCAAAGCATCCCTGTTAAGGTAGATGCTCCCTGACCAGCTGTGGCCAAGGCAGCAGAGTTGCATAATCCTAATTGGGCCAGACACAGTCTGGCCATCCACCTCAACCTCCAGTATCTGCTTCGTTGGTGATTGGGAAAGGAGGTTCAGGGTAACTGGGTATCCAGATTTTGGGGGGTAGACCTCCTTCATGGTCCCAGGTCAAGGGAATGAGCGTTGTCTGGTGCTTCTCTGCAGAAAGTATTATGTTCCCAGGAAAGCCTCAAGTTTTGTGCGAGACTGGTGCTTGCTTTGGGAAATCATTCTATTTGCAATAAGCTTTATATGTATCATGACATTTATGCTCAATCTTTTTTCTGTTTCAGACTACATATTCTGCATTTATTCAATTACTTCCAATTCTGGTGATTGTTATTATATCTGTCATTACTCAGCTGCTGGCTACTAATCCCCCGTATAGTCTGTTCTATAAATCGTAAGTCAAATATATATTTACATATATATTTGTGTGTGTACTCAGGGACTACTCTCAGCTGGGTGCCTTGGGGTAGCTCCTGGTATACTCAGGGGATTATGCGGTGCCAGGGACCAATCCCGGGCATCCTCCTTGCAGAGTATGTGCTTCGACCCTTTGAGCTATCTTCTGGCCCCTATGAATCTTTCTTAATCTAGAGGGTAAACATCTTAAAAGTTTTGCTGGTGTGTGGCATCTCATTTCACCTTTCATTGTAGACAACACTGATTTTATGTTTGAAGGAACAGCTGGATAGTAATAATGCAGAGGCTGAGGCTTCTCAGATAGTAATAATGCTGAGGCTTCTCAGCTCAGCAGTTAGGATAGGCATGTATGAGGGTTGGGGGGGGGGATCATGTTTTGTTCTACAGCGACATCATGCTGTCAGTGGCAGAATGGCAGCTAGTTTCTGAAGGCTCAATGGAATGATTCCAGTTTCAGATTCAACCCTCACCATCCCATGTTTGAATTAGAAAGGACCCTACTGTGATAGGATCAGTAAACCCCTGTGGGTCTTGGAGCATAGTAGCCGAGATCCAGGACTGGTTTTCAATTTTAGAATATTGCAAGAATAAGAGTTTTGGGGCCAGAGAAATAATACAGCAGGTAAAGAATGTGTGGCCAACCTGAGTTTGATCCCTAACTCCCCCAGCCCCACCAGGAGTGGTCCCAGAGAACAGAGCCTGGAGTAAGTCCCGAGCACCACTAGGCGTGGACTGAATTTTTAAAAAAAGTTTTATTCATGATAAAGCTACATAGTCAGAGACTCTATGCTATTTTTTGCTTTTGTTGATAATATATTGATTGATATTTTTCTTGCATGTATATTTTAAGTTCTGATAGTATTTTTTGTTAATTAATTTTCTCAATTAAATTCCTTCTCAGAGTTTTATCCCCAGACCAGCATCAGCATCAGTTGGCAGCATGTTAGAAACACCAGGTCTTAGGCCCCACTATTAAATCAGAAACTTAGAGGTGAGCACCAGCCTTGAGGGTTTTGGTTTTGTTTTGTTTTGGTTTTTGGTTTTGGGGACTCCGTGGCTGGTGCTCAGGGGCTATCACCTGGCTCTGTGCTCAGGGGACCATATGTGGTGCTGGAGATTTATTCAGATCCAGGTTAGAATTGATCTGTGCTCACAGATCACTGGTGGGGAATCAGGGGAGAAGGGGATCAGTAAGTGCCTTCCCTGCTGTACTCTCTAGCCCCAATCTATTTTTTTTAATTAGTGAATCACTGTGAGGTACAGTTACATATTTACAAACTTTCATGTTTGCATTTCAGTCATATAATGATTGAGTACCCATACCTCCACCATTGCCCATTCTCTACCACCAATGATACCTGTATCCCTCCTACCACCCTCACCCCATCCCCCCCCAACCCCGCCTCTGTGGCAAGGCATTTCCTTTTGCTCTCTCTCTCCTTTTGGGTGTTATGGTTTGCAATAGAGGTACTGAGTACTAGCCCCAATCTTGAGTTTTAACAAGCCCTCTGATAATGTCTGTAGTAAAGTTTGAGAATCACTGGATTAATTTTAGTTATGAGAAATGAGTCATCACACCATTCACCATTATACTTTTTTTTAAGTATCTGGGTCACACCATGCTGCTTTGATACCACTCCCAACTTAGTGCTCAGGAGTCACTCCCAACAGTGCCTAGGATCGAACCCAGACCTCCAGGATGCAAGGCAGGCATTCAGCCCTTTGAGCTGTCTCTGTGCCCCACAGATGGATTTGTCAAGCATAGCAGTTCACTGTTTATTTAGTTTTGGGCCACACTTAGCGATGCTCAGTGATTACTCATGGCTCTGCATTCACAAATTATTTCTGGGGGTGCTTAGGGGATCAAACCCAGGTCAATTGCATGCAGAGCAAGCATCCTCCCCACTGTACTATCTACATCACAGCAATAATAACATTATACTCCCTACTGCACCAGGGAAATAATAAATGTCGGGTGCATTAGAAAGTGCTCTCTGGATCTGCCCTGGGCAGAGGTAACTGTGGTACAGATGTCAACTAGGCCACTGCTGAATGTGATTTATAACATGTTTACCTGAGCTTCTCTGCTTATTTCAGGAGCTTGGGCTACACTATTTCTAGAGAAACCCAGAACCTGCAGGTGCCTTACTTTGTGGATAAAAATTTTGACAAGACCTACCGAGGATCGGCTCTGCATGACCTGGAGAAGGCCATAGAGAAGGATTACATTGATTACATCCAGACGAGCTGTTGGAAGGAGAAACAGCAAAGTAAGATGCTCAGAAAGGGGCTGGAGTTGGGGGCTGGACTTCCCAGGTGGGCTCATCCCTCCTCATCCCTTGTTTAAGTGAGGTGTGTTTATGGGAACCTAGACAGGACAGAGGCCCATTCAGAACACGAGACCAGGACTTGATTGACAGGAACATGTGGCCAGTGCTTGGGAATCTTGGGATCTTCCCAGCACTAGGCTGGCTGGCTGGCTGAGTCTTTCTCTCTCTGTCCATCTGTCAGCTACCTTCCCTCCCTTTGTGTCTTCATGTTCTCTCCCTCCATAGCCGTATTTTCCGGGATTTATTTTGGTTGCTACCCACCCAGTCACCCACTCAGAGCCCATGAACTCTCACAGTCACGATGTTTCCACACCCCTTCTGTAGCTGTTGACCCTCTTGCTCTCACAAGCTTCCTCTTCTAGTTCCCATTGTCAGCTGGTTCAGTCCACAGTTTCCTGATTCCACATTCCCTAGAGAAATCTTTCTGAGCTTGCCTAACTTTTGGAGCCAGATCAAAGTTTTATCAGTCATTGGTATGAGTCATATGCCTTGTCCCCTCTATTCACTGTGGCCACCAAGCATAAGTGTCCCTCCTGGTATCTGCTGCCTCAGTAAGCATGGAGATGAGTCTGCCAGCGGGTGATTGGTGGGGTGATTGCCACTTGGATTATTTGGGGCTGAAAAGGTGGCTCAGTGGGTTGAGCAAATGCCTTGCATGAAGGATACCCACGTTCAATCTCCAGCACCACGTGATCCCCTGAGTGACCCCCAAACACGGCTGGGAATAGCCCCTGAGCTCTGACAGGTGTGCCCCCCCAAAAAAAATTATTGTAGGAACCACTGCCATTGGTTCTTGAGTGGCCATTGGGTGGCAGAAATAAAACCGAGGGCCTCACACCTGCAAAGCCTGTGCTCTTAAGAACTCATATGTTGGGTTTCCACAGCATGCCCCCAGCAGGCTCCCACTCTGCTTGAGTTACATAGAATGTGTGCACACAGCCTTGCCCCCTAACTGTATTTTTATTTGGGGGTGCATTTAGGGGCCCAATCAAGTGATTCTGATTCGGGAGTGAGTCAGTGCATGGGGGACTACATGTGGTGCCGGAGATTCAGGTAGGGTCAGCCACCTGAAAGGCAAGTGCCTTCACTCCTGGGCTACCTCTCTGGCTCCCTAACTGTACTTTTAGAACATGACTTTAGGGGGCTGGAGAGAATGGAGAGAGGGGAGGACACTTACTTTGCTCGTGGTCAACCCAGGTTCTGTCCCCAGTATCCCATATGGTCCCCTGAGTCTGCCAGGATTCAAATCCAGGAATAACCCCTGAGCACAGTCGGATGTGGCCCCAAAAGAAAAACAAAACTAAAACTTGAGTTTAGGGACCAGGGAACTGGTTCACAGGGCTGGAGTACATAATTTACATATATAGAATCTGAGGTTTGATCTCCAGTTCTGGATGGACCCCTAAACTCCTAAGCAACACCGGAAGTGCCCCTCTCTCACACAGAGAGAGAGAGAGACATTTTGGGGTGATATGGATTTGGAACCAGACTGAGTGGTACCCAGGTCACACCTGGCAGTACCAGGGGTTGAACCAGGGTCAGCCACATGCAAGCCAACTTGGGCTCTCACACCAGTCCAGCTTTAACTTTTGATTTTTTTTGGCGGGGGGGTCACACCCGATGATGCACAGGGTTACTCCTGGCTCTGCACTCAGGAATTACTCCTGGTGGTGCTCAGAGGACCATATGGGATGCTGGGAATCGAACCCAGGTCAGCTGCGTGCAAGGCAAATGCCCTACCTACTGTGCTATTGCTCCAGCCCCAAGCTTTGACTTTTGAGATGCAAACTTTATCCCTGCTACCACATACGGTGCCTCCCACCTCCTAGCCCTGCCATGACTGATTTCTGAGCACAGAGCCAGAAGTGAGCCCTGGACACCGTCCCTCAAAAAAAAAAAAGTAAATAAAAGGCAAGTACATACATGGATCCAAATCAGGTGAAAACTACATTGTGTCCTAAAAGTCTCCATAATTTTTAGCTGTGTGAGGATTTTGAGTTTGTTGCTTTCTGTGAGAACTGGATGAAGACCATCATTTCATATTCTTCCAAAATACACCCCCCTGAGCTGGAACTCTGCTCAGAGCTTGTGATAAGGATCACAGCTCAGGTAGATTCTGCGCTCCCACCCCGTCTCCATGAAGCTTCTTCCTGGGGTTTTGGCACTCTATAAATTACCCAGTGGGTAAGCATGATGCATGTCCCCTCAAGTTCCAAACGGGGGGTTATCAGCATACACCCCTTAATAATCTATTCCTGGCATTTAGGATGGGGGCTGTCTGGAGCCTCCACACATCCCAAGTGCCATTTGAGAACAAGCAGCATCTGCTCTCTGGATCCAGCCACAAGTGCAGCCAACAAGGTTAAATTTAGCACTGGGAGCTGTAAAAATAAACCCACTTGAGAACAAAGTTCCCTCTTGGCAAAAAAACCGAATGGAAACTGTTTTAGCAAAATGAACAATTGTCTTTCTTAAATCTTTTCTTCATTTATTCTGTGCGCTCTTCCTTCAAATGCTTCCTCTGAGTGAACGTCGATGAGTAATTCCTTACTATAAGCACTAATTGCCATGTTTACGCCCCCACAGCTGCTTTAATAAAACTTATGCCACTGGGCTGGGCTGGACCAACTATAACAGGCAGGACTGAGCTCATCACCATGACTGGCAGAGAAAAACACTTCTCTCCATGCCCAGGATCAGGGTAGCAGAGCGGGTCGGGGCTTAGGGTTTGCAGTGGGGATGGGATAAATTTCCCAGGGGAGCGGGAGAGAAATGGATTCTGGAAGGTGGTGTAGACATAACTCTCAGCACGGTGTCAGCATATAGTAAGTGCCTGAATTCTGGAGGAATCGTGGCCTGTGTGAGCCTTGCTAGACCTGATACCCCTCAGGATCATGGGATGGAATTGGAAGGTGTTGGAATCTCTTGGGGTCTTCCAGCTGTCGAGACTCAAAGCTGAGCGCTTGTGCCATGTTCTCGGGGGGAGACTGTGAGTTTTCTTGGCAGTTTTCCTGAGTCAGTTTACCCTGAAGACTCAATGCTCTACCCACATGTTACACCAGCACTCAGGGCAAGAGAAGCACTTTGCAGAGAAGCAAAGTTGTTTTTAGGTCAGAGGGCACAGTGGGCTGAGCACAGGCACGGAAGAGGTCCAAGTTTGATCCCAAACTTTGTTTGATCCCAAGTTTGATCCACGTTTTCCGCGGGAAACATTGTTCTCTTGATCTTTCCGTCTTGGAGATTATTTTTTTAGTTACTTAAAAGGCTGCATCAAAAGCAGCCCACTCATAGATTGACCTTTTTTCACTGACCTTGTGCAAGGTTCTGGAGCGAGGGGCCAGCTCCCTGAGCATGAGTTTCGGCGAACTTTATGAAAAGCAACCTGTGTTTGTGAGAAGAGCATTCTTAGTGGTGTGTTTGTCTTTCATCGGTTTCTGGGGGTCTTTACCATAGAAACAGAAAGAACTCTGTTTTCTGAATGAGATTTTAGGCAATGAGGCATTTAGAAAAACTAAGAAAACAAACAAAAATACTTGAGGAAATCATTTCAAGGAACAGCAAAGCCATCGAATACCCAGAGTTTGACTATCTTCCAGAGACCTGAACAGGATTCCCACAGGCCAGAGAACCAGAAAAATGGGGTCCATGCCATGCTCGAGGCGGGACCCAGGAGCAAAGGGTTTGGTCACAATGCAGGATTTCCTTGAATCCATCCACTTACAAGGATGCTTGTGTCAAGGCAAGTTCTGGCTAGCAGAGTGCGGGCACTCATGCCAGGGGGTGAGAGCACATAGTTCTGGAGCCCAAGAGACCTGCTGTTTGCCAGGCAACTGCCACTGGACTGGGGCACAGGCTCTGAGCGTCCTTTGTCAGAGGAAGGTTTTCATGCATATCCACCCCTCACCCTGGAGTCCTGCTCTTAATCTGCTCTTTGGGCCTTATTTGGTGTAAATAGAATCATTGTGAGCAGAAATGCCAGCCTTTGTGTTGGTAGAAACTTATTTAGACGCGAACGCCCATTGTCACCCTGGGCTAAGTATTCATTCTTCCTTCCAAGCAGTTTGCTGGCTAATCAGAACAGGTGCCTCTTGTTCCACCAAGAAAAACAAAATCTGCCCCCAAGATGATTAAGAATGGGTAGCCATCTTTCCAAATGATTCTAATAGCACTTTCCCTGCATCTGGTCCTTGGGTGACTGCCACCCATCAGAGCTTCCGGCCACACCTTCAGCGGCAGGCCAGCCGGTCCACACACACCTCACCGGAGGTGCTTTTCCGGCAGTCCAGCCTGAGAGTGTCTCTAGAACTTTACAAAAGAATCAGAAATAGAAGGCAGCCAAAGCACCTTTGAGCTGGGGAAGACAGCAGAGATTATAGTCTGGTTAAAAATAGAATGTCCTTCTCTGCCGTGAAGAGAAAATGAAATGCGTTTAGTCAAGGAGACAAAGGTCACTGGATCCAGATGATTTCCCTTTTACAAGAGCCCAGCTGCTGCTGGCCTTTGAGTTAGGGATCCCGCCTGCGGCGAGGGGATGAAGCAAACTGCCTTTGCTAGCAGGCCAGGCGCTGGGCACGACTCTGTGGGCGCGAGTGTCTGAGCAGCGAGCGGGGGAAGGAATGAAGCAGCTGTCTATGTTCGGTGACAGGAGCGGGCCACAGGACTGCCCTCAGAATACCATGGGCGGGAAGGCGGGGAGCCGGCGCCTCTTGCCGCACACGTGCAGCTTCCCCTAAGTCCGCTGCCAAATGTTCTATTGATAAGCACTGAGCGCGGTGCTTTAATGACAGGGCACAGCTCCTGCAGGCCCCAGGGACACAGGTGTCCTTTAATCCTCTGCACCTGGTGCCGTGGGGCTGCCTGGCCTGTGTTTCCTCTGTGGCCGGGTCGGCCTGAAATGTCACGGAAAGAAGCGTGAACTACCAAGTAAAAGCTTTTGATTGCAGCCTTTCGGCATGAAACCGAGAGCTCGGCTCTGTTGACGAACGGGTGACCTCTTTTATCTTTCAGAGTCGGAGCTGACAAATTTGGCAAGCTTGTACAGAGATGAACGGCTGAAACAGAAAGCAGATTCGCTGAAACTGGAAAACTGTGATAAACTTTCCAAAATCATTGGCCTCCTCAGAGGTGGCTGAGAGGATGAGTCTTACAACAGGGTTGGGTTTTTTTTTTTTGCTACTCGTTACTATTTATGTTCCTAACTCCATTTTATAATACAAAATTAGGACATGTGGCGAGCATCTTACAATGTGCTAACTGTGGTGGGCAGGGTTGATGGCAGCGCTTGAGCATGGAGTCAGATTTGTCATCACAAATCCTTCCTGGGGGCTGGTGCCAGGCTCCAGGAACAGCCCATCTGAATTAAATTGATGACAAAGTGACAGATCAGTGCCCCTGCTCCAGGCCTCTCTGCTCCCGGAATATCCCTGATAGATATGTGTTTCTTCCTTCTGCTTCAGTTAAGTCCCAGTATTCTGTTAGCCTTCGACTTAGCCAAAGCAGTATGACCTTAGTTTTTTACACTGTAACCACGAATTTTACCTCTCCCCTCATCACCATCACGCAGCTCCGCGGGAATTCAGTCTTTGGAACATGTTCTGAATTAAGCTTTCCATTTTCTAAGGAAGTGGAAATGTATTTTGGAAAAAAAAAAGTAAATTGTCGTCAGTAATTTTCTATCTGCCTAATAGCTATTTAGAGTTCCTAGCATTAGGGATCTGCCAGGTTTGATGTCCTTGCCCGCCCTGTCTTGTCAAGGGTCCAGAAATGAAGCGCTCTGGAGTAAAAACAGCTCAGTAGCCCCTTTAGCAGCAGGAAGCAGGGGCGAAGGTTAAGGTTGGAGGTAAGTGCGGTCACTGAGTCTCAGCTGCTCGGTGTTTGTTCTCTGCTCCATCGTGGAACCCAGAAGATAGTCTTCTCTTGCAGAATGCCCTACACCCCACCCCGTGAGTGCAGTGGTTAGACCGAAGAGAAACTGTGTTGACAAGTCAGGTTGTTGCTTTAGCACAGGGGAGGCAGAAAGTGGGCAAAGAGCCTGTTTCCATGGTTCTGAGCGTGTGGGTGGGCCCAACAGTCACTTTATTTGACCCCACTCCCTGTAGTTTGTGATATGAGATGCTTTTTTGTGTGTATCCAACATTTTCTTGAGTGCCTAGTATGAAGCAGGGGATTGCACCTATATTATTTCTTATTTTAGCCTCCTCACAATTCTGTGAAGTAGACATGTTAGTCTCCTTGTTTTTTTCTGAATGAGGACAGTGGCCCAGAGAGGAGGAGCGGCTGACCGGGGCCATGAGACCCTCTGTGGCAGAGCTAGTCTGACGATCAGATACCGAGGTGAGAGCGCCCCCGTTTCTCAGGTGATTCTAGCCCAATGGTTTGAGCAGAATATTATGCAAGGATTTCCCTTTCTCCCCACGGCCCGGCCTCTGACAATGTCACCCTCCTATGGCATGTTCCCATTCAGAAGCGGTAGTAAAACCCTCTCTATACCAGTTCTCAGTATGAAACAAGAGGCTCCTGAAAGGCAAGTTTCCCTTCTCACTGGAGAAACAGAAGCAGGCTATTGTCTCGGCTGAGTGGATTGGATGCAAGCAACCAGGGTTGAACTGCCCGGGTGGTTCAGAATCTGTCAAAGGATAGAGTCAGTCACTCTAATCTGCCCTCTGTTTTCTTCAGGATGGGAGAAATCTTCCTGTTGGAAGGAAAGGCTACATTAAAACTACCTGCCAGAGTAGAGTTTCTCCCTGCAGATGCTAACCGTGTTGTAGGCAGACATGACTAGCAGGTTCTACATATGGGCATTTCCCAAGGTCAGGCCATGAAAGCGGAGGTAAGGAGTGTAGACTGGCACCTGGGGGAATAATTGCTCAGCTGCTGGGAGAGTGAAGAGAGATGGCCAGATTTTTCTGGTTAACTCTGAGTGAATGAGGAGGGGTTTCACACTGAAAACGTGCCTGTGGGCCAAATACGTATATGGAAAGTTTTTCTACACACAGAAATCAAGGCTTTCAACCCAACATTGGCTAGAAAATGGGCAATAATTACATTGACTTGACAGGTTAAAAGACCCTCTCTAGCTGCCCGTGAATAGCATAGTCATGCGCTTTATGGATTTCAGGACAGAGATGAGTTATTTGCAATGATATAAATAGAGGCAATACTAACTCCATTAAATGTCAGGTCTATCACCTGTTTTTATAGCAGCGATGGTACTGTTTTATTTATTACCTAATAGAACATGACCCTCACATCTGGGTTTCCTCAAGGGGATGGTATTTGCTTTAGGTTGAAGGGTAGTTTAATCTGTTTGGTACTGTCAAGAATATTGTTAAACTATCATTTCCTGGGTTATATTTTAGATGGGTTGTCTGCATGGTGGTAAAATAAGCATCTTCCCTTTGCCTGCATCCTTTGAAAGGCTTCCTGATCATATAAACGCTTTCGATAAGGCTTATTCTTGCTGTCAGGACCTGGTGTGCAGTGCAGAGTCATTCTATGAAAAGGAAATGCAGGTTGTGGACATGTGAGGGGAGCAGAACTGGGAGATGGGGCTTGCGACACTCCCGCAGGAGCAGCTCTTGTTTATTAGGCTAAGCCTGGTTGCAGCCTGCGAGGGAAGGATGCAAAGCCTTCTCATCACAAAGGACTCTGCAGCATGATGGAAACTGTGTCCCCAGACTGGCAACCCTGGGCTTCCTCTGCTCAAACCAGAACACTCAAACGTCCTTGATCAGCTCCAGGCCTCAGGGCTTGGGAGAAGGAGTGGTAAGAAAATGCCATTGCTATGTTTTCTGCTGGAATTTACGCTAAACTCCAAAGCCCAGGGGAACATGGGGTCTAGCAGCCTGGCCATGTGTGTGTCCTCCTCATTTCAACTTCACACTCAGGACTTGGCTACACGAGGAGGCGCTGTTTGGATTCCAGAAGCTTCCTATTCCAACTGGCCATACTTGCAAGTTCATTGTCTCTGCATGCACTACTCTTCACAGGAGCTAGCACTTAGAATTTATTTTGGATTCATTTAAGATGTTAGCTTACCGATCTATTTATTTTTTAAAAGGGCCAAGCTACTTACTCTATCTACATCTTATTTTTGTTGTTGTTGAGCCTGCATTGTTGATGCCTTGCACAGTGACCACCAAGTAATTATATACCCACGTGTTAGCTATTCACAACATCATTTGCATCACACTCAGTATTTGGAATTAAAGATATGAGTGTTCCGTGGCCAGAGCCAGGTTTGACACAGATGGAATCAGCTCCAAGATCTGGTCACCTGATCTGCTGCATCTGGATTTGAGTGTATTTGAACAGAGAGAAATTAAACAATTTTCTATATAAAAAGAGTGTCTTGTTTCCCTTTGTTCTTGGACCTTGCGTGCTGCACGTTGCCTGACTTACTTGGACCACTGAGACGGACAGATGCCTGTGACCCCTGCTGCAGAGCCCTCGTCCATCACAGATTCCCTTGGCATCAGAGCAGGCAGGAACTCTGGTGCCCGCAGTTGTGCCTGTGTGCTAACAATGCTGCTTACTACAGACCAGTACTGCTCTGCATCGGGTCTGTCTGGGGATGACTCGGGAGCAGAAGTGTGTGGAAGCCCCCAGCTCAATTCCCAGCAGCATGAGATTCCGCCCTTATCCCCCACCCCACCCCAAACCCTGTTCAAATGGTAAATTGTGAGCAGCCCTGGAGAGGTCTCCAAGCTAGAGTGCTTGCTTTGCATGTGGAAACCCTCAGGCTTGAACCCCCAAGCTGTGTGGTCCCCCAAGCATTGGACTGGGATTAGGCCCTCCAAAAAGCACAAAGCTCTGAGCTGGAGAGATAGTATAGGGGTTGAAGTTCTTGCCTGGCATATGTAGACCCCAGTTCAAATTCCCGGCACCACATATGGTCCCCTGAGGATCATCAGGAGTGATTCCTGAGTATAGAGCTGTGAGTTCACATATTTTAACATTTAATAAGATCCCACCAACTTTCTGATCTCTGCCACTGCTTGCTGTCTATATATGACTTTTTTTCCCTGCAATACAAGCTTTTTACTACACTCTGCCAACTCCCTTTGCATACACTTTGCATATTTTCTACCTTCTGGAGCTTCCCCACCACCACTACCACATACCCCAACCCCCTTCACTGCGTGCTCTTGAGTTTTCAGCTCAAACATCACTGCCTCAAAGAAGCCATCCTGACTGTGCTCAGTTCCTTTAAACTACTCACATTCTGGGGGGGGGGGGTTGGAGTGATAGTTTAGCGGGTAGGGCATTTGCCTTGCATTGGCCGACCTTGGTTCAATTCCCAACATTCCGTATGGTCCCCTGAGCACTGCCAAGAGTGATTCCTGAGTGTGAGTGCAGAGCCAGGAATAGACCCCTGAGCATCACCAAGTGTGACCCAAAAAACAAACAAACAAACAAAAAAACCCACTTGCATTCTTCTCTTTCTTGACTCCTGTCAGAACTGTAATGAAATGACTTATTTTTGGATTTGTGTATTTATTTCATTATTTATTGTCTCTCTTACTAGATGAATTTCTAGTCTGGTTTTATCCAAACTCAATCTTGAAATAATGGGCCATCTGGATGCTGGAGAGATGGATTATGGCACTTACCTTGTATGTGGCCAACCCTGGTTTGCTTAATTTGGGTTTTTATTATTACTATTATTATTAGCCTTTTGGTTCACACCTGGCAGTGTTCAGGGGATACTCCTGGCTCTGCACTCAGAATTACTCCTGGTGGTGCTTGGGGACAATACGAGGTGCTAGGGATCGAACCTGGGTTAGCCACATGCAAGGCAAATGCCCTACCCACTGTACGATAGAGCTCCAGCCCCTGTCTTGTTTTATTTTGTGGACACAAACAGGAGTGATCAGTGCTTACTCCTGGGTCTGCTTGGGAGACCATTTGTGGTGCTGGGGTCAGATGTGTGCAATTACCCGACCCATGGTATTTCTTTGGCACACAGCCACCACATACGATCTCCTGATGCCTTAACTCGAGCCAGGACTAGCCCTGTAGCACCAGGTGTGCCCCCTCCCCACCACCAAAGTAACGCTTTCTCTAGAAGACAGCCCAAATCTTCAACTATTTTTATTGAAAAGCAAACTATTTCTCCTTCCCTTGAACCTGGACTCTGGCGCCTTAACACTCAAAATAAAGCAGAAATGATACCAAGCCAGTTTTTAGACTGAGGCCTGAGGAAACTGGCATTGGGGACCAGGGTGAGAGTTGAATAGGTTGGAGTGCATGTGATTTCAATTCCTAATACCACATGGTGCCCCAAGCACCACCAGGTGTGGCAAAAACAAAAGAAAAAGAAGGAACAGGCAGCGGGGTGGAAGAGCTCGGTGAGCTGGTGAATATGCATTGCATGTGAGAGGCCTAGGTTCGATCCCTAGTACTACATAGTCTCCTGAGCACCTCTGGGATGACCCCCAGTACCAAACTTCAAGTAGTCACCAAACATTGTCAGGTGTGGCCCAAAAAAAACAAAACAAAGCACAAACTGACTTCTGACTTCCATTCTCTGTCACTCTGAATGCTTCCTCTTGAACCCAGTAATTATGTGGTGAGAAAACCCAGCGGCCTACAGAGAATCAGCCCCTGGCCAGATGAATTCCCAGCGGAAATTCATTGCTATTGCTGGTTATGGGAGTGAGATGTGGGTGAGCTATCCTTGGAGGGGGGTTTCTCATCCCCCTGCTCCCATCCCCACAACAAATGCACCCCTTGTTTCGGCTGGTACTGCGCAGAGCAGAGATGAACTTTCAGTATTGATCCTGGCCTAACTCAAGATTTGTGAGCAAAATTATCATGTTTATTTTTTTATTTGGGGGCCTCCCCAGAAATCCTGGGGGCTACCAGGGCTACACCTGGCCGTGCTCAGGAGGCCATGCAATGTCAGGGGTTGAACCTCAGTCCATGCCAGTGCATGCCACATTCATACTCCAACCCTTTGAACACTCTCCCAAGCCCCAAATTTACCAAACCTATAAGGGTTTTGGTGGGATTTTTTAGGGTGGGAAGATGGGGGGGAAGTTTATATAGCAATAATTAGACTATTGACCAGAATAACAATCCTGTACAGAACGGCAGCCCTTCTCAGGGGGGGGGGGTCACCCAACTGCTTGTGATGTGATGTCATCCCAAGCCTTGTGGAGCCCTGGTTGGCCAGGAATTCAGGTTGTTTTTAACATGGTAGGAGCAGTCCCCAACCAGATGACCATCCCTCATGTTTGCTTGGATCTGGATCCAGGAGTCTCTCTCTTGCTCATAACTCCCCATCTCCTGCGGAGCTGACAGAACTACCCTGCTGACCTCCAGGGTTTTGCCCAAAATGTGGCAGGCAAATTCCAGTTGTTCCAGCGGGAGGAGGTGAACACTGAGTGACAAGGGACATTAAGCATCACCTCATGAAAGACCCTAGAGAGGGGACACAGTTCATGGAAAAGATTTAGGGATCACTGTGTCAAAGGAATGTGCAACTTTGTCCAGGCTAATTCAGGTGAACATTCACATAATAAAGTTCGAGAGGGCTCCATGCTGAAACACACAATCTATAGAGCACCTTTTGGACCCACCCAGGCCAGCCCAATAGCCACATGTGGCTATTTATGTTTAAATGTCCATGAATTAGGGGCCAGAGCAGTAGTACAGCCAGTGGATAGGGCTGGCCTTGCACATAGTCAATCTGGTTCCATCCCCAGCACTCAACATGTTTTCTCAAGCCCCACCAGGAGTGATCCCTGAGCACTGAAGGGTGTAGCCCAAAACAAACAAACAAACAAACAAAATGGTGGTTGGGCAGATATACTACAGCATAGAGTACACTTGCCTTCCCATGGCAGACCCGAGTTCAGTCCCTGACTCTGCATATAGTTCCCCAGAGCAGCCTCCAGAACATTGCTGGGTATGAAAACTAACAAAATGCACCTGGGGGAGGAAAAACATTCCAAGGCTTACTAAGGGTAACTAGGAAAGTGATTCATCCTCAGCCTGCATTTCATCTTCTGTATAATGGGGCTATCAGAACACATTTCACCAGCCAGAAAGACAGTACAGCTGGTAGGATGCTTGCCTTGCCTGCAGCCAAGCCAGGTTCGATCCTCTGCACTCCATACAGTTCCGTAGCACCACCAGGGGTGATTCCTGAGTGCAGAGGCAAGAGGAAGCCCAGACCATCGCTGGGTTTGGCCCCCCAAAAATAAACAAAACAAGAATACACCAGGTTATAATTAGTATGACATGAAATAATACAAACAAGGCATCATAGTGCCACAAAATAGTGAATGCTCACAGGATAAATATTAGCTCTAATTTTTCCCAGGCTTAATCTAACTTGGATGAAAAATAGGAAAATAAGTAAAAGCCCTCAGTAGGAAACTGGCTGTGATCCTCCCACTCTCCATTTTAGAAATCTCCTTCCTGTGCCCCCTACGGAGTGCCTAAACTCTGGCCTCTTCACGGAGCTGCCCAACAGCTTGGCCTGTATCAGTTGCAGAACTCTGACTTGGCAGCAGGCACTCTTCTTTTTTTTTACCCCCCCCTCCATCTCTGAGCTTTCCTTTATTGCACAGGCTTAAGCCCCCTGAGAACTGTGCTCCCAGAAGGAAAAAATGAGAAACGCTAAAAAAGCAGGAGTTGCCAACTTCAGACTTGGGAGCCATGGCTGACCGTTGCCCTTCAAGGACCTACGAATCAGGTCCTGCCTGCTCCTCTAGATTACGTAAGAACACAAAATATAACGCACAAATAAATGCCGAGCGGCACCTTTAAGAGGCGGGGCCATTCCGGCTAACAAAGGAAGTCCCCGCCCCCGTTGCCATGGTGCTTTGTGGCGTCTGGTTTTCATTAGTGAGCGGCGGTGGTGCGGCCTCTCACAGCAGCCATTTCCAACGAGCTGGCGGGGGCGAAAGATGGCGACGCCCCTTGGGTGGTCGCAGGGGGGCTCGGGGTCGGTATGTCTCGCCTTCGATCAACTGCGGGACGTGATTGAGTCTCAGGAGGAACTGATCCACCAGCTGAGGAACGTGGTACGAAGAAAAACGGAACGGGGGGCGAGTCCGTTCTGGAAGCCCACCTGGGGCCCGAGCCAGACCCCGACTGAGGCTCACGGCCCCTGCGAAGGGGGCGGAGCCCACATTTGTTCGCTGTGAAGCCGCAAAGGGGAGGGTCTTCCTGAATATTTATTAGGGGATTTTCTGCTGTATTTACTAGGGAATTTTTTTCACCCAAACGTTCTGCACTAGCGCTGCCTGTTTGCTCAGGGCCTGGTGCATGAGTGTCCATCACCAAGTCTTCGTTTCCACATTTTCTTCCTTCCTCTCACTTTTTTTTTTCCTTTTTGGGTCACACCCGGCGTTGCACAGGGGTTACTCCTGGCTCCTGCGCTCAGGAATTACTCCTGACGATCCTCGGGGGACCATATGGGATGCTGGGAATCGAACCCTGGTCGGCTGCGTGCAAGGCAAACGCACTACCCGCTGTGCTATAACTCCAGCCCCTCTTTCTTTTCTTTCTTTCTCACACCCAGAGATGCTCAGGGGTTACTCCTACCTCTGCACTCAGGGATCACTGTTGGAGGTGCTCAGGAGACCATATTGGATGCTGGAGATGGAACCTGGGTTGGCCGTGTCCTATCCGCTATACTTTCTCGCTGGTCCCTCGTTTCCCCATTTCTGATTGGGGATGTCTCATGACTTCCCATGGTGCTCTCGTACTGGTGGGCAAAAAAAACCTTGGGCAAGGTTTTCATTGTCTTAGAACCCTTTTATCCTCGTCTGTAGAATGGGGCTGTCAGCCCCAGTACTGACTGTATCGCTTTGCTGGGTTCAGGGAGCACAGGTTTTGTCCTTGTCCTTGTTCATTTAAAGACTTGGTTAGAAGGACTGTGGCACATGTGTTGCATGTGGGAGCCTTGGTTGGATACCTACAGTCTGAGCACTACTGGGGACGGCCCCAAAGCCAAAAATAAGCAACAACAACAAATTAAAAAAGGCTTTCAACCCTTGTGCCCCTTTGCTTTTTTCTTTCGTTTTTGTTCTTGGGCCATCCCAGCAGTGCTCAGGGGTTACTCCTGGCATGGGATGCCCAGGATTGAGCCCTGGTGCCCCAACTGGCTTTTTCCCTTTACTTTTGCCCTCAGTCACACCCCAGTTTATGGGTGCAAAGCATTGGAGCCACAGATTAGCTTGATCAACCTGGTAAAATCCTAGTCTGAGACAAGCCTGGAGTTCCTTATTTTTCTGTTTTGTGTTCTGTCTTGATAAGAAGGTGGTAGAAGGCGGAAAGGAAGGTCACTGTATTTCCATCTTCAAAACTGACTTCCCTTCTGACAACCCCCTGATAGTTGTAGGCAGCTCTGGGCACTGAATCACTGTCGGGTCCCTTGGTGTGCAGCTCCTCCTCTTGGTGGCTGCCTTTGCCTGCGTGTTCTCTCCAGACACTTCTCTTCAGGCCCTCCCCTATTGAACTGTCAGTTCTCAGGTTTGACACCCCCTTGTTAGCCAGCAGTTCTGAAGGGCACCATGGCCCCCTGTGCTTCTGGGTCCTACGGCCGCTGGCACTTTCTCCCTCCCACAGTACTTGCTCCCTGGCAGCTGGACTTCAAGCTGACCCTCAGTAAAAATGTTCTTTTCTTTAAATTCAGCAGTTTTTATTGAGCATCTTTGTTGTACTAGATTAACTATGTTTTCTAAATTTTATTTTTATAGTTTAGGTAACATGTTTACAATAGTGTAAACCTTTGTGGGGGAGCAGACCACACTTGGTGATGCTCAGGGATTACTCCTGGTGCTGTGCTCAGGGATGACTCTTGGTGGGGCTCAGGAGACCACATGGGATGCCAGGGATTGAACCCAGGTTGGATGTATGCAAGACAAGTACTATCACTTCGGGCCCTAGTATAAACATTTAAACCTCAGTGAATCTTGTGAAACCAAATCCCTACTTTCCAGGACCTGAGTCTTAGCCTAATTGTCCTGGTGCCATTCCACTGCCCATCTTGGTTGGTCTTTGTCCCTCTTGGGCTCCCAGTCTCCTACCCCAGGCCTTCCCTGAGCCAGCCTCTGTTGCAGATGGTTCTTCAGGATGAAAATTATGTCAGTAAAGAAGAGTTCCAGGCAATAGAGAAGAAGCTGGTGGTAAGTGATGGTCTCTGCAGGTCCCAAATCTCCCCCTGTTTTCTAAGATTTTCTCAGAGGCCAGCAGAACCAGTGTGTACTAGCCTGAGCCCTTCAGCCCCATAGTGTGGGCAGAATCTTTCTGTGCCCTGGCTTCCTCTGAGAAAGGGGACTGGTTCAGGGACTCACAGAGAGGCTGGGTGGCTGGAGGTAATGCGGTCATTGCTGCTGCTTCTGCAGGAAGAGAAAGCTGCTCATGCCAAGACCAAAGTTCTCCTGGCCAAGGAAGAGGAGAAGCTGCAGTTTGCCCTTGGAGAGGTAGAGGTGCTATCTAAACAGCTGGAGAAAGAGAAGCTGGCCTTTGAAAAAGCGTGAGTGGGCTGGGTACGGGGGTCCTGGGTGGGCTGCGGGTCCCATCTACCCTCTAGCCTGCCAACTCTGTCTTGTCTTCTCCCCCCAGGCTTTCAAACGTTAAGAGCAAAGCCCTGCAGGAGTCTAGCAAGAAGGACCAGCTCATCACCAAGTGCAATGGTAGGCGGGAGGGCCGTACTCCCTCCCACGCTTACATCCCCGGGCTCTTCCCTCACAGCCCAATGCCTGTGTCCAGGGGAGGGTTTCACCCCAACTTCTGTTCCCGGCTGAGGATACAGGCAGGCCCATGTGGGCCTCACCTTCGCAAAAGCCTTCAGGGACCAGGCAGGTCACGGAAATGAGGGAAGCAGCTGGTGTACGATATTCTTCACGGCCATAAAAGAACGGGCTCGCTCCCTTTTTCGTGAAACATACAACCTTCTTAGTCCACCTTTTATTTTCCCATTTTTGATGGGTGTTAAAAATAGGGAGCTGAACTCTCAGCTCTGTTATAAGAGGAACAATAGAGCAAGTACAGTCCTGTCTGGGAGCTGACCCTGAGTTTCAGCAGTGGGGATAATAGGAAGGAGTGTGGCGGCGGAGTCTGGAGCTAGCCCCCGTTTTGGGGTTAGAATCTCTGCTGTGGAGATGGGGACCCAATACTATCAGATCTTTAAAAAGATATGGAGGGGGCAGTGAGATAAGACAGTTGGTAAGGTGCTTCCCTTGCACGCAGCTGACCCAGGTTCAGTTCCCTGAGCATTGTCAGGAGTGATCCCTGAACACAGAGTCAGGAGTAAGTCCTGAGTATCTCTGGGTGTGGCAAAGAAAAGAAGAGGAAAAGGCAAGCAGGTTTTATTTTATTGGAGGGGGTGTTTGGGGCAACACTCAGCAGTGCTTAGGACCATGCAGTGCCTGGGATAGAATGGGGTTGGCCTTAAGCGAGGTGAGGGCTTTAGCCCCTGGAAACCAGGGTTTTGGTTTGATTTTGGTTTGGGTTTGGGAACCATACTCAATGGTGCTCAGAGCTTATTCCGGATTTGCCCAGGGATCATCTCTGGAAATAGGGGACTGTTTGCAGTGCTGGAGTTTGAACTGGGATTGGCTGCATCCAAGGCAGTGCCTTAACCCCTGTACTTTCTCTCAGCCTCTGTTAATCAGGTTTTCTTTATTAATTTGTTTTTATCTATTGGTTAGGGGACAATACCTGGCCGGTGTTCAGGGCTTACTCTTGGCTCTGTTCTGAGAGATCAGTCCTGGTATGGGGTTCAGGGGAACATTTGTGATCCCAGGGATTGAACCAGGATCACTGCATGCAAGGCAAGTGTCTTCCCACTGCACCACCTTAATACTGTGCAACTCGAGCCCCTGGAAACCAGGTCTTAATACTTTTCTTGATTTTTACTGTTCGCTAATTTAGAAATTTTCTAAGAACTACATGGGCCAGGTGAATTATTTCTGGGAGCCACTTCGTTTCAGTTCTGCCCATGTCAACTGTTGGCTCAGTCGATGCTGCTATGAGTTCTGAGGAACTTTCATTCAGCTGCCTAGTGTCCCCATATCTCTACAGCCCCTCTCATTTCCCCAGAATGCAACACTCTCTTTACCTACTCTAAACATAAAGAGATGAGCTGGGAGTCAGCTCAGCGGTGTGGGGTGCATGCAAGCATACAGGACCTGAGTTCAAACCTTGGCACCACACGGATCCCTGGGCACTGCCTGGCTTGACTCTGGAGGCCTCCGAGCACCAACCCACCTACCTGGCCTATGCAACTTCGCATCCCCAGCATCTTGGCATTCTTGAACCCTCTGTTCTAATTGAATTTTGCCAGGTGAGGTCCCTAGGTTCTCTGAGCACTACTTGGAAAGCCCCCCAGGAAATACAGATATGAGTGGCACATAGCAGCTGCTGGATATAGCCAAGCCAGAAATAGGCCCTACCCTTCTGCACAGTCCCACTTCTCTCTCCTTCCTGAGTTACCCGCATTGCAAGATGGCAGCAGGCTGCCATCTTGATTTGGCCAATGGGTTCACAAGCATTCTGATTGATTGTCCGGGGCCCAAGAAGCAGTATTACTTTTATACCATAGGCCATGGGTCCCCTAGTCCTTACACTCTCCCTGGGCATCTCTCCATTTCCCTAAGAGCAACCCAGGGCGTTCTCCTGCTGGTGTCAGAGACATCCCCTCAGAAAGATATGCCAAGACCCTGGACTGTTGTGCAAAGTGTATGAATCCTGGGTACAGTCTGACTGCCTGCCCTAGTCCTGAACCCCTCCAGTGGGCAACAGCCCTCACCTGAGCCACCCCCTGACCTGTGTCCTCTCCTGCCTCTCAACTCCCTTGTGGAGTCAGTTTTTTACACTTACCTCACTCTGTAATGTTACTTTTTTCTTTTTTTGTGAGCTGGGGATTAAAGGCCTCACATTCAAGGCAAGAGAGCACTCTGTCATTGAGCTGCAGCCCAGCCCATGGTTCCTTGTTCTGGTTGTGCTGGGGGTTTTGGTTTGGAAAAGAAAATCTTTTCCATCTTGCCTTAACATTTTACCATATCTTCTCTTCTGAAACTTTTTCTTTATTATTATTATTATTTTATTTTTGTTTTCATGGGAGGCCAAACCCAGCGCTGCTCAAGGCTTACTCCTGGCTCTGTGCCCAGAGTTCAATCCTGGTGGGACACAGGGAACCATATGGGGTACTGGGGATCGAACCTGGGTTTGCCACGTGCAAGGCACACTCCCTCCCCCTTTACCTGCAGTACTACTACTCTGGCCCCATCGTTCAAAACTTTTAGTGCTGTAGCATTTTTGCATTTCAGAGCTTGTGTTCTAGTTCATCTTTGTTCATTTCCTGCCTGAGGATCGGATTTTTCCAGGGCTCCCCAAGGAGTTATTGTATAAATCAAGCACACCTCCCTCCCCCAATTCCTATAGGCTCAGTGGATTTTGACCCAAGACACACTAATCACCTTTGCATCTAATGAGCACTTCACTTGGGGAGAGTCTGGCTGTTGGAATAGGGACTGTGGCTGCATCTATAAGATGAGGAACAATCTGGAAACGGGGCATCTTGCCGAAGTGCTCCTGCTGCCTCGTCAGTGTGAACCTTGTTGGAACATCACCTTGTTCTGTTCCCTGGTCAGTTCTGATCTTAAGTCTCCCATCAGGAGCCACCTCCTTGGAGGGTAGTCTGTAAAGTGCTTCAGGAATGAGGGATCCTAACACCCCCCTTATCCCTCCCATCCCCCACCTCCCCTGTGGGTCAACCTGGTCCTAAGTAGTTGTGACATCACTAACACATCATCAGACATTGTGTCCTGTCAAGTCCACAATAAACTCATTCATACCAAGGTTGTTAGCAGCTACTTGCCAGCCCTGGGAGGGAGGAAGCAACCGCCAAGCCCTGGGAGGGCACCATTATCTCAGGAAGGCCATGGCAGGAACCACCCCACCCCCCTGCCTCTCTCCCCCACAGAGATTGAGTCTCACATAATAAAGCAAGAAGATATACTAAATGGCAAAGAGAATGAGATTAAGGAGTTGCAGCAAGTTATCAGCCAGCAAAAACAGATCTTCAGGTGAGGGGTGTGGGCCAGGCTGGGGGTTGCTGATAGGAGTGGGGAGCCAGAATCTTGGTCCTTGCACTGGGCCAGCCCAGCCCACGCCCAGCTGGCTCCGTTGCAGGAATCACATGTCTGACTGCCAGATCCAGAAGCAGCAGGAGAACTACATGGCCCAGGTGCTGGACCAGAAGCATAAGAAAGTTCCCGGGACCCATCAGGCCCGCAGGCATCAGCGTCGCAGGGAAAAATAAAATGGTCGTCGCTATTGTTTTGGCTATAACACCTGACCTCTGCCTTCTCTGCTGTGGAGCTTCCCATGCCTAGCAATCCTATCTCAGTACTCCCCACATGCACAAAGGCCCCCTGTCCCCAGGCTTCACCAGTGCCCTGACCCCCAGAAAAGGGTATGGGAAGGCATAGTTCCCTGCCTGTCTCCTGGGCCTTGGTGACCTGAGATGTGTGGGGACAGGTCTTGGACACTGCCTGCCAGGCCACACCTGAACTTGATGCTGCCCAGGACCCCTGGAGTAGTTGTATGGGTGCATGAGGTATAGGTTTGTAAGCTAGGGAAAGTATCAGATCTTTTCATTTAATAAGCACTATTCTTGCTCTAGGCATTTAATCCCTCCCTATATAAACAATTCCTGGTTACCCCAGTAACACCCCACCCACTCCTAGTGCCCTGGTAAATTTAACTCTCCTAGCTTGGCTACAGATCAGGAAGGGCTATGTGAGTTGAGGGTGTGTGTGTGTGTGTGTGTGTGTGTGTGTGTGTGTGTGTGTGTGAGTGAGAGAGAGAGAAAGAGAGAGGGAGAGAGAGAGGGAGGAACCCTCTGCAAAGACATCAAGGGCAATGGTTACAGGACCACAATAAATTTTGGAAATTATGTCTGAAGAAATAAGACAGTAGGCAGGGTACTTTCCTTGTCACTGGGTTGTTCCTTGGCACCGCATATGGTTTCCTAAGCCCTTCCAGGAGTGATCCCCGAGTGAAGACCTAGTTGTAAACCCTGAGCACTGCTGGGTGTGGCCCCAAAACAAAACAGAAGTTTGGGAAATCGATTACCATCATATATAAGAATGATACATTGTAAACCAGGTCTGCATCTCCAAACAAGCTCATCTTCACAATGGGAAGATGGCGAAAACACTGAGCTATTTTAAAGGTGGGAAAACAGTCTTGAAGGGAGCACTGACTCCGGCTGAGTGATAGTACAGCAGGTGATATAGGAAGGGTGTTGCCTTGCCCACAGCTGCCCCCAGTTTGATCCCTGGCACCACATATGGTGGTCCAAGCACAGCCAGGAATGATCCCTGAGTGCGATCCCTTGAGCACCATGGCGTGTGGCACCAGAAAAACAAAAGAAACTCTGACTCTGCACAGGCAGAGCTGAAGTGACAGATTTGATCTTCTCAGTGCCATCAGAGCCATAGCACAGCGGTAAGGCAAATGCCTTGCACGGGGCCGACCCAGGTTCGATTCCTCTCTCCCTCTCGGAGAGCCTGGCAAGCTACTGAGAGTATCCCACCCACACGGCAGAGCCTGGCAAGCTCCTCGTGGCATATTCGATATGCCAACAACAGTAACAACAAGTCTCACAATGGAGACGTTACTGGTGCCCGGTCGAGCAAATCGGTGAACAATGGGAGGACAGTGCTACAGTGTCATCAGAGGTTCCTGAGGTCCGGGGGCTAGTCATGTGAGGGAGAGCCCCTGCTTCAGAGCAGGCTGTCGTGTGTCTAAGCAAAACCTTGAAGCAGGAGAGTAAGGCATGTGGTGTCCACTGTCATTCAGGTGATAGCTTAGCCCCCTTAGGAGGGGCTGACTGCTCCTTAACCACACACCAGCATTGGGCTTTTTGTGAGCCCCAGCATCAAGAGCTGTCCACCGCAAACCTGGGTCTCCACAGAAGGCAGCAGGTCTAGCCCACGGCAGACCTTCCTGAAGTCTCAGGAAGAGCCCTCCAAGCCATACTCATTCACAGGCTGGGAAGCTCTTGTGTGTGCTCCAGCTGAGCCAGGTGAGGCCCAGGGAGGAAGGCTCCTAGGTAGCAGTGGGACATGAAGGCCGCTGGGACCTGCAGGGAAGATGTGAGCCGCCTGGTCTGAGTCCCATTACCTATCACGGTCTGCACCCCATAAAGTCTGGCAGGCTGGTCCCCGCCTCTGTTTCCCACCTGGAATGAATGAAGTTGGCCAACCCGGCTTCAAGTCAGACAACTGCTTTGCCTTCGTGTCCACTGAAGCCTGGAGTCACTCAGGCGCTGCCTCGGTGCCAGAGGAGGGGGTTTGTATAGGGCTCCGGCCCAGGTGCATCTCCTAGCGGCGCCACCGGCTCAGGAGTGGACGCGTCCGCTTTAAGGCGCGGTGACCCACGGCCGCAGGCGGGGCGGGGACGGCGCGGGCGTCCGGAGGCGAGTGCGAGGGCGCTAGTGCGCGGCACCCGGCCCACCATGCTGACCGCGCTCGGCCCGCCTGGCCTGCCCGGGCTCCCGGGTCGGCTGTCCTCGGCACCCGCTCGGCGCCAGGACTCCTCTGGTTCATCCGGCTCCTACCACACGGCTCCAGGTTCCCCAGAGACCCCAGCCGTTGGGCCGGACGCGGAGGGCCGGGCGAAGTGGCCCCGGGTGGCCCCTGCGCTGGGGGCGGACGCGCAGCCTCGCCTGTCCGTCAGCGCCCAGAATAGCCGCCAGCAGCCAGCGCCCGGCTCGGGTTTCCCGCGGGGCCCCGGCTCGGACCCGCGGCCAGCCCTGCCCCAGCTGCGCACACTGCCGTCGGGGGAGATGGAAGTCATCTTCAACGCCGGACCCCTGTTCCGCCGCTGCGACGCCGCGGAGAGCGAAGTGCCGCCGTCCTCCCAGCCAGCCTTCTGCAGCTCCTCTCCGCCCCGGGCCGGGTCTCCCGCCCCCGCCGCACCGCAGGACCCCGGCCCCGACGGTGGCTCCCGCTGGGCCACCTACCTGGAGCTGCGGCCCGGCGGGCCGAGTCCTGCCACCCCGACGCAATTCGAATGTGTGGAAGTGGCGCTGGAGGAGCGGGCTGCGCCCGCCAGGCCCCGAACGGTGCCCAAGCGTCAGATCGAGCTGCGTCCTCGGGCCCGCAGCCCCCCGCGGGAGGCCAGCGCGCCCAATCCCCGCCTGCTGCTGCGCACCGGCTCCCTGGACGAGTCACTGGGCCGCCTGCAGGCCGCCGCGAACCTCGTGCAAACCGCGCTGGCCAGAAAACTGGGCCCCGCGGCCCTTGCCCCGAGCACCGCCACCTTCGGATCCACGGGACGGCCGGAGCCCGAGATCCGGGATGCGGCGCGCAGCACCCGAGTGGTCCCTGAGCACGCCAAGGCTCGGCCGCCCCGGGTGCTTGAAAATTCAAGCTCCGCCAAAGCCCCACGGCCCTGGCCCAGCCTCCGGGAGCGCGCAATTCGGCGGGACAAACCCGCTCCTGGCACCGAGCCGCTGGGTCCAGTGAGTTCCAGCATCTTCTTGCAGTCGGGGGAGAAGACCCACGAGGCGCACAGCCAGTTACCCAAGACGCGGCTTTCGCGAGAGCCCCTGGATAGGATCATCCCGAGAGCACAGAGTCCGCCTTTGGAGTTTCGGGGCCCCTGGGAGGTTCCCAGTAAAGCCGTGAACCCGCTGTGGCAGGCTCCGAATGGAAGCGTGCGAGGCTCTCACCGCCCCGGCCCCCAAAACCTGCCGCCGTGGGAACAGGCCATTCGGAGGGTGAGTAGCCCGCCGCACCCCGAAGCCTCCGCCGTGGAGGACACCGCCAGCAGAAGGAGCCCGTCCCCTCCGACCCTCTCTCAGTGGGAGCGAGATGTCGCCCGGGTGGGCAGCGTGTCCCTCGAAGCCCCTTCCCCGTGGGAGATTCCGCATCATCCGGCAGTGGAGGACGCACTGGTAGGGAGCAGGAGCCCGTCCCCGCAGGCCTTGTCCTCGTGGGAGGCTGCCCACCATCCCGTTGAGGCGTGGGAAACGTGGGAACCCACTGCGCAGGGCTCACCCACCGCGTCTCGGCGGGACGCTCTGAACGGTACCGCCCCGGAGGAGGTGGTGCCGTCCGCACCGGGGACACCCGAGTTCACGGCGGTTCCGAGCCCGTCCTCGCGGGAAACGCGCGGTCTTGGCGATCGGCGGTTGCCAGAGGGGGCTGCACCCGAGCTGCCCCTCTGTCGCCTGGAGGGCAACGAGGGCCCGGAAACCTGGGGTCCTGGAGAAGCAGCCTCGGGCCGCCGGCGCGTGGCCATCCCGCGACCCCGCGACGTGCGCCAGATGGTGAAGACCACCTACGCGCCCAGCTTTCCGGCGGGGTCGTCGGGCTCTGGGCAGCCAGCGCCTCCTGCGGACCCCCGCAGCGAGGAGGGCGGCGCCTCCAAGACGCAAGACCTCCAGGCGCTGGGGGCTCCAGCCCCGGGCCACTACACTTCCGTTTTTCTAAAAGACTTTCTGCCCGTCGTGTCGCACCCTTACGAGCCTCCGGAGCCGACCCCCGATACCGCTCCCAGGGACGCTTCGAAGCCCAACGGCGCCCCGCGGCGCAGAGCGGAGAACAGCACGGCCAAGCCCTTCGCGCGCACCGAGATCCGCCTGCCCGGCGCCTTGGCCCTGGGCCGCCCGCCCGACGGCTCGCGGGGCGGCGGCGTGCGCGCGCCGGGCGGCGGAGAGAACCGCGATGCCGAGCCTCCGCGCCTGGTCCCCGAAGGCGAGGGTGGGCCCAGCCCCGCGGAGCGAGCCGCTCCCTCCTCGCCCCAGCGATCACCCGTGGGTGGCATCGGGGCGCGCGCACCCCGCCCCAGCTCCCCACAGGCGCACCCTCACTCGAGTCCCGGGCGAGCAGCCCGTCTGGAGGCGAGCCCAGCGGCCCCCGAGTCCTTCCCGAGGGCGCCGCAGGAGGCGGCGGGCGGAGCGACCCCGCCGCACCCCCGTGCGGCCTCGGCGCCTCCCGCGGACCGCAGCCGCGAAGGCCCCTTCCAGGGGCCGCTCAGGCCGCCTGGGGCAGCAGCGCCCGGGAAGGTCCTAGTGGACCCGGAGAGCGGCCGTTACTACTTCGTGGAGGCGCCGCGGCAGCCTCGGCCGCGACTGCTCTTCGACCCCGAGAACGGGCAGTACGTGGAGGTGCTGCTGCCGCCCTCGCCTCCGGGGCCCTCGCGCCGCGTCTACACCCCGCTGGCGCTGGGCCCCGGCCTCCTGCCGCCCGCCTACGGGCCGCTGCCCGGCCTCCCTCTGCCCCCGGCCCCGGGCTCGCCGGCCTTCAGCGGCCACCAGCTTCCTTGGGCCGCCGAGCCGGGGCCCCTGGACGGGATGTACTACCTGCCAGTGAGTGGGACCCCTAGCCCCGCGCCTCCTCTGTTCCTCTGTGCACCGCCCCCTAGCTCGGGGCCCCAGCAGCCCCGCAAGGCTCCCGTATTTCCTGTGTGAGGCCCCTGGCCCGGTACCCACATCGTGGACCTGTTGATGGCCTTGGAGGACCCACCCAGTCCCTGCCCTCCATCACCTCTGCTCGCTTCACTCCCTTCCCGAATATCTGACTCCCCGGGGCTGATGGAGCTGGAGCTTAGAAAATGGTTGCTTGCTTCCTTCCCTAGCAAAACTGGAGCCCCCTCTCCCAGGCATTCCCGGATGGGGTGTGTGTGGGTGTGTGTAAAAGGAATTCAGGACTTGTCCCCGGATGTTGGATGGCTGAATGATGTGGTGGGATCCCTCAGAGGGCAACCAGAAATAGAGGCAGTCAGGGAGGGGGTTGCCACAAAGCTAGAAAGCCTAAGCACCTCCCTGAAGGTGGGTCCACGGAGGTGGAGCAGACTCGTGAGCACTGGTGGACTGGAGGGACGACCCCGGCTCCCCAGTCTGTGCTTTGGGAAATGTGAGGCAGAGGAAGGGGGTGGTGTGGCTCGGAGAGGGGGTGCTGTGGAGACAGCAGGTGGGAGGGGCAGAGAAGGAAGGTAGAGGATGCTGTGGAGGGTCACTTGGGATTTTGAGCAGGGCACTGGGGTTGGGGGGAGGGAAACCATCTCTCATTCCTCCCCTTGGGCCCTGCATCAGACTCGGCTTCTGGAGCCTTCGGAGCTGAGTTGGTTCATGGGGGCTGTGAAATGAATCACTGGGGAGGATTTACAAGCAGGAGGATGGGGAGTGGACATCCCAAAGAGGCCTTTAGACCCCCCAGTGGGGCGTGGAGGGTGGGTGAGGGCTGGCAGTTGGAGGGGCAGAGCAGAGAGACTTGGGGTCCTCACCTGCTTCTACTTCCTAGTAACAGACGTGGCCACCAAGGCCGGACAGGGGATGGCTCTGCAGGTTGGTCTCAGCACTGAGGACACAGCTTAGAGCCTGGAGACCCCTAAGGCCACTGAGGAGAGCAGAGGGAGAGGACGGGAGTGTGTGTGTGTGTGTGTGTGTGTGTGTGTGTGTGTGTGTGTGTGTGTTTTGTGTATGACTTGGGGGTTGCTGAGTGTGAAAGCCTGTGTGGAGTTCTGAGTTTGACGTGCCTGGGCTTCACTGGGTTGGGGTGTGATAGCAAGTTTGGGGATTTGCTAGAAGTGCTATTAGGGTTTCCAGGTTAAAGTTCCAAGTTTCTGGGAAGTCTGTGTCCCTGAAGCCCCAGCCCCTGCTTTGCCTGAGTGGAAGTGGACTGGGAGAAGCAGGACCCAGAATCACCTGGTGCTCCCCCCAGTCAGATACCTGGATCTAAGGCAGGGAGAGCGTCGGCCATGCCCGGCCCCTCCTCAGCCTGCTACGCAATAAACTGCTGATCTGTAAGGTGTAATCTGTAAACCCGTGTAAGGTGTCTGATTCCCCGCTTCTGTTCTGGGGTCTGGCTTGGGGGGAGGGGGAGGAGCCACATACTGTAGCATCGCACTTCAGTGACTTTGCCCCCCAGGATGAAGTCCCAGGCACGTCTGTGGGCTACTTCTTCCATAGCAGAGAGGCTGGTGGGCATTAGGGTCCCTGGGATTCCAATCTCAGTGTGATCTGGCTGGAGTTGTCAGTCCTGAGTGTTGGTATCCTCAGGGCTAGTAGAGAGAGGATAGTGATCAGTTACCGCCACCTCCTTGACCCCTCCCTAGACTCCCTACCACATGGCAGGCCCAGGATGAGTGAGTTTCAGCCCCCACATGTCTTGCCTGGCCCAGCCCCTCTCCTTGCGCTTTATTATTGTTGTTGTTGTTGTTATTATTATTATTATTATCATCATCATTATTACTGCTTTGGAACCATACCTAGCAGTGCTCAGGTCTTACTCCTTACTTGTCTCTGAGTTGAACTCTTGACAGTGCTCAGGGAACCATGAGGGGTGCTGGTGATTCATCCAGGGTCTGCTGTATGCAAGGCAAGTGCCTTAATCCCTGCACACTCTCTCTCTCTCTCTCTCTCTCTATATATATATATATATATGTATCTCTCTCTCTCTCTCTCTCTGCCCCATCTATGCACTAGAGCTGTGTTGGTCTGGCCCCAGGTCCTTCTAGAAGGGCTGGGATGTGACTCAGAGGTAGAGCTCATGCTTTGCATATGGAAAACTATGGGTTCCATCAGTCCCGCCACTGTTTGAAAAAAGAACCGGCTGCTAGAGGAGATGAACACGTGGCACATCTGGGGTCATGGGGAGGGGTGAAGTGTCAGTTCCCCATTGGCTGTGCCTGGTGTTCTGAGGTGGCCCCTCACGCACTGCACAGACACACCTGCACCCCCACCACAGTCCTCACTCTCTGAGCCGGCTCCCCAACCATGAGGCTGCCCCTGGCGCTGCTGCTGCTGCTGTTGCGGGTCGGGGCCAGCTCAGGAGACCTCAGGCTCCCCCTCACAGCCACGGCCCCACAGCTGAACGATGAGGAGAAGTTCTCGGCTCACATGCCCTTCCACCTGCGCTGTGATGCCTGCAGGGCGGTGGCCTACCAGGTGAGTCTCTGCCCCTCACAAGACCCTCTGCTTACCTTGGAACTCCAGACCCCCACCTGGGCCTGGAGCTGGGCCCAGCCTCAGATACTGCTTCTCCCAACCCTCCCACCTCATCATCCAAAAAAGAACAGTCTGGAACATGCTCTCTGAACCACAGCTTGAGGCCCCTGAGACTTACCAACTCAGTCTCTCAGATCTTTCAGGCCCACTCTTGGGTTTGGGGTACCTCAGAAACATGACTGGGAACAAGGGTGCACCAGAGTGTGTGTGTGAGCACTTGTGTGTGCGTGAGTGCCTATGTGTGTGAGTGCCTACTAAGTGTTGAGGGAATGTGTGTGAGAGTGCCTGTATGTGGGCAAGTGTGTGTGTGAGTCCCTGTGTGTGCATGTGGAAATGCCTGTGTGTGAGCACCTCTGCGTGTGAGTGCCCATTTGTGAGTGCCTGTGTGTATGAGCGCCTCTGTGTGAGCAGCTGTGTGTGAAAGCCTGTGTGTACCTGCGTGAGTGCTATATGTGAGCGCCTGTGTGCGTGAGCACCTGTGTGTGTGTGAGTGCCTGTGTGTGATCAACTGTGTGTGAGTGCCTGTGTGTGCATGTGGGAATGCCTGTGTGTGAGCACCTCTGTGTGTATGAGTGCCTGTGTGTGTGAGCACCTGTGTGTGAGTGACTGTGTGTGAGAGCCTGTGTGTGTGGTCTATGTGTGTGTGAGAGCACCTGTTTATGAGTGTATGAACACCTGTGTGTATGTGAGCGCCTGTGTGAGTGTGTGAGTACTTGTGTGTGTGCCTATATGTTTGTGAGTGCCTGTGTGAGTGTGAGCACCTATGTGTGTGGGTGTGCGTGTGTATGCAGGGCCTGTGGACACACCTCACTGGAGACTGAACTTGGAGTTTTGTATTGTATTGTTTTTTTCCTTCCCTTGTTCTTGTGGCTTAAAATAGCCTGTGGAGATGGCAGCTGTGCCTATGGGGAGGTGCCCCCCTCAGTCCTCAAGCCTGAGCCAAACACCTCAGTGATCACCAATCTCCGCACCTCATAGACCCCATAGTGATAGGCTTTTGGTTGCTGAGGGAGGCCCTGAAGCCAGCTTCCCAGATGCTTCCTGTTTTGAGTTCTCCAAATTGATTAACTTTGTCTCACAAGAGTGTAGATGTTGAGGGAACTGAGCGATAGTACAGTGGGTATCATGCTTGCCTTGCACGGGGCCAACCCAGGTTTGGTCCTCGGCATTCCGTGGCCAGTAGTGATTCCTGAGTGCAGAGCCCTAAGTACCGCTGTGTTTGGCCCCAAAAGAAGAGTGTAATTGTTTAATGTTTTAGGGGTATAGTATTACCCTGCCAAAGCTACTTCCAAATTACCAATTATCCCTCCACTGGCATGCACAGGACCCTCCCTTTCAGCCCCATTCACAATCTGCCTTACTGCCCCCTGGGTAACCCCTGATCCATGGTCCGAGTCCAAAGGGTTTTTTCCCTTTGCTTTGTTTCTGTGTATGGCACAGAGAAAATGACTGATATTTATCTTTCTTCTGTTTTATTGTTAACATGACCCCTTCTAGTTCCAAGATCTCAGCTCAGAGCTGAATCTATTCCTTTGTGTGCACTCATCCCTTTATCCTCTCACCTGTCATTAGGACACACTAGGCTATTCCCAGGTCTCGGCTATCATGAATAGTGCTGCAAATAATTTCAATTGGGTTTTCTTTTTTGCTTTTGGGGGGGCCACACCCACCAGTGATTAGGATTTACTCCTGGCTCTATGCTCAGGGATCACTCCTGGCAAGGATCAGGGGACATACTGGGGTGCCAAGATTAACCTGGGTCAACTGCATGCAAGGCAAGAACTTTATCTGCTGTACTATCACTTCGGGCTGGAGCGATAGCACAGCGGTAGGGCGTTTGCCTTACACGCAGCCAGCCTGGCCGACCTGGGTTCAATTCCTTCGTCCCTCTTGGAGAGCCCAGCAAGCTACTGAGAGTATCTCACTGCATGGCAAAGCCTGGCAAGTTACCTATGACGTATTCAATATGCCAAAAACAGTAACAACAAGTCTCACAATAGAGACGTTACTGGGCCCGCTCGAGCAAATCAATGAACAACAGGAGGACAGTGCTACCAAATGCTTCCACTTGGAAGGGCTCCCTTGTCACCTCATTCTCCCCGAAGAGAAGCTCCTGTCCTTCCTCCCTACACCCCTGCCCCAGTATCTCTAAAACCTTGGCTTGAGGGCCTCCTTATTCCAGATGTGGCAACACCTGGCAAATGCAGAAGCCAAGCTGCAGAGTCCGGGCACCAGGGGCCGGCTGGAGCTGAGCGAGTCAGAGTATACAGATGTCCTGGACCGGTGCTGTGCCCAGCCCTGGCAGGAGTGAGTTGCCCATTAGCCACCCCTCCTTTCTCCTCTGGGGGCAGGGCTGATATGAGAGATTCTCCCTCTGCTGCTGCTCCCCAAGACATACTCTGGGGGGGGCTCTAGTGCAAACTGGGGGACTGGAAGCACATAGAAGTGTGGGTGGCCAGATGCCAAGGTCTCTGCCAACTGAGGCAGTGGCGCTGCTTCTGGTGCTTCTGCTCAGACACCCACCAGGGAAGACCAGAGTCGGGGGTGGGGGCCAGACTCAACCAACACCCCATGTCTGCATCACATGGAGATGGGCCCCGACAGCTGGCTGGGCACCCCAGATCCCACTAATTTCCCTATCCCTACTGCTTCCAGCTATGGAGTCCGAGAAGTGAATCAGGTGAAACGACTCATAGGTCCGGGACTTAACAAGGACCCGGAGCCGAGAATCAGCGTGATTGTCAAGGGGGGGCTCTGGCCCGTCAGGTGATAACCGAAAGTGGGCACAGGCTGGAGTTGGGGGAGGCTTGGATTCCCCTGGTGGGCCACGCACTAGTCTGAGGGTCCTGCTTGCCTCCCCACCCACCAGGCTCTCCAGGATCTGCTTGCACTACGTGGGTGAGTTCGGAGAAGATCAGATCTACGAAGTCCATCGACAGGGCCAAGGGACTCTGGAAGCACTGCTGTGTGGACAGCCCCGGGGGCCCTGCTCGGAGGAGGTGCTGGAGGAGGTGCTGGAGGAAGAGCTGCCCCCAAGGGACGAACTCTAGCCCTGCTCCACCACTACCCTCTTCCCTGCCAGCCCCTGGAGACCGCAGGATCTGCCCCACTCACCTCTGCAGCCCCCCTCCCAGGGCAGGGGGCTTTATTCTCCTGCAGCGCCCCTCAAGCCCTTCTACTTCCCACCAAGACCTTCCCCTGAGGACTCAAATAAAACCCGCTGAGCCCCATGACTGTTCTCTGCTGGGGCCTGGGTGGGTGGAGTTGGCTCTGTGCTCTACTTGTCTCTCCCTCTGCCAGCGACTATCACAGCCGTGAAACTGGGGTGAGAGAGTGCAGAAGTGCAGGTAGCACCCCGGGACGGGGCCCTGCGCCTGCTCCAGGCTCTCTGTGCTTCCAGGATGCGTTTCTCTACAGCCAGCAGCTGCTCCCCTTCACTCTGCCTCTGACCCCGGCGGGCTGGCATGGTGGGACGCTCTGTGCCTGCTGGGCCAGGTAGGGCGAGGTTCCAGGACCCAGTGGGCTCAGCGTCTCTGCTCTAAGTCCACAGTCCTGCAGGTCTCAGAAATTGTCTCATTTGTGAGCCCTGGGGGCCCCCACCCCGCCCCCCACCACCCCCCGCAGGTGGATGGGGTGTGGAGCCTGATCAGGTGATGCTACTACTTGCATTTCCTTTGTGAGTCTCTGATCCTCTGGCGCCTGAGAGCGGGACCTGAGAGATTCTAATCCCAGCCCCAAGCTGAATAGAGGCAGGGCTGGGAGGGGACCCAGATCTCAGGGTGGGGGGGTCAGCTCCAAGAAGAAGGGGGAACCCTGAGCAGGCTGACACTGAACCCAACCCGAGAGCCTTTCTCCTGTTCTCCAGCCGCCTGCACCTCCTCCCCCAGCCCTCACCCCAGGAGAGAACCCCCCCAGGCATTAGGAGGAGAGCCAGGGGCCCAGGAACCGGCTGAGCCATCTGGTCCTGGCCATGGAGCTGTGACGTGGCCCCATGTGTGCAGCCATTGGCATATGACTTAAAGATCCTCTGAGCCCCTTCCCAGTGCCATGGGCGCATCTGTGGCTGGGCCTCTGCCACCATGTGCTGCTGTGTGGGTGGCGTGTGGTTTGGGTTGAGTTGTGTGTCCACAGGGACTGCGCGTGACAGGGGTGGGGCTCTGTCCCTACAGCCCCCTGGGGAGGATGGGGAGGAGAGGGTGGGGAGGAAAACGCTGAGGAAGCTTTGAACTGGTCAGACAACTTCTTCAGAAACTGGGGAGCCGGAGCCAGGAAAGGAGAAGCCGGGGCAGCTGCGCAGAGTGAGGCTGCAGGGCGGCATGAAGCTGCTGCCCAGCTGGAGAGCGGTGCTGCCCGTGGGCCCCAGGTGGCTGTGGGCACAGCAACCCAGAAGTAGGTGGGCCTGGGGTTTCTGGGGAAGCGTGGAGGGGAGCAGAATGGAGGGGGGGTAGCCCTCAGGTTCAGCCTCTACAACTGGGAAGCCTTAGCCCCAGAGGGAGGCCTCAGCACCTTGGTCTGCTCCTGTGGGACGAACGGGCAGGGCTGCCTCTCTGGATTGGGACACAGCTCTGAGTCCTTAGAACCCCACTTTCCACCCCCGATTCTGTTTAATGTCCTTCTGTCTTAAAATTCCTAATTCTGGAGCCAGAGAGAGATAGCACTGCGAGCAGGACTCCTTGCCTTACATGTGGCCGACCCGGATTTGTTCCTGGACACTGTGTGTGAGTCCCTGATCCCTGCCAGGAGTGATCCCTGAGCACAGAGCCAGGAGTCAGCCCTAGCTCATTTGTGATGAGCTAGGATGTAACCCCCAAACAAATTAGAATTCCTTTTGCGTTGGGGTAGGGGATGCCGTATTTTCTGTGTCTGTATGTGTGATGCTGGGGATCAAACTGAAAGCCTCACACACTTAAGGCAGGACATGCTGTACTGCTGAATGACACCCCCCCACTTCCCACATCTGCATTTTGCATTGGCTCCCACAGTTAAGTCCTATTGCTGGGCCAGGCAGCTCTTTTTGTTAGAGACCCACATCACTTGCAGCAGCAGTGGGGCTAGGGAGTGGGGAATCCACTGCTTATCAGCTTTCTTTGTTGTTTTGTTTGGGGCCCACACCTGGGAGCTTGGGGGTACTCAATGCTGGGGATGGAGCCTGGGTCACTGAGCGCTCCCCGCCCTGCTTATGATATTGATTTACAGCATGAACTTGGGAGTCAGGGCCAAGTTGCATTTTAGAAATATTTTTCTAAAATGTGTGGCCTTTGGTCAGCTCATCCTCTGACTCTCTTTTCTCGGCTGTAGGAGGGTTTGGGGCGCCCAGAGGCCACACCCTAAACAGGAAACCTGGCTGGCTGGCGCACTCCTTGTTCTTCTGATGAGTGTGGTCATGACAATAACTGGAACTTGTTATTCGTCAAGGAGGGGAGCCCCATTCAGCATGTGACAGACCAAGAGCCTCTTGCCACTCCCCTTCCTCTCACCTCCCTCCCCTGGGGCTTGGTCATCATCCAAGACTGTCCTTCCCCCCCCCCCTCCCGCCCGTGGCAACCCAGTCAGGTGGCTGAGCCGCCTGTGCCAGGGAGGAAAGGTGGCAGTGCCCAGCGGCCTTTACCACGATGACCAGAGTTAATACCTTATCGCCACCCCGTGCTTTCGTAATCGGGGCCGTGGATCTGGTTACAGATTTACTTGGAACAATGTCTGATGTGCCGAGTAAAGTCCTCCTTGGCCTGCGCAAAGTTACCCCCTTTCTCCTCCTCAGGAACCGTTCACACCTGTGCCTCAAAGATGAGTGCCCAGGAGGACCCCGAGGACCGGACCCAGGTAAGGGGCTGGGGTGGGGAGGGGTATGGCGCGGACTGTCGGGGCAGCACAGGGGCAGGGGCAGGGGCAGCGGGACAGGGCCTCTCTCTGATGAACTTGATCGAGAGGAACTGTCCCAGCTGCTGCAGGGGGTCTGGGGTTGACACAGATCTTCAGCTTGGGGGCCACCCTGGGTGGGTGTGTGTGTAAGTGGGCCATCCCTGGTTGGTGCCCTCTCAAGTCCAGCCTCTGACAGGGTCTTCCTGGCATCAGGGGGCAGGAGCCAGTGCAGTGGGTACAGCTTGGCTTAAAGCAAAGTGAGGTGGGAGCCGGGTGCTGGAGCGGAGTGGGCTGAAGGGCAGGGGACAGCTGGGGCGATTACAGTCAGGAGAGGGGTAGGCTTGGGCTTACTCTCAGGCTGCCTGATGGCTTCAGTGCTGCTGGACGCTGCCCATCCCATCCTGTCAGGCTCAGCCCCTTTTCTCTGCTGCTATCCCCTGGACGCTGCCCATCCCATCCTGTCAGGCTCAGCCCCTTTTCTCTGCTGCTATCCCCAGCATGACACCTCCAGCCCAGCGGAGCCCCGTGCCAGGGACCCCCCGGTGGCCCTGCCCACAGAGCCCAAGTTTGACATGTTGTACAAGATCGAGGACGTCCCACCCTGGTACCTGTGCATCCTGCTCGGCTTCCAGGTGGGTTCCCCCAGGGGGCTCCCCAGCTCTACTCTGTCTGTGCCCCAGGATCCCAGCCCCTGCTTGGGTCATCAAAGTTGTCTGGGGTAACAGGAAGTGAAACTTGAGGTCAGCACAGTGACTGTCACCAAGGGAGGGTGGGAGGGAGCCTCTGGGGGCGTGTGCATGAGAGAGGATTAACCCATGAGCAGTGTGTGGGGCCTTTGGGGGAGCCTCTCCCCAACCAAGCCCCAAGCAAAACCTGAGGGGGCAGGTTAGTAACCTCCAGAGTGGGGAGTACTGGGCTGGCTGAGCTCATTGCTCCGGTGACTGGAGGCCAGACCCTGGGGCAGCCTGGGGACCTTTGGGGTCTGTTCCCTGAGCCCGGGGGCCCCTCTCGCCCTCTCCCCACCCAGCACTACCTGACATGCTTCAGTGGCACCATCGCAGTGCCCTTCCTCCTGGCTGAGGCGCTGTGTGTGGGCCGGGACCAGCACATGGTGAGTCAGCTCATCGGCACCATCTTCACCTGCGTGGGCATCACCACCCTCATCCAGACCACCCTGGGCATCCGGTGAGTGGCCCCACTCCACAGTGTCCCCTGCCTTCGGCACTGGGGGCAGGCCCTCTCTCTCACAGCACTCTTTTACTTTATTTTTATATATTTTTTGTTTCTTGTGGGGGGTAGGGGCACGCCTAGAGATGATCAGGGGTTACTCCTGACACTGCACTCCTGGCGGGCACAGGGGAACCATGTGGGATGGCAGGGATTGAACCCCACACCCAGGTTAGCTGCATGCAAGTCAAGCTCCTCACCCCCTGTACTCCTCACCTCCAGCCTCACTCTTTCACTTTAGTTCGGGGTCACAACCAGTAGTGCTCAGGGTACCATGTAGTGCCTGGGATGAATCCAGAAACACATGCTCAGCTCGTTGAACTCTTTAGGGCTCCCCCAGGACTCTCATGGGGTGAGAAAGACCCCCCCCCACACACACCCTGCTCCCTTCTCCTGCTGCTCTTACTCCTAGGTCAGCCTTAGGGTCAGGACTCCGGGGGCCTACCCTGGCTCCCCAATCGGGACTTGAGGATGACTGGGATTCAGGGTCTAGGCTGCACCCTCTGCCCCCCATTTCATTCCCTACTGGTGGCCCTCCCTGGGGGTCCTGCCCCTAAGGATCTCACCCCCATATTGGGCCTCCCATAAAAGGGTTGTGAGTGTGGCCAGGGTGGAGGAAGGTGGAAAGGGCTCCTATTTTCACTTCCTTGGGCCCCCAAAAGGTGAAGCGTCCTGCTTGGGGTTCCAGTGACTTTCCCCTTCTCCAGCCTCATCCTTCTGTGTCTCTGTCTCTGTGTCACCCTTATTATTATTTTTTGGTTCATACCCGGTGATGCTCATGGGTTATTCCTGGCTCTGTGCTCAGGAATCACCCTGGCGGGCTCGGGGGACCATATGGGGATGCTAGGAATTGAACCGGGGTGGGCTGTGTGCAAAAGCCCTACCCACTGTACTATCCCTACAGCCCCAGTCCTCGTGTCATCCTTAGTCCCAACCCCGTTCTGTCTCTTTCAGGCTGCCGCTGTTCCAGGCTAGTGCTTTTGCATTTCTGGTCCCAGCCAAAGCCATCCTGGCCCTGGAGAGATGGAAATGCCCTCCAGAAGGTGGGCATGCTTGTATGTCCACGTGGGAGAAGGGAGGCTCGGGAGCCTGTAGATTAGGGCAGCTGCAGCAGGGGTGGAAGGGGCCTGAGGCTGCTGGACTTGGGGCTGCTGCCTCCAAGCACGTGGTCCCTCAGAACAGGAGCTGGGAGGAGAACCAGACTCCATAATCTGAGCCTCCCATTTTTACTTCCTTGGGCCCCCAAAAGGTGAAGCGTCTGATCCCTGTCCCCATGTCCCCTTCTGTTCCCAGAGGAGATCTACGGGAACTGGACCCTGCCTCTAAACACCTCTCACATCTGGCACCCCCGCATGAGAGAGGTGGGTTCACCTGTGGGAATAGGCCACTACTGACTTGGAGGATCCCTGCAGGCTTTCATATAGAGGTCATGGCCTCTCCATAGAGACTTAACACCAACCTTTGCCTTTCCAGGTCCAGGGTGCAATCATAGTGTCCAGCATGGTGGAAGTGGTCATTGGACTGATGGGATTGCCTGGGGCCCTGCTGAGCTACATTGGGCCTCTCACGGTCACCCCCACTGTCTCCCTCATTGGCCTCTCTGTTTTCCAAGCTGCTGGTGACCGAGCTGGCTCACACTGGGGCATCTCTGCATGGTGAGTGAGTCCTGGGACTGCTCTACCCCACACTGCTTGCTCTTCCTGTCTCCCCGAGGCCATGGCCTTCCAGCCATCTCCTCCTTGTGCTCCGCCCCCAGCTCCATTCTCCTGATCGTCCTCTTCTCCCAGTACCTGCGCAACCTCACTTTACTGCTGCCTGTCTACCGCTTCGGCAAGGGCCTCACTGTTTTCCGAGTCCAGATATTCAAGATGTTTCCCGTGAGTTGCTGGCTGGGGCTGGGGCCAGGGCAGCAGCTAATCCCGTGTCTAGGGCCAAGGTCGGGGCAGGGGGTGTGGTCAAAGGTAGAGTTGAAGCAGAGATGGGAGGCCAGAGGAGCTTAGCTGAGGTATGAGGGCGAAGGCTGAGGGAGGCAGGGACTGTGGAGTCCAGAGGAGTCCTCCAGCGCAGCCCCTGCCCCCTGTCTCCCAGATCGTGCTGGCCATCATGACTGTGTGGCTGCTCTGCTACATCCTGACCCTGACAGACGTGCTGCCTGCAGATCCCACAGCCTACGGCTTCCAGGCACGGACAGACGCCCGTGGGGACATCATGACTATCGCGCCCTGGATCCGCATCCCCTACCCCTGTGAGCAGCCCCTCCTGGCCCCTCAGCCTCCGAGTCCACCTCAGGGATGCTGGGGGCAGAGGTACCGTCAGCTGCATGCTCAGTACCCAGCGGAGTGGCAGCGTTTGGTTCAAAAACTCCTTCCTGGTCCCTGACTATGGTAGATCTCAAATCAGCTCAGGCAGGGAAGTTGTACAACTCCTGGCCCCACTGGTAATCCCTCTTCCGCCCTCCCCTGTTCCCACCTCCTAAGAACTGCCCTGCCCACTCCTGACCCACCAGGGGCGCTGCACCCATTTTCTGTCTCCCCCGAACCCAGGTCAGTGGGGTCTTCCCACGGTGACCGCAGCTGCTGTTCTGGGAATGTTCAGTGCCACACTCGCAGGCATCATTGAGTCCATTGGAGATTACTATGCCTGTGCGCGCCTGGCCGGAGCACCGCCCCCTCCAGTTCATGCTATCAACAGGTATGCCGGCTGGCTTCCAGGCACTGAGGTCAGGGCTGAGCACCCAGAGGTATGCTCGGGCCTTGTTCTTAAGGAAGGGGTGCGAGGAGTGGAGGAGATGAGGTCTGGGGGCAAGGGCAGCAGGAGCCTCCTGGGCCAGCTTGTCCTGCAGTGCTTTTTTCTTTGTGTGTGTGTGTGTGTGTGTGTTTTGCTGCACCTATTGGTGTGTGGGGGCTACTCTGACTCTGTGTAGGGGGTCATTCCTCATGGTGTAGGGCCATACAGTCCCAGTCATTACACCTTGGATTCTTGTGAGCAAAGCACTTGTTTATCCCACTGAACTCTCTGGCCCAAAGTATTTTTTTATTATATATATTTTTCTATTTTTGAGGGGAGTCACACCCAGTGATGCTCAGGGGCTACTCCTGGCTTTGCACTCAGGAGCTCTTCTTTGTGGTGGTCAGGGGACCAAATGGGATGCCTGGTTTTAACCTGGGTTGGCGTGCAAGGCAAATGCCCTACCTGCTACACTATTGCTCCCCCTGGCTTTAAAAAAAGTTATATTTAATTTTTTATTATATTTAATGGTACTTTTACCTCTTCCCTTTTTGGTGGAGGAGGAGGGTTTAGGGTATATCCCTAGGTGCTCAGGGGCTACTCCTGGGGAGGTGATCTGTGGAGTCTGGAATTCCAAAAAGCAAACAGCAAACAGCATAAGCAGGGGCCCTGGGGCCTATCTCCTGCTTTTCTGTGTTTTTGCTTTTTTTTTTTAGGGGGGGGGATCCATACCCAACAATACTCAGGTATTACTCCTGATGGGGCCCAGGGACCATTTGGAATGCTAGGCATGGAACCCAGATCAGTGGTGTGCAGACAAGCACCCTACCTACTGTACTATCTCTCTGGTCTTTGCATTTCTACAATCCATGCCTTTCAGACAGCTACTATTGGGACCCCCCATTTTACAGATGAGGAAACTAAGCCCAGAGTCATCCAGGGGACAGGATGAGTGCTTGGACCTGGGCTCCTCCTGGCTTGGAATGGGGAGACTACCATCAGAGTCAGTTGCAACAGATAATAGTTCCCTCTAACCCCAGCTGAGCTGCCAGGCTGGACCCCGCCTCCCCACTCGTGCTGTCCTTCCAGGGGTATCTTCACAGAAGGCATCTGCTGCATTATAGCAGGGATTCTGGGCACTGGCAATGGATCCACCTCCTCCAGCCCCAACATCGGCGTCCTGGGGATTACCAAGGTGCCAGCAGCGCCCTCTGCCTAATGCCCCGCTCTGTTTCCCTGTGCTGCCGGCCTTGCCCCCAACCCGTCCCCGCTTCAGCCTAGCTCCACTCCGCCTTTTAAGCGCCCCCTTTCCACACGCCTGTGCCATGCCCAGGCCCATTTGGACCTGTTCTTACAACAGACCCGGCTCCTGTGCCAACTAACATGACCCAGCACCACTCCCCTCCCTACACCCTGAGCCCCGCCCCTGTCCCTTGCAGGTGGGCAGTCGGCGCGTGGTGCAGTATGGTGCAGGTATCATGCTGATTTTGGGCACCATTGGCAAGTTTACTGCCCTCTTTGCCTCACTCCCTGACCCCATCCTGGGAGGCATGTTCTGCACCCTGTTTGGTGAGTGTCGCCAGGTGGGTCTGGAGGGACAAGGTGTGGCCCCGGAGCGCTGGAGCCCGCCAGGCCACTCCACCCCTCCAGCCCTTCTCCTGTGCCCTTAGGCATGATCACGGCTGTGGGACTGTCCAATCTGCAGTTCGTGGACATGAACTCTTCCCGCAACCTCTTTGTGCTCGGATTCTCCATGTTCTTCGGGCTCACCCTACCCAACTACCTGGACTCCAACCCTGGTGCCATCAACACAGGTGCCTCCGATAGTTTACAGATGGGAGCAGGGGGTGGCCCATCAAAGGCTGCTCAGCTCTCAGCTCAATCCAGCTCTGCAAGTCTAGACGCGGAGCAGCTGCTAAGGCCAATTAGCAGCTGTCCTTTAAGACTCCTCCTTCCTATGAACAGGCCTTGAGCTTCCCATATGCTCTTAAGCCTTTCACAGCACAATTCTACTATTGTCTCCAGGCCCGGGAGTGAAGACTGTGAGGCTGAGGGTATATGATTAGTTCCAAGACAATTGGCCGTGACTGGCAAATTGGATTTTCAGTTCAGGGATGGGCAAGGGAGAGGGTGAGACAGACTTGAAAGTTGGGGGTTTTCTCTTGCACCAGGAAGTTAGCAGGCTGCACACCAGTGGGAGAAAGTCCCTGAACTCTGCTCCCCAGATGGGCCGTGATACCCACTGACCCTTGATCTACTCCCCAGGCATTCCTGAAGTCGACCAGATACTAACTGTGCTACTGACCACGGAGATGTTCGTGGGTGGATGCCTTGCTTTCATCCTGGATAACACGGTGCCAGGTATGGGTCCACTGTGGGCAGGGAGCCCAGAGCATGGCAAGACACATAAAGCATTTCACAGATGGTCCCAGGACAGGAGCTACGACCAGACTGTATGAACCAGGTCCTGGGGACCAGGCAAGAACAGATATGCTGGTGGCCTCTAACTACATAGAAGCATCTGCGTTTTAGGTCTTGGTTCTTGCTCTTTCCAGATGCCACCAACGTAGTGAGGTTCTTTTAATGTTTCCTTAGAGCAGGACAGAGTATTTGGAAAGATTATGTTGGTGACACCCAAATATTACATTCATTTGTCATGTTGGCTACAAGATGTGCCCCTAACATCTCTTTGGTAGCAGGCCTACTGGCAGGGATTGTGGGTACTTCATACCCAAGAACCCCTACAACCCTACTGACCCACATAGAAAAGCTAAATGGTTGTTCTGACACTTGAGAACACTTACTATGGGCCAGAACACTGGAAACAGGACTGGGGGGGGGGGGGGGGAACGGGGGGCGGAGGAAAGGGTTTTTCTAGCACTTGTAGGGATTTGATTTTGAGACATGTAGCATTTACACTTTGGCTGGATGAGGGGGTAGTACCTGAGAAAGGAAGCAGCCGCCACAATGCCCAATGAACCCCGGGAACAGGAAGGCATCCAAGTGAGCAGCTGAAGCTTCTTTATGATTTGGGGATTCATATGGATGTTTACAAGAGTTTCAGAACAGTTAGAGTTCCTCGCAACCTGGTAACAATCAGCAGTTAATCCTGCCGGAGATCCCTGTTACCATGCAGACTCTTCCACTGCCTTTCAATGTGCATTGATAAATCTGAAACTGAAGGGCTAAATCACTTGCCCACTGTCATGCAGCCTGGCAACCCCAAGTGGCTGGTTTGAATCTAGTCCTTAACCATGGAGCCTCACAGCTGCTTTCTGTAAATTGGGCACTTTGCTAATGGGTCATTATGCATTTGCTCTTTACCCATGTCAGTCCAACTATCAGGGGCAGTTGATTTAATATTTTAATGGGTAAAAGGTGGAAGTTTTTTGTTTGTTTGTTTTTGAGCCATACCTGGTGGTGCTCAGAAACTACTTGTGTGGGGGCTGGAGGATAGCACAGTAGATAGGGCCTTTGCCTTGCACATGGTTGATCCGGGTTCGATTCCCAGCATCCCATATGGTCCCCCAAGCATTGCTAGGAGTAATTCCTGAGTGCAGAGCCAGCAGTAACCCCTGTGCATCGCCGGGTGTGACCAAAAAGAAAAACAAAACAAAACAAAACAAAACAAAAGACAAACTACTCATGTCTATGCTCAGGAGTGAACCCTGGGGACTCTCATGTAGTACTGGGGATCAAACCAGGGTCAGCAGCAAATGCCTTAAGCCCTGTACTCTAGTTCTTTATTTCTAGTGGCACTTACTTTTATGACCCTGGGCTGCACAATTATGCAGGGGGTGGGGTGCAGATATGTTTCAAGGAACTCCTGTTGCAAGATGGGAAACAAAACTTAGATAAAGCAGTTCATCATCAGTTGAACAGTCAGTTCAATCTGACAGTTGAACGAGCCTGTGCTGGAGTCATCTGTGGGGCTTGCTGGGTGAGGTGTCAGAGAATGCAAGGAGCTTGGAGAGGCAGAGGGATGCAGAGGGCAGACTGGCCTGCACAGCAAGGGAGTTTGGTGATCTTAGACAGTGCCCGTGGTGGCCAGCTGCCACACACAGCCCCTCAAACCACCACACAAACCACCTGTGCTTTGTGCAGCGGGCTCAGTTCAAAAACAACCTCCTGAGCCAACTTTTTTTTTTGCTTTTTGCTTTTTGGGTCACACCCAGTGATGCTCAGGGGTTGCTCCTGGCTCTGCACTCCGGAATTACTCCTGGCAGTGCTTGGGGGACCATATAGGATGTTGGAATTGAACCCGGGTCGGCCGCATGCAAGGCAAACGCCCTACCTGCTGTGCTATTACTCCAGCCCCCCCCCCCTTTTTTTAAATGTAGGAGTACTGCTATTTATTCAGTCACTGATTACCTGATTGAATTGTGCATGAACTCCACCTTACTTTTTTTTTTCCATTTTTTATAATTTTATTTATTGAATCACCGTGAGGCCAGTTACAAAGCTTTCGGGTCTAAGTCTCGATCATACAATGAAACACCCATACCTTCACCAGTGCCCATTCTCCACCCCCAACAACCCCAGTATACCCCTATCCCACACCCTCTCCCTACCTGTGGGGCAGATGATTTCCACATTACTCTCTCTCTACTTTGATCACATTCAATATTTTGACACCAGACCCACCATTATTATTTGAGATTTTACCCCAACACTCAGATCTGCTGAAAAGGCAACAGTAGACAATTTGTTTTCTATTGGTGTTATATTTTCATATGATGTCGTGTGGCTGCAGTAGTGGCTGCGCGATTTTGAAATTCTGAAATTTTAACACTTAAATATGGAGGGATTTCTGCCCAAACCTCCTAGGTTCCGAGATTTGCTCCTGAGTCTCTGGGATCATGGCCGTTAAGCAGCTTGATCAGGAGCTAGAGAGTCTGTTCGTGGGCAATGAATTGGGGTCTTGTTGGGGTGGGGAGGACAGGACCGGCTCCACCCCCATCCCGTGAGGCCCAAAATGTCTCGTCACTGCGGGCCCAAACCTGACTGTCCAGTGGCCTCTGGAGGATAGCGGCCATGAGGCTGCCCAGGGGGAACAGGCCAAGGCACAAAACCTATTCCCACCTGCGTTGGCCCAGCCCCAGTAACTTACTGCAGGAACCGGATGCATTTCTGCCAAAAGCCGCTGGGTTTTGAGATTTGTTTCTGAGTCTCTGGGATCATGGCCATTAAGCAGTTCAATCAGGAACCAGAGAGGCCATGCCTCCGGTTATATAGTTGAGCCGGAGGTAGGTTGTGGGTGTGTTTCCCACATACCTAACTTTTGGCCGTTTACTTTCTTGGTAAACTTTGCCCCAAGTTTTTGGGGTCTGGCCAAAGGCACAGCAGCAATTTTGGGGTATCTGGAAGTCTGAAGGCGCCATCAGGCTGCTGATGCACTCACCTCACAGGTACAGATTGACCTGCTGGCAGCACCATACCCCCACTGAGCCAACTTTCTGAGGACCCAATCCTCCTCTCACTGACCTCCAAGATTTTGGGATCTATTTGGTTTGCACAACTGTGATTTACGAAAAATATAATTTTGGTCATTTAGATGATCAGAATGTTTTTCTCGTGTTTATTTCATCTTCATCCACAAGTCTTGGCTCAGATTCCCAATACCTTGGGATTTCCTAAATGTTAAGAGAGATAAAGTGGGGGCCAGACAGAATACAGTGGTAAGGTGTTCACCTTGCACGTGGCCAACCCAAGTTGAATCCCTGGCACCACATGATTTCTTAAGTCCCATATGTGGGACTCAGTCTCAGGAGTGAACCTGAGCACAGAGCTAGGAGTAAGCCCTGAGCACTACCAGGTGTGCCCCCAAAACACACAGAAAAGAAAAATGTGTCTATAGTTACTGACTTTTGGATGGGGGGGGGGCAATCATGTGATGAAGTTGGTTCCTCCAGTCCCAACCCCTCTGATCTGTGGAGAAGAAAAATGGGAGAGAATGTTAATCCTCAGTCAGGGAAGGCTAGTGATTTAATCAAACCCACCTAAATAATAACGAAGTTCCCTTAAAAGCCCCAGAGGTGCCAGAGATAGTTGAGAGGGTAAGGAACTTGCATGGAGTGGCTTCAGTGACCAATCCTGGTTTGATCCTCGGCACCATCTAGTCCCCTGAGGCTGTTACTTGTGAGCAGAGCCAAGAAGAGTCCCTGCTGGGCGTGTTCCCTACAAACTTGGGTGAAAGATGGAGAGGTACGGGTGGGCTTCCGAGTGGGTGATAACAGCAATTCTGAAGGCATGATGGAAACTCAACATCTTTGCCCATACATCTTCCCACCGGACTCTCCCTGAACATCCTTTAAATACATTAATGACCTAGTGAGTAAATAGATTTCCTGAGCTTCATTAGCAAACTAAAAAACCCTGAGGATGAATCATGGGATAATCTTACTTAGAACTGAGGGTTCGGCGCATTTGCTGCCTGAGTCCATGTGCTGCTTGTGCCCACGTGGCCGAGCACATGTGGTTCCCGAGCACGTGTGTCGCCCGCATCTCCCCTCTTGAGATGTGTACTTTCGTGCTTTCGTGTCTAACTTTACTCTCTCACTCTCTCTCCCTCCCTCCATACCTAAAAATCCTCCAAATAAAATCTATTTACTTCAAAAAAAAAAGAACTGAGGGTTCATGGGGTCGAAGAAATAGTACTGTGGATAGGCAATTTGCCTTGCACGCGGCTGACCCGGGTTCAACCCTCAAGATACCATATGGTTCCCCGAGAATCACCCGGAGTAATTTTTGAATGCTAAGTCAGGAGTAATCCCTGAACACCACTGGGTGTGGCACCTGCTCCCCACCAAAAATAAGTACAGATGGGACTTATTACCAGAGACTGAATTAGAGGGTGGTGAGCTTGGGAGACCAATGTGGTGGCAGGAACTGAACCAAGGTCCCTGCGTGCAGAGCATGTGCTCCAGTATTTAGTCATCTCCCCAGGCCAAAAGACTCGACTCTCATGGAAGAGATTGGATACTGTCTCTTGGGTATCCACAGTGAGTTGAATTATCAGACATCCTCCTTGCTGGTGTACTAGAATTTTGTTATAGGACAATATCCCCACAACTCTGTTGGAAGATTGGTCTCTAGGGTACCCTGTAACTTCTCAGTTCTTGGAATTCTAAGCCTTGGTGGCCCAGCATGAGAAAACCTCACTTGTTTCTAGACTTACTGTCAGCTGTCAACCCCAGCTCCCTTGTGAAGACCTCAGTGATCTCAGGAAGATGCCTGCTACGGGAAAATCCCCCTCATTAGTCTCCTGTGTATCCCTACCATCAATTTTACTTAGCTGGATAGAGGTATTATAAAACAAGCTTATTATATTAGTACTGTTTCAAAATATACTTCCCTGTTCCCCCCAGAGCAAAGTCTGGATATTTGATGATCTCATGGACTCAAGTCTCATATTCAGATGGATATTTACAATAAATTTTGCTTCTCCATAAAATTTTAATAGTGCCTAAATATCTTCCAGTTATTTTTTGGGTCACAGCCAGTGCTGAGGCAATTAATCCTAGATCTGTGGGATAGTTGCCCCTGGAAGTGCTCAAGGCACTGTGAGGTGCCAGTTTAGAATTTGTGCCTCCTGCATGCAAAGTATGTGCTCCAGCCCTCTTACAGGTTTGTTTAGGATTTATTCCTGGCTCTATATTTGGGGATCACTCCCGGCAGTGTTCAGGTGATCATATGGGCTGCCAGGGATTGAACCTGGGTTGGTTGCATGTGAGGCAAGTGCCCTCCCCGCTGGACTACTGCTCTACCCCACCCCCCAGTGTTTTAAAGAAAAGAGGAAAAAAGAAACTAATCAGAGAGCCCTGCATTATGAAGATACACAGTAAATACTAATGGTTATATCAATACCATGAAGGTTCCCTAGAACAGTGACTATATTAGGGGTTGAGAAATCATTGAAGGTGCAATTTTGGGCCAGAATATACTTGTGAATTAAGAGATTCGATTCCAGAGGTTTGCCTTAGTCTGGGTTATGAGAAAGGGAGCTGGGAAAAGGCTGCTGGCCCTCACAAGTGACACAGTGTCCTCTTTCAGGAAGCCCAGAGGAACGGGGGCTGATCCAGTGGAAGGCTGGAGCCCATGCCAACAGCGAGACGTCTGCCAGCCTTAAGAGCTATGACTTCCCCTTTGGAATGAGCATGGTGAAAAGGACTGACTTTCTGAAATACATTCCTATCTGCCCAGTCTTCAGAGGATTTCCTTCAAGGTCAAAAAACCAACTTTCAGTACCAATAGACACTTCAGAAAATACAGACCCTGGATCTGTATGCACGAAGGTCTGAAATACTACTCCCATGAAAGGTAGGATACTGATAGTCTGTTTCGCATGAGGGTTGAGAATCATAAAGTTAAGAGAAACCAAATCAGTGTCCTCAACAGGAAGAGAGACCGGGTAAAAAGTCATTATATGGATTTTTCGGTGAAATTCTTAAGCCTTTTTGTAGTAGTGGGGATTGAACACAGGGCTTTATAAGGCCGTATCAGAGCTACACCCCCATCCATTAGGCATTTGTAATGAGAAGAACTTAGTAATGGGTCTGGGCCACTGTCGTAAGAAGGCCAAAATAGTGCCATTTTCATCTTCTGGGTAGAAACTAGGTCAGCTGGAACCCACGAATCAGCTTCATCTTCTCCAGTATGCTAAACAAATATGCTTTAATGATATGAAAAAGTCAGAGTCTGGCAAACTCCCTGTGGCGTACCCAATATGCCAAATACCAGTAACAATGATGGGTCTCATTCTCCTAAAGAGCCTTGAATATAATCTCAGGGCTAGGATGAAGGAGACGTTACTGGGGCCTGCTCGAGGCAATCAACGAATAACAGGATGATTTGTGATTTTGTGATTTGTGATATGAAAAAGGAAATACCTGGGGCTGGAGTGGTAGGGTGTTTGCCTTGCAAGTGGCTGACCCAGGTTTGATTCCCAGTATCTCTGATGGTCCTCAAGCACCACTAGGAGTTTTGAATGCAGAGCCAGGAATAAGCCCTGAGCATTGATAAGCCCTGACCACCCCCCCCCCCCGCAAAAAAAAAAGAAAGAAAAAGGAAACAAAGGAATATCAAATTGGGGCAGAAGAGAGTATGGTACAGGAATTAAGGTGCTTGCCTTGTACGTGGCTGACTCTGGTTCAAATATCTGGCACCAGATGCGGTCCCTCGAGCACTAACAGGAGTGATCCCTGAACATAGAACTAGAAGTGAGTCTTGATCATCACCAGGCATGGCCAAAACAAACCCCCCTCCCATCCCCTAAATTAACCAAATTGTACGTGAATAGAAAAGATCTTTTAAGTTGCCTAGTTTCTATAGTGAATCCAGTTAAAAGGACTGAAGTGCTACTCTAAATGCCAGGACAGGCCCTGAATGGGGGATGACATTTGTCCCAAGGGTTTTAAAATGGAGTGGCTCATGTTCTGAAACTTTCCACCTACCTCTACCTGTAATGCCATGTAGAAGGCCTGGCTTCCTAGTTAAGTATCAAAGCATTTCAATATGTTCTCTCAGAGTTTGAACAAAACGAGAGGTCAGCTTAGATGGCTCCTTCATAATATTAACAGCAGCAACCTCTTACTTTCTACGTGCCAGAGACAGAAAATACTGTCATTATTCCCATTTTAAGAGGAAGAGGAAAACTTCGGTAAAAGGTTAAGTGCTTGCCCATGAAATTGGATTAGCAGACAAGAGCTCTGGGTAGTCTTTCCTCTGAACTGTGAGGTTATACTGCCTCTTAAGTCTGTAAATCGGCAGTATGTGGAAAGGAACTCAGCTGTTTCTGCTGAAGCTCTGAGGGAAAGTCTCTTTAAGGCCCGCAGATTGGGAGCCGGCTGTACCATCTGTGGTACTGACAATAGATGGAACTGACTCCATCAAAGTTTCAGAGAGTCAAGTAGTTATCATTTCTGCTCCATCTTCCTAAAAAACCCACTTTTTGAGGGCTGGAATGGTAGTACAGTGCCTTGCATGTGGCCAACTTAGGTTCAATCCCTGACACCTCATATGGTCCTCAGAGCCTGCCAGGAGTGATCTCTGAGTGCAGAGCCAGGAATAAGCCCTGAGTACCACCAGGTATGGCCACCAGGTATACACCAGCACCACCAAAAAAAAAAAGTACAACTTTTGTTTGTTTAGGTATTTATACTAAATACTGGTACTCAAACCAAAGGATCCGTCCTCCTTAGCCAAGGGAAAGTATTTGATAGAAGAGACAATATGGCCTTTTAAATCTGGCATCCAAAAGCTCAAGCAAAGTAAAGGAGATAAAGAGAGGGCCTGGAATGAGTGACAATGAGCGGGGCACTTGCCTTGCATGCAGCTGACCTGGATTTGGATCCCCAACACCCCATATGGCCCCCTGAACCCCGCCAGGAGAGATCCCTGAGTAGTCAGAAGCCCTAAGCACTGCTGGGTGCAAAAAAAAAAGGGGGGGGGGGCTGGAAGGGGCCAGAGCAATAGTATAGTGGGTAGGGCATTTGCCTTGCATGCGGCCGACCTGGGTTCAATCCCCGGCATCCCATATGGTCCCCCAAGCACCGCCACAAGTGATTCCTGAGTGCAGAGCCAGGAGCAACCCCTAGCATCGTTGGGTGTGACCCAAAAGCAAAAAAAAAAAAAAAAGGGGGGGGGGAATGGAGCAATAGTACAGAATAGTACAGTCTTGCACATGGCTGATCATTTTGACCCCCAGGATCCCTGAGCCCTTCCAGGTGTGGCCCCAACCCCCAAAAATTAAGACGAAGATATTTTTAATAATTAGTATGGTTAAGAGGCAGAATTATATGTGGAATCAGGAAACTGTCAGTTGACAGCCCATCCCAAATAAAGATTAGTCACCTATAAACAAGCTTGCCGGCCTGAGCGATCGCACAGTGGATAGGGTGCCTGTCTCCATCCCTGGCACCAGATACGGTCCTCAGGGCCCAGTCAGGAATGATCCCTGAGCAGAGAGCGACAAATAAGCCCTCTAAAAAAAAAACAAACAAAAACTCACATCCCCCCATACACACACACAAAACAGGAGGTGCAGGTGAATCGAAATAGCAAATCAGCCCAATTAGAATATATGCTTGTCAGTAGCTAATATACCATAATAAAATTACCATTCCATAATACTAAAATTTTACATGGGGTTATTTATTACTGTCCTGATGCAACAGCCTGAGGCATTGAAGGCATGTTACAGAAGGGACTGGTTATGAGTTTACTGCTGTATTATGGAATGGCGCTGTGGAACCTACTGCTCTAAATATACCTTGCCAGCAGTGTAACCCGTAGTACTGAGCCCACACTACAGTGAGGCTCACAGCGAAGAGTCTGCCTTCCAGCACCAATAAACACAACCATCAGCTCAGTTCTACTATTATTTATTTTTTTAAATATTTTTGAAAAAATATAATTTTTTTACAATATTTTCAACTTAAACACTATTCACACTGAACACGTATGGCAGCTTAACCTACTCAAATATGAAGTTTAAGAAGCCAAAACTGTTCTAGCTTTGTTAAAAGAAAAGTTGTGCTGCAGACTATTGTAGTGCTAGTTAACAAAGCAAGGAAAAGCACCACTCAAATCATATTATTACAATTTCTTTGTTCAATTGGATTATGGATTGGTCAAAAGTTGGCCTTGATACAGGATACAATGTTGTGAATTCCTTAGAATTCTCAAATCACATACTTCCTCAGATCTAACATTAGGAGCAGAATCTGATATTTCTCACATGATAACATACCATAAAAGTCAGGAATTCTTTCATGACCACTACCTTGTAACCTTAGTAACAAAGACACACTTGACCAGAAGAAATTATTTCAAATTAACAAGCTTTCTTTAGAAAAAGTTCTGATGGGGAAAAATATAAATTAAGTCTGAACCGAGAAATTTGCTTAACAATTAGAACTTAAGTTTTACTCAATTTTTTAAAAAGTTTTGACAAAAACAAGTGTTAGTTATCCATAAGGGTCTAGGTTTAACGTCAAAAAAGACAGTCCACTAAGATTCGGAGGTCATTTAATTTGGTGCTTTCTTACAACTTGACTGGTGCTTCTTTCCTCGCTGTCTTCACATCAAGCCATGGGGCCAAATCTATTTTCAGTAAATGTTTGACAGCTTTTTTTACTTAATAACAGTCTCAGCACTTTTATTAAGCATGCAAGACTAACAAAACTTTGGCAATGCATAAGTGTAACACAGTGACAAGAGAGAGCTTTTACAATTAAGTCTTCTAATACTGCCTTCACAGTGTGGAAATTGTGCTACATCCACCAAAAGAGGGCCCCATCTACTCAAATATTTTAGTACTTCACCCCAGGAACAAACTCCTTTGCATTTGGATTCAGATTGCTCTTGACCTGGAAAATAAGTACATAAAAAAGTAAGTTCATTAACAGATGGCATCAGATAGAGAAATATTCAACCCTGATTAAAATGCAAACAAAAATCTTCAAAGTACAAAAGAACTTATTATGACGTTAGACATAAACACACACACACACACACACACACACACACACACAAATCCCCCTAAACCAAAATTATGGGGAAGCAGGAAACCGATGCAAAATATATATATGAAGTCATTATCAGCTTTCTAAAGATAAAGTAGGAATTGAAATTAAATTTGCTTAAGTGTAACCAAAACTCAGTAACTTTTAATGATATTTGTCTTTCTTTAAGCAGTCTTATACTATGCAAAAATATTGAACAGGTGTTGAAATGTTTACTGTTTTTGGGCCACATCCAGCAGTGCTCAGGGCTTAGTCGTGGCTCTGTACTCAGGAATCAACTCCTGGTGGGCTCGGGGGACCGTTTGAGGAGCCGGGGATAGAACCTTACAAGGCAAGTGCCCTACCCACTGTACTATCACTCTGGCCCCTGAAATGATGTTTAAAATGGGGAGCTGTCTGGGGATTTTTCATTTTATGATCCTCACTGAAAATAAGGAGTCTTGTCTTTCTACAACTGCTGTATTCTAATTCCCACAGGAAGCATTGTATGTAACAGGAAAAGAAACCTACATGGGAAGTCAGAAGAACTAAGTCGGAATCCCAGCTCTGCCCTATATAAGCCTGGATAAGTCTGGGACTCCTTTTGCATCAGTTAAAAAAAGAATAATGGGCCAAAGTCTCTGTTTTTGAGATATGTGCCACTGTTATGTCTTCACTTTCATATATAATTTTTAGTACACAGGAATAACTGAGAAATCTTTATTTACTGCACGTAGTAGTACTAGTTGATGGAGACAAAAAGAAACCAGGACGAGGTATAAAATGTAGGGATGCTGGCAGGTCCTTACATTGAATCTGACCCCATTACTTCAAGATGCAAAGCATATTAAACAAAATTCGGAGCAATAAGTTTAGTTTCATAATTTATATATGTATATATATCATCATTTCCTTAGAACATCTTCCTTTTAAATGAAGAAAATGTTCTTAATGTGTAATCTCTTGGCAGTTGCAAAAGAATCAGAAGGAATTAACTCAACCAGGGGTCCAAGAGGATAGTGCAGGGTTTAAGGTGCTTGCTTTGCATCTGGCTGCCCCTACACCAAGTCGCCAGCACTACACAGTCTTCCTGAGCACTGTCAGGAACTACTCCTAAGCACACTGTGAGGAACAGCACTGGTTGTGCTTCTAACTTCCCCTGCCTAAACAGTGGATCTGAACTAGATCAAGCCGAACAAACCAGTTTCTATACAATGGCATTCTATTAGTCCAAATTAAAGTCAGACTTTATGGCCAACAAAAAGCATTAATTCAAGATGATCAAGTTTATATGTAGACTAATACAGTGAGAAACTAAACATCCCAACAGTCAGATCACACATCTGCACAACTGGGTTACTGTCTTTACTGAGTTGTCCTACCAAAGGCTAAGCCATACTATCAATTTCAGCATTCTGAAATGACATGGCTTCTAAATGTCTGACAGGGCAAACTGACTGTGTAAAGTTACCCGGAGTGCTTTAAAAAACTGACATGTTTTGGGGCTAGCGAGATAGCTCAAAGTATGAAAGTGCAGGCCTGGTCTCCTGAGCAGCAACTAACTGCTTCATTTAAGACATTTAAGGCTATGGGGGCCTAGTGATAGCACAGAGGGTAGAGCTTTTGCCTTGCATGCAGTAACCTGGCTTCGAGTCCCAGCATCCCATATGGTCCCCTGAGCATAGAGCCAGGAGTAACCCCTGTGCATTGCCAGGTATGATCCAGAAAGCAAAAAGCAAAAAAAAAAAAGGAAAAAAGAAAGACATTTAAGGCTGATTATTACCAGAAGTAGTCCCGGGCCTACTGAGCACTGTTTAGGAGACCTCTCTGTTCCATAGCAAAAATAAAGTTTAGGATTGATTTTTCAGATCTGTAATGTAATTAAGGAGCTTTTTCGGAGTCCAGGGGTCCATGCCTCACAGTACTCAGGGCTTAGCTGCCTGAAAGGCAAGTGCCTTAACTCCTGTACTATTTCTCTAGTCCTAAGGAACTTATTTTTAATGTCTCATTGGTAATTGTAAAGTTGGGCTAGGAAACCATGATACAGTGAGCTGAAAACTGCCAAAAAATATGTCTTTTCATGGTAAATTCCAAATGACAATCATATAGAGTATAGTAGCAAATAAAGATTTTAAACATGGAGAGAAATGTTTAAAAAGAAATTTTAAGTTTTTTGGTTTGCTTCTGGGCCACACCCAGAGGTGTTCAGGGCTTACTCCTGGCAGGCTTGGGGGACCATCATATGAGGTCACTACCTGCTGTACTATCACTCCAGTCCTATAAATTATTTTTTATTTTAATTTTAGTAAAGAATTAGATTCAATCCCAGTACTAATGGGTTATCACATTTCCTGAAAAACCTAATTTTTCTACAAGTGCCATCACCAATGAAATAGAGAATAACTAAAAATGTAAATAGGACATAGCTAAGAAACTTACTATATATGTCAAGAATCCTTAATATTACCAAAATTCCAAATGGAGTGAGGGGACAATAAAAATCCCAGGGCAGGAAGAAAAAAAACACCTCAATCTTTTAAAAAAAAATCTTTGTAACTTTCACGAAATGTTTTAAGTCAAAGAGCAATCTCGGGCTGGAGCAATAGCACAGCGGGTAGGGTGTTTGCCTTGCACGTGGCCAACCCGGGTTCGATTCCCAGCATCTCATATGGTTCCCTGAGCACTGCCAGGGGGTAATTCCTGAGTGCAGAGCCAGGAGTAACCAACCCCTGTGCATCGCGGGGTGTGACCCAAAAGGGGGAAAAAAAAACAAAAAAAACAAAGAGCAATCTCTACTAAACTACTTTTGTGTAGGCAAGTCACATAGATACACTGGGTACTTTTCTGGATTAACTTAAGGCATTTAAGTACCGAGGAGAAAACTTATCAAGACTAAAAATAATGGCAAAAAGTCTGGTGGGGGGTGCTCAATCTAATCCCATCCATTGTGCTACTGACATTATTCCAATTTCTAAACAAAAAATCAAAATCCTTTGCTTTCTTCTTAATAAATAGCATGATTTCTGAAGGCGAATACAAAACTCTTAAGTAAATGGCGTTTTATTTCCACTTACAGAAAATGAGCTAGGTTTTAAAAAGAGGAAAAATAGCTTTTTACCACAAGATCTTCCAGAGAAGAGCCATCAGTGATAACAAGGTCATTAAACTGGTCTTGGATTTGGTCCATGGTTTGTGGGAGATCTCGAGCAGGAATAAACCACTCATGTTCTTCTTCTTCTTCCAGCATTTCTTGGAAACAGCGTTCAATAAATTCTTCTTCCCATAATTCCTCTTCTATCTAGATTTATAATAAATTAAAATTTATAGCACTTTGTAAGACTTTACTAGAAATGGCTTTAAGTATCTTGAGGTCAAAGGAAGCCTAGAGCACCTCTGGGTGTGACCCCAAAACAAGCAATGCTGGGTCAAATGAGTAGCTCAGTTTCATGGAGCACATAAAGCTTTACTCAGGGGACTCAGATTCAATTCTTGCCACCACATGGTCCCCTAAGCACTAAGCTGGAGGCAGCCTGCATACCACTGGATGTGGCCCCCCAATAAAAATTTAACATTTTGCCCTGCAGTTTATGCTCAGACAGTTAGTGTTTTGTTACATGTTTACTTGTCTTAAGTTTAGGGCCCAAGGATGCAGTGCTTTCTTCTTAGGCCCTGCGGTGCTGGGAAATACACCAGTTACCCTAATGGTGCTTGGGTGGGTGGGTTGGAATCTCCATTGCTACACCTGATAACTGAGGGACCATCTGGTCATAAGGATCGAGCCAGCATCCCACACATATTATCTCAACGCCTGTATTATCTCCCTGGCTTTCAGAGTTTAGTGATCAGAACTATCTGTGGTGCTTAAAGCCCCCCAACTATAAAAAAATACCCTAACCCCACCTAAAACTGCTTAAACAAAAAACAAAACCGACCCAAGACTTTAGAGGGTTAGGGCATGAGTAATTAAAGAAAAAACAAAGACCCACATGATTCTTACTGAGTTAAGACCACATTTTTACTCCCTTTTGGGCCACACAGGGCAGTGCCCAGGGCTTAACTTTGTGCTCAGGAATCATTCCTGGCAGGGCTCAGGTCTATTATAGGGAAATGCAACCTGGGTCAGCTGGCCTTTGGCTATACTATATCTCTGGCCACAGCACTGTTTTACTCTTGAATATCAGTGCATATGACAAAGCTAAGCTGTCTGCTGATTAAGTCTGCAACTAAAAAGAAAATGAAAACATATGCCATAAATGCCAAAATAAAGAAAAAACTTCTCTGAAGAAAATCAGTGATGGGGCTGGAGATGGTAGATAGGGCGCTTGCCTTGCTAACATGGGTCTGATCCCCATATGGTCCCCAGAGCCCATCAGGAGTGACTCCTGAGCACTGAACCAGTCAGGTATGGCCTCAAACCCAGTATCAACAAAACACACACACCCAAAAACCAAAAAACCAGAGACAGGCTAACAGGGCTGGAGAGATAGTCTCGGGTTCTGGTACTTGTCTTACTTGATAACAAGGTAATCAAGTAAGCTTTTGATCCTGGTCACTTACACTGCCAGGAGTAGCCCATACCCAAGGTATGATCAAAACAATTGAGAGAATCTCAGGTGAAAAACTGAAAAACAGCATAATTCTGTACCCTCCTACATGCATTTTCTGCTCCTAATTCCAGTTATGTATTTATCTGATACATAAACACTCAACTGGAGTCATCTGGAAGTTTTTAAAAACCAAATGTTCCAGGGAAGGGTAAGATAGCTCAGGGGTTGGGGCACAGCCTTATATATGCAAGGTTCTAGCTCGATTCCCAGTACCATATAACCCCATGTATAGCAGCACCATATACAGTTCTGGAGGTCCCAAGCAATAATGCCACATTGCCAGACCCTAACATTGAACTGACTGGCCCAGCTAGCCAAGTATTGCCAGAAATGGCTCCTTACTTCCCTCAAAATCTCCCTGGATCCACTCTGGTCATCCTAAATCAGAATCTGGGGTGGAACCTTGGAAACTCCTAATTTATTTCAGTAAGCTCTTAAATCCCAGAGAAATTAACATTCAAATGAAACAGCAGTGGCACATAATCCCTAAGACCAGATAAAAATCAATTCCAGGGCTGGTAAAACAATGCCTGGTCTCCTAAGCAGAGTTGGGAGAGGTTCCCAAACCCAATTCTGCCCTGATGAATTTCAAAGGGGCTAGAGATAGTACAGGGGCTAAGGCACTTGACATGCATGCGGCCAACCCAGGTTTGATTTCCAGCATCCCATGTGGTTCCTGGAGCACCATCAGGAATGATTCCTGAGTTCAGAGCTAGGAGTAACACCTGAGCATCACCGGTGTGGCCCAAAAACAAAATAAAGACGACAGCTCAAAGGGCTGGAGCACATGCCTTACAAGTGGGAGGCCTGAAATTTCTGGCACTGCTGGGGAACCTCTCCCCAAAACACATAAAAAAATATCAATTTTAAGGCCAAGGGCTGTCCTGGGAGTAGGGTAGGGGGAGCAAGCATATTTGTAAACAAAACTGACTTGTCTGTTGAATTCCTCTTCATTTTCCATCCACATGTACTCTGCAAATGGATTGTCATCTTCATGAGAATGACCGTTAATAATCACATCTTCATTGATGATGCTTGGGCTAGTACTGCTGCGACTTGGATCTTTCATGGTTGGCGTTAGTTGTAGTTTTTAACCTTAAAGGAGTAATATAAATAATTGACTCAGTTAGTTCTTGTCTGCTTTTAGTGAGCATCTATTATTACTAGGCACCATGATTAGGCATTAAATGTACATGATACATTAATGAATATAATAAATTGAGCAACTAAAAGCTTCACGTTCCCCTCAGTAATTTATTTTAGTAAAGCAGAATAGTTTTTGTTGAAATTTACTTAGAAAGCTGTGAGGAGGAAGAAGAGGGAGGGAGGGAGGGAGGGAGAGGGAAAGAAAAAAGGAGAGGGACAGAGGGGAGAGAGGGAGGGAAGGAGAAAGGGAGAGGAGGGAGGGAGAGTGAGAGCACGCACAGAGAGAGAGAGAGAGAGAGAGAGAGAGAGCGAGCACGAGCGAAAAAGCAAATTTATTTGGTCACACTTAAGCAGTGTTCAGGGTTTACTCCTAGCTCTGCACTTAGGGATGACTCCTGGTAGGGCTCAGGGGACCATATGTGGTGTTGGGGATCAAACCAGGATTGGCTGCATAAAAGGCAAGTGCCCTACCCCCCACCATAAAAATTTAAATGTCACTAAGAAAATAGCTTGAGGAACAGGTCGGGATGGGAGATGTGTGCTGAAAGTAGATAATGGACCAAACATGGTAACTTCTCAGTATCTGCATTGGAAACCATAATGCCCAAAAATAGAGTATGGGGAATACTGTCTGCCATGTAGGCAGAGGGAGGGTGGGAAAGGGGGAGTATACCGGGAATATTGGTGGTGGAAAATGTGCACTGGTAGAAGGGTGGGTGTTTGATCATTGTGTAATTGTAACCGAAGCACGAAAGCTTGTAACTATCTCATGGTGATTCAATAAAATTTTTTAAAAAAGTCTAATAAGATGCAGCTATAGTTGAAACAACTTAAGATTCACTTAATTTCTGGTAATAGTAAATATCAGTAATCAATTGTTTAAATGTAAGCCCCAAACCAATGATTCATTTTAAAAAATATTGATATCCTGTGCTTTATAAAACCATGATCTGGGAGACTTAATTGGTGACTATAAAAAATGAATTCTGCCCTTTTGGGTTGTGGGGGTTTGGGCCATACCTGGCAGTGCTCAGAGGATGTAGTGTCGGGGATCGAACCAGGATTTGCTGCTTGCGAGGCAGGCACTGTAAGTCCTATACTATCTCTCCTGACCCCAAACTCTACCTTTTAAAACCAGTATTATAGAGTAAAATATAACCGGTTACATGCAATTTACTGTATTTCCAGTCGCCTGACCCAAATTTATACCTGTGCTTGGGGCTTACTCCTGGCAGTGTGAAGAGAACCATATGTGGTACTCAGGGTGGTGCCACATGTGGTACTAGAGATTGAACCTATGTTGATCACATGCAAAAGCACGCGCCTTAATCCTATACTATCTCTCTGGCCCCTGGTCACCATTTCTGTGTAAGTAAAAGCAATATCTAAGGGGTAAGGCAGTTCAGTGGGAAAGTACATTTTTCATGTCTGAGTTCCTGGGTTTGATCCCCAGCAAATCGTTCACACATGGTAGTGCTTGGGGGGACCAGGTGATATGAGAATTGTTGGGAGTTCTTGCATGCAAAACATGTACTCCAGTTCTTTGAGCTATCTCCTGGTCCATGATAAGTGGATCTAATTTCAGGATTCTGCAAGCCTGGAGAATAGTTTCATATTCTACAATTCATTAAGTCTGAAATTGGTAAAAATAGGGTATTTTTTATTTTGGGGCCACACCTGGATGTGCTTAGAGATTACTCCTAGCTCTGAGCTTAGCAATCACTCTGGCAGTGCTCAGGGGACCAATGTGGTGCTGGGACTGAATCTAGGTTGGCTATGAATGCCGTACCTGCCCTACTATAGATCCAGCCCCTAAAAACAGACTTATATAAAACAAATTATTTATGGGGCTGGAGCAACAGCATAGCGGGTAGGGCGTTTGCCTTGCACGTACCCGACCTGGTTTGATTCCCAGCATCCGATATGGTCCCCCGAGCACCACCAGAAGTAATTCCTGAGTGCATGAGCCAGCAGTAACTCCTGTGCATTGCTGGGTGTGGCCAAAAAAAAAAAAAAAAGGGCAACTGAACCTAAATTGAGATTTCCTATCATAGGTACTATTTGCATGTAACTGAAAAGGAAGAAACAGGCCCTGAGATTTATGTGCTAGGGTTTTTATATATTTATAAAGCTTTGATTAGTTTAGGAAATTGAGGCATTATGAAAGACAAAACAGTATCTGACTTTTTTGGGGGGGGGGGGCAGGGATCCAACTTAGGACCTCATACATGCAAGAGGCATACCCCAATCATAAACTATATTACCAGCTCTCTTTGATACTTTCATTTATCATGAACGAAATTCAACTCTTTCCCACTTCTTCCCAAAGTAATGCTCAGAGGGTCTGGGGTCCCACACCTGGTGCTTCTGAGTTAACTGGGCAAAAGCAGTTCAATGCGAAGGTCCGAGGATGTGGTGATGTGGACAGCAGTGCCTGGAGGCATCCAGGGAGCGGGTAGGGTAGGCCAAGTGGTGCTGGGGACTGAACCAGTGTCAGGCACATGAAAGGTGTCAGCCTGTACCCTTGTATCTCCCTGGTCCTAAATTCTTCATTTTTAAAATAAAAATTAAAATCCTTTTTAATAACAATTTTTGATTAAAGAACAATAAATTCCTTTAAAAAATTACTCATTCTCAAATGTCAAACTACCAATTTATATAAGCTTACTTTGAAATGCATTACATTTTTTTTCACCTTCAATCTTTGCTTTTGAACCACACCTCACTGTGCTCAGGACTTACTCGTGCTGGGGCTTGGAGGACCACTTGGGATGCTGGGGATCAAACCTGGATCGGTCACAGGCAAGGCAAGCACCCTATCTGCTGTACCCATCGCTCTGGACCCAGCCTTCAATCTTTAGGAGAGAATGTACAGGAGTAAAGTGCATGCCTCACATGTTACTGATTCACATGTTACAGGTGTTCCCTGGTGCTTCACGTGGTTCCCTGAGCACCACCAAGATTGATGCCTGAGCACGAGCCAGGAATAAGCCATGAATGAGCACCTTCCACCTCCACCCCCCCTGGGATATCCCCCTTCCCCTCCACCTCATCAAACCACTTGTGGTTCTGATATAATTCCTAGACTAAAAGTATCCGTCAAGCAGTATTTGGATAACATGACTGAAGCCAGTAAGAAGGAACTAACCTATCTTACAAAGTGACGGGAAAGAACAACTGCTGACCAGAGCTCTGGTTACAGTCAAAGTGCAAGCCAGAGGCATAAAAACTACATTCAGGGGCCAGGTAGTAGGGCACTTGCCTTGCACACGGCTAACCTGGGTTCAATCCCCGGCACCTCATATGATCGCCCAATTCCTGCCAGGAGTGACCCTGAGCACAGAGCCAGGAGTAAGCCCTGAGCACTGCCAGGTGTGGCCCAAAAACCAAACCCAAAACCAGCCCCCAAATAAATAAAGATAACGTACTAGGTTTAATATTTTGTTTTATGGGGTCAGAGACATAGTACCAGTGGGTAAGGCGCTTGCCTTGCATGAAGCGAAGGTGTCTAATCCTTGGCACATCATCTGTACCCAAGCCACGCCAAGAGCAGAGTCAGGTGTGAGCCCTGAGCACGGCCAGGTATGGTCTAACCCTGAGTTCCACTTTTTTGTGACTTGTTCTTAACCTATTTCAGACATTCCCTACAGTGCCAGTGATTTCGCTATTTTATTTATTTTGGTTTTGGGCCACACCTGGAAGGACATACAATAGACAACAACAAAAGTCTGGCAAGAAAAGCTGGTGAAGGAAATAGAAATAAGAAACTTGGGGCCGGGGCTGGAGGGCTAAGTATAGCATGCAGGGTGCTTGACTTGCATGCAGTCAACCTGGTTTGGATCTGTGGCATCCCATATGTTCCCCCGAGCCCCCCAGGAGTAATCAGAGTTCAGAGCTGGGCGCAATCCCTTAGCATGGCTTAGTACAATCCGAAAGAAAGAAACAAAACAATAAAAAAGAAAGGGGAACGAAGACTTAGAAAAGTTCTTGCATGGCCACAGAGACAGAACAGGGGGAAGGGCACTTACCTTGCATGAGGCTGACCCTGGTTTGATCCCTGGCACCACATATAGTCCCAAGCCCCACCAAAAGTGATTCCTGAGCACTGCTGAGTGTGGCCCAAAAAGGGGGATGGAGTGGGGAGGGGAAAGACTACTGGAGTAGATGCTACATTCTCACCTTTAGGTGCCCCCTTCAGGCTATGTACATAAATGCAAGGCCATGGGGCCAGCGACAGTACAGGGTTAAGGTGCTTGCCTTGCAAAGGTGGTTGACCCTGTACAGCTGGGTGTGACCCAAACTTCCACCACCAAAAAATCCTTCCAAAACAGAAAACATTCTGGAATTGAATAGTATAATAAAAATTTTATTAGAGGGGCTTACAGAAGATCTGCATGAGAAGAAAGCAGCAACAAATGAGATCTGTCAATTGAGATTATTTGAGGGGGGAACAGAAAGGGGAGAGTTAATAAAAACGTCAGTAAACAGAGGGATACAACTTTATGCATAATGGGGGGATGGTAGGAGAAAAAGGTCAGAATTATCTGACAAAAAGGCCACAAGTTTGTGAATCTGTAAAATATTAAACTACACACCCATGAAGTTGAATGAACACCAAATAGATACATTAAGAGTGGTCCACAATGAGACACTTGATAAACTGAGAAAAAAAATATACAAAGAGCATTTCTTGTAATCAGGGAGAAGTGACTTCATAAAGAAGGGATACTCAACATAATTAATTTTGTAAGTGATTTCCCTTACAAAATCATGCCGCTTTTTGGTCAGAAGACAGACAGAAAACAATTAAATCGACGAGATGTTAGAAGTTTGTGTGTACTATTGCTGAAGTGACAGAACAGCATGTAGGGTGCCTGCCTCGCATGCATCCAATCCGGGTTTGATGTCAGCCACTCCATATGGTCCCCCAGCTGTGCCGAGTGTTTATT